GCAGCAGACAGAAGTTCTGCCTGGGGCTGGCAGGTTGGAGACAGAGCAACGGGGATGCCCAGAAAGCCCAGTGCCAGACAGGGTGTGGGTGGACGCGACCGTGGACCACTGTGAGGGCCCTTGCCACCCCTCTCCACCCCAAACCTGGGCTCCCCTCCTTGTCTCAGAAGGCGGAAATGCCATGTGGTCACTTCCCCAGGAGCTGGTGCCCTCCCTGGAGTTGGCAGGGGGCCAGCGACCAGCAGCAGGACAACACTCTCTGCCGTGTGTGGGGCAGTGGTGAGCCTCGCTGTCCCCTTGTCACAAAAAAGGGACGGGGACCGAGGTGGGTCTGCCCCTGGCACGGTCTGGAATGTGTAAACCATTTGCTCCTTCCCAAGAGTCCTTGGTTAGGGAAGGTAAGACCCGTGTCTCAGTTTCCCGATTTCACTTGCCAAGGAATTTCCCTGGCTTCTCACCGTCTTGCCTCTTCCTGGTGACCCTGTGGCGGTGGTCACGGGTGCTCACCTGGCTGGATTTGGGTTGGAGGTGAAGCGGTGTGGCCCCTGAGTCTTGCCCTTCAGCACCCTTTTCATAAATTCTGCTTCTGCTTGAAGTGGGCAGAGTCAGTTTCCCCCCACTGACGAAGTTGTCACCAGGAATGGCAGTAGGTGGCCAGGGTAATGGGGGAGTGCTGTGGTTTGGAGCTAAAGGGAGTGGGCATCCGACCAGGATGAACGGAAGAGGCCAGGCAGCCCTGGAAGGCCGTGGGGACAGCCAGAAAAGCCCCACTGGGGAGCAGTAGGTAATACCCAGAGTTGCTCTTTGTCCCTTCTTCTGGGCTCCAGAGCTTGGAATTGACTGACTTTCGTATGCTAATGAGGTGGCTCCAGGTGGGGGGGTGCATCCCCCCACCACCGCAGAGCTTCAGGGTGGGTCTGCTCAGAAAAACCAGGCCCTGAATAGGGAGGGTTGGAACTTTCAGCCTCTCGCCCAACCTGGGGTTTGGTTCCGAGATTGACTGCTATCTCCAAAGGCCAGTGATTTAATCAGTCATCAACCAATCACACCCGTGTAATGAAACCTCCCCAGAAATCCCCTGAATGGTGGAGTTCAGATAGTTTCTGGGGCTGTGAACACACTGATGTGCTGGGCAGGTTGGAGGCTCCCAGCCCCCCCTTTCCCAACCCCTTACACTCTGCCCTGGGTACCTCTTCCATAAACCGGTACTGTAAATAAGGAGTTTTCCCAAGTTCTGAGGTCCAGCCAATTATCAAACCCGAGGGGGGGTTTAGGAACCCCTAAAAGCTCAGTTGGCCAGAGCATTGTCCCATATGCCACGGTTGTGGGTTCGATTGTGGGTCCGATCTATAGTCAGGGCACATGCAAGAAGCAACCAGCGAACGCATAAATGAGTGGCACAACAAATCGATGTTTCTCTCTCTCTTCTCTCTACCTCCCTCCCTCATTACCTGTCATGGGTCTATACCTGCCTGGGTCTGCCTAGGGCCAGCTGTAGTGGGTTCCTGATTTCATGTAGGAGAGATTTCAAAACACGAGTCCAGGTGACATTTAGTCAAGCTGGGGACAAGGAAACAAGGAAGGGCTGGCATAGGAGAAAGAGGAGAGCCGAGGCTGGGCTGCCTCAGCTCACTGGGAAGAAAAGGGGCTTCGGGGACAGGTTCAGGGGATCAGACTGGGTGGGACAAGCTGCCTGCCAGCTGCCCACTGCCTTAGAGTTTAGGAGAAGTGAGCCTGTGAAGAAAGAAGTGGGGGGAGGGGGAGCCGCAGGGCAGAAGAAAAAAAAAGGAAATGGCGTGGCCCAGCAAGAGGGGAGGTGGAAATCTTAGGGGGGGGTCCCATTCCTCAGTGGGTGCCCTTTCAGAGTCATGGACTCCACCAATTGGTCAGTGACAGGGCAGGGGGTCTTCAGTCATTGCAGCAAAGTCAGGTGGGCTTTGCCCACCTGGTTTCGCTGCTTTTCTGGGCCTGGAGCTGAAACACAACTGAGGCCTCGATGTCTCCTGGGAGGGGACCCTTGTTCCCCCAGCTTTGCCCCTGCCAGGCCTTCCGCAACCGTGCGGGATCAGCAGGAGAGGGAAGACCGTGGCCAACTGGCTCTGACATCCTTATTGGAATGTGGACCATTCTGCTAGGGAAATCGGTGATGAAGGTATTCATCAAGATCAAAACCCCCACGAGGACTCAAATGCCAAATCCCAGGCATCCTCGGGACCCGCTCTGTGCTCCTTTCCCCGTTCCCATCCTGAGCTCCCCCTAAAGAAACTTGCCCCTCACACCCTGGGGGTGAGGGGGTGGAGGGGGATGGGGGGACCTGGGGTTTTCACCTGCCACCTTCTCAGATTTCCGGCATCTGATAGTACTCATGTTAAACACGGCACTTATAATCCAGCCCATCTCTGCCTTTTGGCTGGGAAGTGACAGGCAGCAGAAGCCCCGGACTCGGGCTGACCCCTGGTCTCACTTACTGCTTGCTCCCCACTGCTTAGCACACAGTAGGTACTTCATTCTGTCTACATCATTACTTTACCAGATTAGTATATGAAAGAACCCAGAGGAGTCAGTCACCACCCCACCTGGCCCTTCTGCACCTTCCTCGCCCAATGAAGCGAGGCGCCCCCCCTACGCCCCCTGCAGGCCTCCTGGGGGAATTACTTTGCAGTCTGGAGCCAGCTCTTCTCATGCTCCTTCTCCCAACTTCTGATGCCTCCAGTGCCTCAAACTGGAGACAAACTCCAGCTCAGGTGCGCCCTCTTTCCCTCCCCAGGAGCATGCCCGTCTGCCTGCGCCTTCCCCTCCCCCTCTTCTTCCCCCACAGGCTGCAGCTCCTAAACTCTAAGGCACAAGTGGCAAATATAAGGCCCGAGGGCCAGCCCTCCACCCTGTTTTATCCAGCCCAGCACCTTGCTTCTCCCTGGCGGCAGTGCCAAGCTCCTTGCCCCTAGTTTAGAAGAAGTCACATGTATACAGTCCTAAATTACATTTGGCCCATTGAAGGTGACCACAAGGCCGACGTGGTCCCTGGTGAAAATGAGTTTGACACCCCTGCTCTAAGGGGCCCCACAAGACAAGCAACCAGGGGAGCAGTGGGTGGTGGCAGCTCGTCCCAGGCTGCACCCCCAAACCTGTCTCCAGAGCCCCCTTTTCTCTGACTTCCCAGTGAGCCAAAGCAGCCCCGCCTGGGCTCTCCTGTGGCTCCTTCTACCCTAAGCCCTTCCTTGTTTCACCGTCTCAGCCTTAATTTTTTAAAAAGTACTCTCAAAAAATTTTTTTTAATTCCAGCATGTTTAGAGACCTTATTACAGAGTCCAACCCAGAAGGGAAGGCTTATATGTCCAAAAACATCGTAAGACTTTGTTATTTTATGTTGGCCAAAATATGGAGAATCTGTATGAAAAGTCCGAGGTCCTGGACCAAGGAGGTGACTTGACATTTAGCTTGGGCTGTTTATCAGTACAGGTGCGCTTGCCAAAAATTCTGGACTCAGGCGCTGACCTCGGCCTGTGGCGGTCGACCTGTATGTCCCTGTGCTTGACTGAAAGGGGCCTGGGTCTTGCTAACTGCAGCAGCCATGCCAAGAGCTCCCTGGGAGAACGTGGAGGAAAGGATCCAAAGCCTCAAGAAGACGCCCCAATTTGTTCAAAATAAACGCTGGACTGAATTTCTTCAGGCGGCTCACTGTGCAGGGTCCTGGAGGAGGCTTCCCTCCAGCAAGGCCTCAGGCAGTTAGTGCACTGCCGGGGGCATCTCCGAAAAGTTCTGTTTGCTCGGGCTGCAGCGGCAAAGCACCACACGCTGAGTGGCTTAAACAACAGTTGCCTCTCGGTTCTGGAGGCGGGAAGTCCGATGCTGAGATGTCAGCAGGGCTCTTGGAAGGCGTTAGGGAATTTTGGGTTAAGACCCCCCACTCCAGTGTTACCTCACTTAAGTACACCTTTCAATGACCCCGTATCCACATAAGGTCACATGGTGAGGTCGTAAGGGTTACACCCTCAATGTACCAGTTTGGGGGGCCCACGATGCAGCCCACGACAAGCACCATAGTGGCTGTTCCCCATACATCAGTGCTTCCGACTGGGGGCGCTATTGGAATGGCTCCTTGATTTCAGTACTGATGCCAGGACCCTGGGTGACAGAAGGGCCGAGTGGCGCTGCTGAGCCACCGAGACGGACAGGCAGCAGGACTTCTGTGATGTGTAGAACAGAACAAGGGCTGACCAGTGGAGACTGGGCTGCAACAGAGAGGATGTGTTACCTGTGTCCCAGGCAAGATCAGATCACACACCCAGGGGCCCCTGCCCGAAGCGGGGTGGGCACCCTCGCAGGGGGCCCTGTGGAAGGAAGTAGCACAGGCTCTGGCCCGCACTCCCCAAAGAGACCTGTGGTCATGAGCCCGGGCGGGGCAGATGCTGGTTCTGACCCAGGGCAAAGGCATTTGCACTTTGCATCTCGAAGGTTTATTTCCTTTTAAATTTATCTTCAGAGACAGGGGGAGGGAGAAAGAGGAAGAGAAACATCACCATGGGAGAGAAACGCCCGCTGGTTCCCTCTCACACACGCCTGCACCAGGGGCTGCACCCCAGCCCAGGCCCCCGCCCCGCCCCGCCCACTGGGAGTCAAACCAGCGACCTTTTTGCCTTGTGGGAGCCACCCACCCCGCTGAGCCACACCGGTCAGGGCAGCATTTTTCACTTTTAATACAATAGTTTTCATCAAACACCAATGTGCCTGGCCCCAGGGGGTGAATCCTGTTGGCGACAGTCCCCTCTGCAGGTGGTAATTATATATGGCTTATAATTATTATAAATATAACTCACATATTGCTAAAACTTATGTTTTCACAATATTTCATTCAATCTAAAAACCCTCTGATCCTACCTAACAGTGTTACTCCCTAGCAACCGAAAATGATACAAAGTTCTCAACGACAGCACGCACTCTTTCCAACTCATTCATTCACTCTTTCTAGGTTGTGGTAGAACACTGGGCCCAAAGGAAAATTCTGATCATTATATTTTATTCCTTCTGCTATGGTTTTGCTGCTAAAAATCTTGAACACCTTCTTCCAATGTGCCGAAGCCTCTCAGGAGGTCAGGGGTCCACCCCAGGAGCTCAGCGCTGGGACACAGGATGAGGACGGCCAGGCTGCTCCCTGGCCTCACCTACCAGGAAGACAGTTGAAGCTGAGAGCCCTCTGAGCCCCTGGTTTTGTCACCCACCAGGACACAGCTGGGTAGGACGCAGCCACGGCTGTTGGCCACCCCAAGTGGCCCAGAAGCAGCGCAGCCACAGCCACTGTCTGCCCTGAGGTTCCGAGAGCTGCCCGGGGCCCACCAGGTCCGCAGAGGGTCACTCCTGCTACCTGTACTCTGGAAAGCCCAGCCCCAGGGCAGGAGGGGTAGAAATTCCAAGGCACAGGAAAGGGAAAGCCGATCCCTTGTCGAAGGAGGTGCCAACTAAACTAGCCAACCCAACACACCCCCACCCACAGTGCCATGCAGTCCCTCCATCCTGCACAGAGCCCGGTTCCCCTCCCCAAGGGTGCCAACGTTCGAGACCCACATTTTCAGGGACCTCAGAACCCTCCGCTTCAGGGCTCCCCTCTAGGTCCGCCCCAATCCCAACCGTGCCTCTTGCTCAGAGGGGAGAGCAAGGGCTCATTTCAGGGAGACTTTTCTTTCCAGACACAAGAAGGCCTGGGGGTGGGACCTGGAGCAAGGCCCCAAGCGAGAGGCTGCAGCATGGGGTCTGCAGGCTGGCCCCAGGAGAGAACCTTAGATTAGGATTTTTAAAAAATGTATTTATTGCAAAGAACGCTGGACACAGTGTGATGTTTGGAGAGACCCAACACCACCCACTCTGGGGTGAGCAGGAAAACACCTACCACAGAGGCACAGTGACCGTCGTGGCTGAGACCTGGCAGCCGAGAGCCATTGCAGACAGAGGTGGGCAGGGCCGCCCAAGTTCACGCTGTGGCCCCAGGCCCAGTCCTTGTGACACACCCAGGTCCCACAGGTCCTGACCTCCCTCTGGACACAGAGTAAAAAGGCTTCGCTGGTCTCGCCTCGACAGCCGGCCTGAGGTCCTGGAGAAGCGGTGATATCCACAGATGTGTGCCACCAACCAAAGGGACAAAGGGACCCGCTATGGCTAACAAGTGAGTGTGTCCACCAAAACCCCAGTGGACACAGGAGCAAAGGCAGAAGTCCCCTCATCCCAAAGACTGGGGCTCGGTCCTCCAGCTCCAGGGCTCTGACGGGAGGTAAGTCCGGGAGGATGCTACCCTGGCCTCACCCGACATCATCTCCCCACCATGCTTGTCCACAGTGGCTGCAGCACACAAGATCGAGACCACCCGCTGGGCAGGAGGCACCTGGGGGCTGCAAAGCCCTGGGAAGGCTGCAGGGACCAAGTGGGCTTTGGGTCCCAGGGCCTGGCTTCACCAAGGTCCCCAGTGGGCAGCAGGCATTCAACTACAAACCCAGACATTTCCCACCCACCCCCAGCCTGTTGGTGTCTCCGGGCTATAAAACGGAGCTGGAATTGCTGCCTGGCCTGCCTCTCTGGGCCCAACAGGACTCGGAGGTGTGACAGACGGCAGACTCCCGAGGTCATTTTCAACAAGCTCCTCTGCACGTGAATCAAAGCTGTGATGTGTCTGAGAAAGCGCCCCCTGGACAAGGCTGCTTCTGGGTTCCAGCCTCCCCTCTGCTCAGCACCACAGGTGGAGGTTAACCGAGGCCAGGCCAGGCTGAGCAGGACCACCACAAGCTTGTCTGACTCTTTCACAGCAGATGCCTGTCCCGGGCCCAGTGCGCGCACTGGTGTGGACACAAGCGCAAGGGCCCGGAGGAAGACTGGTGGGCAAGGGGGCGGGGCAGGGAAGGAGATGGGCTGGCAGCCTCCCCCTTGAGTCTCCAGTCTCAGGCAAGTGCACCGGGAAGGTGATTCAAACAACCACCCCCGCCCCCATCTTTCCCTGGTTTCACTGAGAGAGCAGGGGGCCTTGGCCACCAGCTCCTAAAATCCTCCAGTGTACATGACGGGGAAGGGTGACCATGGTGCTGAGCTTCCGGCACGCGTCTGCACGGCCCATCGCCTCCATGCGAGCCCATCACCTTCCGGAGGGGCGCAGACCCACAGCCTGGCCACCCAGGTGTCCGAGGAGGCGGAAGCTCTCCAGCTCCAGGCGGGGCTCGATGACAAGGACGGTAAGGGCCCTCCTCTCACCCAGGGCAGCAGAGCTCAGCAGCCGTGAGGACCTCACCTCTCGTGCCGCTGGCTCGGGAACTGGCCACAGACAGGCCAGCAGCACCCCTGCAGAGGTCCCCAGGGGCGCCCAGGCAGCTTGGCCACGGTGGGAACACCCAGTTTCACATTTTAGGGTTTCGCACTTCAGAGAGCCAACCCGGCGGTGAAAGGGAAGACCTGAAGGCTACCGGAGCAGGACCAGGCGCTGGCGACGTCCCACCAGCCCGGAGCAGGCGCAGTCCGGCCAAATGATTTCCAGCAGCATCGGGTACAGCCCTGTCACTGTCAACAGGACACAGGTGGACGGGGTGCAGGTGTGGGGGCCCCAGCCACACATGGCTTTGAGGGTGTTCCTGCATGGCGACTGTCACAGGGACGGGGGTCTGCAGAGACCAACGCTTGCCTGGGGGTCGCAGTGGATGAGACGGGGTCACTGGTGGGCAGGGACTGTGACAAGGGCTTCCTCTGGAGGCCGCGAGATGTCTACATTCTGCACAAAAATAGAAACACAGCACATTTGCCCTGCGCCAGGAATGGATGGTACCTGCCATCCCACTGTGCATCCGCTCCCTTGTGCTGTGGGCGTCCGGGCCCATGTCCTCCCTCCAGGGAGCCCAGCTGAGGACTCCAGGCCCCACCTTCCCTAAGAGCCAGCGCTCGAGCGCCTCTGCGCACATGGCTGGTGGACAAACAAGGACAGAAGTGGGGCTGAGGGTGCCCCTGCCTGCTAGGACATCTTCCCTGGTCACCTGTGGGTGGGCCTGGACCAGACCTTCAGGGGCAATGGGACGGTGACAGGTCCAGGTGAGGGGCAGCAGCTCTGGGAAGACACCCCACACGTCCCTGCTGTCTTGCACCTGAACCAGGCCCTGACAGGCTGCAGGACAACTGGCGTGGTCGGCAGGACGCCGGTAAACACAGGGAGACTCTGCGCATGCGAGCCCACTCAGTGTTGAGGGAACCGTTTATTGGACCCAGCCTCAAGGCTATGAGAACCCTACTTATCAGGCCCATTCTCAAGGTTATGGGAAACTGCTTCCCTTAGTTGCCCAGACACTTGGGTGAGGGAGCCAGACTGCCTCCGTCTACCCTCCAGCTGCCTGAGGGGCTCAAAGCCAAGGGGCTGCCCAGGGCCCAGAACACCCCGTTGTGGGTGGCAGCAGGCCCCAGGGGACTTCTTGCTACAGGGGAGTCTGGGCATAGGGGTTGGAAGGGGTGGTCTGCCCTTGGCCGCAGTGGGAGAGGTAACCGATGAGACAGAAGGACCCCGTGTGGGCAGAGAAAGTGATTCTGGGAGACACTTCGAGGTGCTTCTGTCTTCAGCGAGGCTCGCGGAGAACACAGGGTAGCGAGCTGCTCTTCTGCAGAAAAATCTGCCCCATGCCAAGGCCCCTCGGCCTCTGTGCAGCCCTTTCCCCAGTAAAACACACCATTTCCATTTGTGAAGCCAGTTGAGCTGGAAAAGGTGCTCAGGAGCCTGGGCTGCCGGGGGAATGGAAGAACCCTCCCCTGCCCGCCGTGGGCCCCCAGCCACACCCCAGCTCAGGGGCATCCTGGCTTGTGGCGCAGCTCCAGGGGTTCCCCACCCCCAGGGCAGCGCCGCCCCAGGCCACGGCCTCCCCTACAGACAGGACAGCAGCCTGAGGGAGAAGTCCGGCCTGGGCCTGAACGTGCCTAGATACCCCCAGGGAGCTGCTGCCACCCCAGCAGTGACCCCGCTGGTACCTGTGGCCTGTCCCGGTGCGTGTTCACCGCCGCCACATTCAGGTATATGGACTCCACTTTACAACCTGCCGAAGGAAGACGCAAAGCCATTCCCCTCCCGAACGGCAGCTGGAGCCACAGAGGGCAGAACCTTCTCCCAGGAGGAGGCTCTGGCTGCTGCGGAAAGAACAGGTCTTACCCTGCCCTCCCACCCCTCACAGACAGCCCTGGGGAGGCCCCGTCAAGAAGGACAAGGCACCTTGTTAGGTCCCTGCTTGTCAGACGCCACCGCCCAGCGCAGCCTTGGTGAGGAGCCCACACTGAAGACGCCGGGGACAAAGAGGTCTAAGAAGCCACAGTTCAGGGTTCCTACGCTCAGTCCCGGGGGCCCCCAGACCACCCACGTCCCGCCTGGTCACACGTGTCATGCCAGGTGGTCAGTGCAGTGGGGGCCCAGAGGATGAGCACGGTGGCGTGACACCAGCTGCCACTGAGCTGTCCTCGTCCTCCAAGGGCATGGCCCCCTAAGAGGCCTGGTGACCTGTGTTAAAGGTGATGTGCCCAGACCCCATAGCTCATGGGAAGCTGCCTGGGGTCTCCACTGGCTCGGCCCAAGGCAGAGGTGGGGGTTTGGAAAAGCCAGTAGAAAAGCCCTTTACTCAGGTGGGTGCTGGTTAAGCAGGGCCACTGGGGAGGCATCCTGTGGCCACAGAAATGGAAACCAAAAAGTTTAAAAGCAAATCGGGAAAGGTAGGGGGATGAAGGGAGGAGGGGTGAGCCCCTGGTAGAGTTTGCAGGGGATGTGCGCCAAGTCACGGGACCCCGTAGACTCGGCAGGCAGGGTGGCGCGCAGGGAGCTTCCTACCGTAGGCTACGGGGGTCAGCTTCAGCACCGTGTGCAGCGGGCACTTGAGGTAGGGCAGCTCTTCTGCAGACACAGACGAGGAGGGCTGGCACTCCAGGGACGCCAAGGTGGCAGTCCCCACCCTCTGTCATACCCGCCCCCCTCCCCAGGGCAGGGCCCGCTCCGCACCTGCCGTCTTGTCCAGGAAGTAGGCCAGCAGGCAGCGCATCACGGCCTGGTGGCAGATGACCAGCACGTTCTCTTGCCTCTCCAGCTCCATGATGACAGGCTCAAGTCGCTGGACCAGGTCCTCGTAGGACTGCAAGGACAAGCCCCTGCTCAGGCCCAGCTCCGGGGTGGGGGGTAGGGAGGAGCCATCCTGGGTGGTGGGCCACCTCCTTGCTCCGGGAGCTGTGGCCAGGCCTCCTCCAACTTGGCTCCGGAGGGCACAGGGCTGGGCAGCTCAGGGCTGGGGCCCACCCCACCTCAGGACTGTGACAGTGAGAAGTCGCCTTGAGAGGGAAGCTGAGGGACTGGGGAGGGCTGGCAGTCTGGGACAGGGGTCGCCTCCACCAGCCCAGGGGCAGGTCCCAGTAGGACTGAGTGGGTGGGGCTGGGCCTCAGGCTGCCATCCCAAGGGGCCACCTCTGTGCCCACCCACAGGACCCTGGCCACTGGTGACATGGAAAATACACAGCTCCCTTCCGGTTCATAGCTGGTGGGGACAGGGGCAGCAAAGACCCCCCAACCCACACCAAACTTCCAGAGCTCAGCCTGCCGAAAACACCTGAGGTCCCAGGAACGCCTGGCCCCTGCAGTCGGCCTGCTCTGTTCCTCCCCCTGCACCCAGAAGGTTTGGAGATTTCCGCCAGGAGGCTGAGCCCCAGAGCGGCACCAGGAGCTGGAGGAAGTCCTAAACTGGTTCTGGGGGAACTGCGATTTCCCTCCTGGCCCCCACCGCTGTGTCCCAAGGTCGAGAGGTAGCTGCTTTGTTTCTTTTCCCTGTTCTTGGGCTGGTTCTAAACCTGAGCTCTGCCTCACAGCACGGTGGGGGAATACCTACCGCTACCCAGAGCTGTCCTGTTTCTGGGGACAAGACGGCACAAGGGCCTGCCTGTGAGCCTAGCACCTGGGGGTGGGGGCGTCCATGCATGGGCACACGTGTGCCTGTGCAGGGTATTTTGATTTGGCCACTGTCCTGGGTCATGCCCTGAGGTTGCCCTGTTCCCGACCTGGGGCCTAGGCCATGCCTCATCTGGGGAGGTCCCCCTAGGTCTGGATTCAGGGCTGGGGGCGAGGTCTGAAGCTCCAGGGAGACTGGGATCATCCCATGATGCCCCTGGGGAAGGGGGGGCAATGTGGGAGGTGACAAGGAGCAGGGACCCAATGGGCCTCGAGGCCTGCGCAGCACCATCCTTCCACCACCCAAGGAGGGGACTGCAGCCCAGGCCACATGGCCGGGAAGTGGTAGAGATGATGGACACACCCAGCCTGGCCCACCTCTGAGGCCAGCCCCTCTGCTGCCCCCGAGGCTCCCACAGGGCCTCGGCCACAACAGGTGGTCCTTCCAGGCAGGCAGCACCTGCGAGACTAAGCACCCAAAGCCCACCTACCTCCCCCTTGGGGTACCGGTAGCGGTATTTGTCCTGGTCCCGCAGGGCAAACTCCAGTGGATAATGATCCTGGATTTCCTCGTAGGTCATTTCCTCACAGACGCCCTAGGGAGACACCGGGGTCCTTACACCTCCCACGCGGGGCCGGGGGATCAGCCCTGGGGAGGCGGGTTGGGCAGAGGGGACCAGGTTCCTGGGCCATGGAGGCCCTCCCAGCCTGGAGCAGGGACCTGCCTGGGAGGAGCAGGCCCTCGAGGAACACCGAGCAGGGGGGCAGCCCCATGTTTGTGCAAAGTCATCGGAATGTCTGTCCCGACCATCCAGGACCCACTTCCCCAGTAGAAAGCAACTGTGTAACTTTTCTAATGTGCCTTTGGTCTTCTGTGCTGTGGACACGCTACTTCTCAGTATGGACTCTGTGCAGACTATAAAGCGGGACTGTGCTTGTGTCATCCAGGATACGCGTCCACTCCCACAGAATCTGGGCCGCTCCATTCTCAGGACTCCCTGGACCCTCCCTCGCTCCCTCTCTGTCAGCCCTTCCTCGTCAGCTTACAGACGGACGGACGGCCAAGTCTCCCTGGGCTCAGCCTCCTTGCCTCCCACTCACTTCCCCACCCACTCCCATTGGGCCCCACCCGCCTCCCGCCGAGACGCCCAGTGACCTTGATATTGCATCCCGGTGGTCAGCTCACAGCCTGGCCTCCCTGGGATACCCACCGCACTGACCACTGCCTCCTTTCAGCCTGACTTTCACGCCCATCTGCCTGTGCTCCCTCCCACCCCACTGGCTGCTCATCCGCAGACTTCTCCACAGCCCCTTCGATGCTGGGGCTCCCAGGCCTTTGTCCTGGGTCCTGCTAGAGCTCCCTCAGCCCACTTATCCCTTCCCCGGCCTCCACAACCATTTCTGGGGTTGCAGGCCAGGTCCCCAATTAGGGACATGTGAGAGGCAGCCTCTTGTGCACCCCCACTAGGGACCTGGCCTGCAACCCAGGCATGTGCCCTGACTGGGAATCGAACTAGTGACCATTTGGTTCGCAGGTTGGCACTCAGTTCTCTGAGCCACAGCAGCTAGGGCAATAAAAATCTAAAAACCTTAAAAAAAAAAGAGAGAAGCCAGGGGGTGGGGAAATGAGTAAAGGGGGTCAAAAGGCACCACTTTCAGCATGGTGACTATAGTTACCAATACTATAACATATATTTGAAAGGTGCTAAGAAAGCAGATCTTAAAAATTCTCATTACATGGGCAGGGGCAGGGGGGAGTTGTGACAATGTGAGGTGATGAACATTAACTTATTGTGGTGATCATTCTCAGATATATACATGCATCAAATTATCATGCCGTACACCTTAAACTAATATGTTACATGTTAGTTACGTTTCAATGAAACTGGGAAAAAAGAGTTCAAGCAGGAAGCAGGGACTGAATGAACAGAAGCTCAGTGGGGCTGTCAGCAATCTTGGGATCAGGAGACAAAAACCAGAAGCTTGGGGACCACAAGTTTTCCAACAGAAAACTCTAGGAGGAGGACCTGAAAAACTGAGTAGCTGCCACAAAGCTCAAAATGCAGCTTTACAATAACTCTGTCTCTGAGCAGACCAAGGGAGTCTGCCCCAACTGCCCGCCAGAAGCGAAGGCTAATCCTCGGGAGAAAGATGACGTCAGCCAGAACCTCAGGTTATCTCCGCAAGTGTTCCCACGAAACGCCCCGCACTCGGTCAGAAATGACCAGGCACGCGTCGTATCCAGAGTGGAGCACACCAAGAACGCCTAAAAATCAACAAGAAAAAGGCAGACAACCCAACAGAGAAAAAAGGAGCAAAAGACCTCACAAAAGATATCAAATGGCTGGTATACAGAGTAAAAAACTGTCAATTAAAACTGTGATACTGGTGTTTGAACAGATACACAAATCATATGTAAGAACTGAAAAGTAGATAAAGTAAATCAACAGGAAAAAGACAGACGGTTAGAGATAATCATCATTTGAATTAACTGGGGAAAGGCCATATTTAAGGCTTATGTCAGAGTCAATTCTGGCTGATGTAGATAGTTACAGGCAAAGGAGGGAAGGGATGGTGGGAAGGGAGGGAGAGGGAGATGTCAGAACCCTAAACAACAAAGGAAAGTTAGGGAGAAAGCTCCGAGGACCCTGGCTCACACGGCCGCCCTGGCAGAGTATGGTCGCCCCGGGGGCCCTGGGCTGGGGAGGGAAGAGTCGGTGATTAATTACCGCATCGATCTCGTTGAGGACCTTCCACTGCTCGTAGGGCACACCCAGGGCCTCGGCCGTCTGGATCGTCCTCTTCATCTGGCTGGTCCAAACCTTCAGGTCCTTGATGTTCTGGTCACTGATGAATTGGGCCAGACTCTTGGCAAACTGAAACACATTACAAGGGAATTCAGGCCCCAGAGACACGCGGTCCCCCGAGGTCATGGCCAGCCTTGGAGAACACAGGTTTGGTAAAAACATGACTGACCTCTGAGTGACACCCACACCCTGTGCATCCCTCCCAGACTCTGAGCATAGTTCCCGCGATCCACAAGGTCCCCTGCCACTGCCCCCGACCCTTGACCATGTGCCCGAGGCTGTATGACCTCCCCACCAAGGCCTCAATATCACCCCTAGACTGTGGCACAGCCACCAGCTGCACCGCAGGGACCTGGGGCACTCCCAGGACACGCCTCTCCAAGGGGACAGCTCACAGGAAAGCCAGAGATCCAGGCATCTGCTTCATGCTTGGTGACTTTCTCTACATGTTTGGAACATTCTAGACTGAATGAAGGTCATCCATCTCGATGACTACACATCAGCTCCATGAGCTAAAGGCCAGCCCTGGCCCTGGTGCACACACAGCCGCCCCGAGGTGCCTTTGCAGACACATACTGACCTCCCGGCCCCGGGGGGACAGTCCTGGGTCCCCGCCGATCCGGCCCTTGAGGTTGAGCTCGCTCTCCCCGTGCCGGCAGAGGTAGATGGAGCGGGGGGTGACGTGGATGTTCATGAGGTAATACACGATGCGGCTCTGGATGTGGTCGGCCACTCGGTTCACCACGTAGCTCTGCCCCACGTCCATGATCTTGATGTACGACAGATCCCTTTCCAGAGAGAAGGTCGGGACCAGCCTGTGAGTGTGACCGGGGCCCTCAAGGGAGGGCACATCCTGCCGGCCACAAGAACTGGCGGCAGACCCTGGCCTCTCTGAGCACCAGGCTGGACATCACAACACACAGGGCCGTCAGCTGGTGTGCGAGTGACAGGGCGAGGCAGGAGCGACAGCACACGTGTGACGCGCAGACCCCGTGGGAGGTGCTCAGCGTCCCCCAGGCCACTCCTGCCTGCCTCTGGCTCTCACCGCACTGTCCGTAAGGTGAACACGGAAGAGACTGTTTCCTCCCGGAGCGATCAGGAAGTAGCTCACAAGTACTCTTCCCCTCCTCTCTTCCCGGTCAGCCATCCACAGACCTGGCCTTCCCTTCCCCTGGCGACCTCTCTTTCCCCTGGAGCTCAGCCCAGGTCATCCATGCGTAGAGTGTCTGCCACACCTCCGGCAGGCGGCAGGCAGGTGGGACCAGAGGCACCCGAGGACTGTGCTGGTGGCAGCAGCCGAGAAGCCCTGCTCGGCCGCTTTGCCTGCTTTGGGCCTGTGCAACCTTCCTTGCAGCCTGGAGAGCATGCTTTTCTGTTTATGGTCGTGGAGGGCTCAGGCAGCAGGAGGAAAGGTGGGATTTCTCCGGCACTGGGCTCGGGTTCAGCCCAGAGCCCTCTGGGTGTTCTCACTGGCCAGACCACAGGATGTCGGTCTAGGTTTTGGGGCGTTACAGACACCGCCACCAAAAACAGCAGCAACTGCCCTGGCCAGGTGGCTCGGTTGGTTGGAGCATCGTCCCATACACCAAAAGGTTAGGGGTTCAATTCCTGGTCAGGGCACGAGCCTGGTTTGTGGGTTTGGTCCACAGTTGGGGCGCATATGGAAGGCAACCAATCGATGTTTCTTTCTCTCTCCTCCTCTCTCTCTAAAGTCAATAAACATATATATATATAAGGATATAAAATAGCAGTGACATTTACTGACAGTCCAGCAGGAGTGGCCCAGACAAGCTCCTCTACTGTGGTCACATCACAGAACCAGAAGAACTGCCATGCTGGGAGAGCAGGGGACACAAGGAAAACCAGAGATCCGGACAGCAAGTGCCGCGTGGTTCCAACAGCGTGGGCAGGCTGGGCAGCCCACTGGACTCAGAGCCAGCTCAGCAGTCCAGACCCCGAAACCAGCCCTCCACCAGCCGCTTCTCCCCTCGGTTCGCAGGCCTTGCTTATTCTTACGTAATTATAAGAGACCCAAGCACAGAGTCGCACTCCAGCCTTGTCACTTCCTGCTGCGTAACAGGCACTGGCCCATGTTTCTTTGGTCTGGTTTGTAAAGACTGAGCAACACTTTACCAAGGGACCAACTGCTCTTTACTGAAGCACTGCCACCACTTGTGCAAGCCAGGAATCGGCAAACCACAGCCAGCAAGCCAGATGCAGCCCGTAGCCCGTCCCGGTGAACATGGCCATGCCCGTTCGTGCACACGCTGTCTCAGTTCCCTTTGCACTGCAACGGCAGAGTCGGCTGCGAGCCCCACAGCCTCAAACCTCGCCTCCCTGCCTCTCCGCACAAAAGGTTAGGTGCTGTAAGCACCCCACCTGAACGCCCGCCACTCACTCCTGCTGCATCCTCCTCTCCAGTGGGAAGGAGAGGCGCTGCCACACCCGCCACTGTCAGCTGTTCCCAGGCAGAGTCTGGCCACTGCTCCCCCTTCTCAATATGCAGACTGTGCATTTTAAAAAGAGCAAGTCATGTTTGCAAATGCCTGCGGGAGGACCCTCTGCATAGAAATCAGGCTTGATCTTACAACGGAACAGTAGAGAACCTGGATGTACAGAGCTCCGGCAAGGCAGCAGGGATTCTGCCACTCGCCGTTGGCCTGTGACTTCTGTCCCAAGGTGAAAACAAAGATGGCCAGACTGTCTCTGCCTGTTGTGTGGCCCCCTGAGCCACCGCTATGGGGAGCCACAAGGAGGCAGCCAAGTGGGCCCCTGCTGCCCACCCATTGCGGGGCCTGGACACGGGGCGTCCTCGCTCACCTGTCCAGGCCCTCATCCAGAGACTCGTACGAGCTCTCATAGCACTCGATGCGCCTCATGAAGTCCTCTGTGGCCTCGTCACTGTCACGGTTGACATAGTCCGGGCTGCCCAGTTTCACTTGCTGCCGGAGCCAAGCACAAAGTGAGGACACGTCAGGGCTGGAGGCCAGATGGGGCCAGAGACCAAGGAGGGTGCTGGGGTGGGGCTGGGGGTAGGGGCCCTGGGCTGAAGGCCAGGCCAAGGCCGGAGCACAGGGCTGGAGGCCAACCACGGGTGCACTAGGAAGAGCCCAGTGGCCTCCTGGTCCCCACACTGGAGCTAAAAGAGCATTCCTGGGCATCCCAAGGTCAAGCCTCTCATCTTTGTGGGACGGGCGGGTGGGGGAGGCCTGAGGGCCAAGGGGCCTGGAAGACTCTCCCCACCTGAACGAACTCCCCAAACCTAGATGTTCGTTCCTTGAATAAAGAGAGGGCAGGGGAGAGGGGCCAAGTCTCCTTCTCAAAATGTGAATAGCACCCTCCACCCCTGACCCAGAGGCTGAAGCTTCTCCCCACTGTCCAGGGGATTGTGCGGGGGGGGGGGGGGGGGAGCAGAGCGAAGGCCCACCTGCCACAAAGCAGGGGAAGGGGGTGCAGGGGACGGCTCACCTGACCCAGCATTCTACTCTCTCCCACGCCCGGCCCCAAGGTTCAGAAAGTCCAAACTAAGGCTGGCCCAGGCACAAGCCCAAACCTGGAGGGGGACCTAAGTGTCACATGCCACCTTGGTTGTATTACTGTCCCAGCCACGTCAGAAGTGTCACTCACCACGATGTTAGCAGCTATGACCTCAGGGTCCACACAGATGGACTCAACGAAGAAGGTCTGCAGGAAGGACCATGGCCGGCAGGAGGGAAGGGACCACGGACACAGTTAGGGGTCTGGGCCTGGCCCCGCAGAGCTGCCCACCCCGCCGAGGGCCACGCTGAGCAGCCGGGCCCCTGAGGCCCTGGGTTGAGAGCAGGGTCCAGAAACGTGGAACCAAAGCAGGTGCCACCTTCTCCAGGACCCAGCCACCAAGACCCTGGCCTCCAAGGAAAGAAGACCCTAGCTGGAGAAAAGCAGCCCCTCCTCTCACCCCAAATCTACTCGGGGGCTGACCTGTCCCATACACGTGACAGGGGCCCCAGAGGGCCCAAATGTGCCCAGCCAGGGACTTGAGCCAATCAGGTCTCACCTTGTAGCCATTCTGTTCCCCAAAATTAAAGATGGTCGCCCTCCGTTCACGGGTGGTATTTGTTGCATCAAAAACCTAGGACCAAACTGTGGTTAACTGGGCCTCTGGCCCCAGGGAAGGGGGTGCCACCCAACAGCTGTAGAACCGGCTCTCTCACTGGGACCAGCTGCTGGCCGGGCCCTGCCTGGCCAGTCTCCCGCGGACCTGCCAGGGCTGGGCTGGTCCTCCCCTCCTTGGGGAGCACACCCCCAGGAAGCTGGAAGGAATGGGTGAGCTTCACTCCTGCAGGGCAGCAAACCCTTGGCCCAGAGGAATGCGCTCAGCACTGCTGTGTATACAGCAGGCGCTCAGTTCACGTTTGACCAACAGGATTTCCTGTGAAGCCAGTTAAACCTGGAGAACTGAACCCATATTTATCTCCGCTCCATCCCGAGACCCCAGTGGACTGGGAACAGGATACAGAGAACAGGCAAGGAGAGGGGAGGGGAGACGTCATGAGGTTCTGTCAGACAGACACACGGCCACAGACTCTGGACAATCAGGAAACCAAACAAGCCCCCACGGACCAGAGCACACCCGCTTGTGCAGAATCACGAAGGGCAAGGGCAGGGGCACAGGCATCTCTGACGAAAGGGACAAGAGGGGGGGGAGATGGGCTGTGGCTTTGCAACGAAGAGCCCGTGGAGCCCCAGGTCCAGCTGCCCCACCTCGTCCAGCCTGCGAAGCCCCCGGGGCACCCTCAGGGGCAGTCCACGCCCCTGCGCATCCAAGCAGCTTTCAAGCTTCCCTTTCTCAACAGGGCATGCAACCAGGGCTCGCTGGACACTCCAAAAAAACCTCTCACGTGAAAAACAAAATGAATCAAGCAATAAAAGGAACTTCGAGAAAATGAAGACAGAGCATGGAAAAAAAGAAAATGTCAAGAACGCTCTAATAACCACAAAATAAGAGCAGAGTTCTGGCCCTGGCCAGGTAGCTCAGTCGGTTAGAGCATTGTCCCAATACACCAAGGTTGCAGGTTCGATCCCTGGTGAGGGCATATATGAGAACCAGCCAATGAATGCATAAATAAGCAGAACAACAAATCGATGTTTCTGTCTCTCCCTTTCCCTCTCTTTAAAATTAGCAAAAAAAAAAAAAAAAACAACAACGAAAAAACCTGAAAAAAAGAGTTGTAGTAAATTGGAACAGAGAACAAGAAATCTAAGAATTTAGAAATTAAAATGTCAGCACAGAAACTTTTTAAAAATTTCAACCAAATCCTTGTAAGACACTATTGAGATGTTTTCCCTGAAAGTAGGACAAAAAAGAGAGAGAGAAAAAATAACAGAAAAATGATAAAGTTAGAGATCAAGCCTAGTGTGCAGATACCAGGGCAGTTCTAGAAAAAGAAACTCTGAAAATCAGAGTCGAGTGAGTAATCACTTATCAGAAAGTGGCGGACTTATCAAAGTACTGAGACACAACAATTCCTCAGGCCCACTGGGGAGAGTGTCCTAAAGAAAACAACCAGGGGACCCAGCGTGGTAGAGGAGAGAAGACTCACTGTGAGATTCCTCGTCCTGGAGACCCCGCGGGCCTCCCCAGGGGAATGGCCATGAGAGGACCCCAGCCCCCTCCACAAAACGTGTAGGAATATCGGCAAATCAGAATGACATCAGACTTTCCCACAGACACACTTAGAAGCCATAATACAAAGGAGTAATGTGGAAATTCTAAAGGGGAAGGACTTCCCACCTCGACTCTGTAGCCAATAATCAACTATAAGGATAAAATAAACATTTCTAGACGTGTAAGGTGTTGGGAAATTTACTTCCAAAGTACCTTTCTCAGAAAGCTACTGGAGGACGTGCTCCAGCAAAGTAAGTTAGTAAGCCATGGAAGAGGAAGACGACAGATCCAAGAGTGGGATGCTCAAATCGGAGGGGGAAGGCAGTTCCCTGTGCCGCAACTGCGCCTCAGACCCAGAGGAAAACTGATCCAGACAGAGCTGGGGACAGAGTGTCCAGATGGCACACCTCCAAGGGAAAGTAAGGAAAACAGTTTCTGTGCTTGCACATAGGGGTGGGTGGGTACGACCCTCTCCTGCAGACACTTCGCTCAGCCTTGCTTGTCCCTCCCCTTGCATCTGACTAGAGGAGCCAACCCCTAGGCGTATTCCCTCACCCAGGACTCACTGGTTCCCGGAACAGCCTTTAAATGCTGGACGGGATTCTCCCCAGGGCAGGAGAAATCACATTTTCTCAAGACCAGGTAACATGATCCCTCTAACCTATGAGGTGTCAGCACTCGGAAGTCCTGCGGAGTCACAGACAACCACAAGCCCAGAGGGAAATGCCTAGCTCACATCCAGCCTCCGGCAGCCTCCTGCACAGCAGCTGCAGAATGTCTCCAGGGGCTGGTCCCTGAGAAGCATCCGGGCCACACACACCTTGCCTTCCCCTCCAGAGGCCTGGTGAGCAAAGGATGGATGCCTACGGGCTCCCACATCTCTCTCCCAGGTGTTGCCAGGGTATCACACTCACCGCCACATGTCCCCCCTCCTCACTAAGGAACCGCCGGACGTCATGGAGGGCTGCCAGGGCACACTGCCTTCAGGGGAGAAAACATGGGGTCAGCCAGGACCCGACCTGGGCTGTAGGAGGGCAGCAGGTAAGGGACAGGAGAGGGGTGGGCTGCAGGTCGCCTCGAGCTCTATGAGAACCCACGAACAAGGAGAGCTGGGGAGCGTCCAGGTTGGTGAACAGGCGGAGGTGCTAGGAGGGCCACGCACCCTGAGAGGGTGTGGACGTCCCATCCCTGTCTGGGCGTCTCTTCTGTCTGGCTGCTCCCGAGTTGTACCCTTTATAATAAACCAGTCAACATAACTAAAACAGGTTTCTGAGCTCTGTGAGCGGTTCTAGCAAATTACTGAACCGAGGAGGAGGCGGCTGTGGAAACCCCCGAGTCACAGAGGGTCAGTCAGAAGCACGGTGGCCCCCTGGGACTGGCAACTGGGGTTTACAGTAAAGGCGGCCGAGGGGCTGAGCCCTTAACCTGTGGAGCTGAGGCTGCTCCCAGTGGGTGGTGTCAGAACTGAACAGGACTGTAGGGCACGAGTCCCTACAGAAAACACCCCAGTGTCCCCAAGCCCTTGTGGGTGGTGACTGAAAAGGCACAGGCATGAATGAGCGCACACATGTGCGTGCATGGGGTACTTGTGTGCACACCCATGCACGAGTATAGGTTTTTGTATGCGTCCAAACAGGCATTCAGGATGCAAATGTGTGAACTCCTATGTGAGTGCATGGGGTGTGCACACATGCCTTCATGTGGTATGAGCACATGAGTGTGCTTAGTGTGTTAATGCACATGTCCATGTATGTGTATACAGTGGGCACTAGTATGTACATGCCCACATATGCCAAGAGATATGCAGATGTGTGCATGCATGTGTGGGCACCCACCTTCCCGTGTTGCGGGACCACATGTGAAAAGGGTTAACACAGCAGCCTGAGAACACCGACCTTCGACCTTCGACCTTCCAAAGGCCTGCGGGCAGGCAAGGCTGGCCTTGGGCTGAGGTCTGAGAATTTGAATGGTAAACAGCTCCCTGCACTGATTCTTTTCTGATCTCTTTAGTCCTGGCCAGGAGGTTCAGGTGCTTCGAGCACCATCTCATGCACCGAAAGGTTACAGGTTTGATCCCCAGTCAGGGCACGTGCCTAGGCTGTAGATTCGGTCCCCAGTCAGGCGTGTACAGGAGGTAACCGATAGATGTTTCTTTTTTTCTTTTAGATGTTTCTCTCTCACATCATTGTGTCTCTATTTCCCTTCCTCTCTCTCTAAAATCAGTAAAAACATCCTCGGATGAGGATGCAAAAAAGTTTCCTGGACAGTTTACACAAACAATATGGTTTATATGGAACACCCGCTTTCCTTTCGGGATTCTGCAACTCTGGTGTGCACGAGGCACAGAGCGCATGCGTGACCGGCCCTGACGAACCCTGGGCTCGCATCTGCGGTGAGCGGGCCTGGCCAAAAACACTTCACGCGTGTCGTTCAAGTTCATGCCAGAGGACCTAGCGCGCCCTGTCTGATTCTGGGGCGGAGGACTCTGGGAAGCTGGTTTGCTCCAGACTTCACCCCACTGGCCTCTCCCCTTTGCTGATGCTTTGTATCATTTTTGTGTAATAAACCTTAGCTGAGAGTATGGCCACATGCTGAGATCACAGCAGCAGATCACAGAATCTGGGGTGGTCTTGGGGAACCCCACACACCATGCTTGAGTGTGCTTGAGTGTGATATGTCTACACAGGTGAGCACAAGTGTGCCTTGGTGTGCACACGAGGTTTGCAAGTGTGTGTGTGTCCTTGCATGCTATGCAACCTTGACCGCACATGCATGAGTCTGAGTATTTCTATGTATGGGTGTCCACATGCATGCACACTCACATGTATGTGTGTATATATGACTGTGTGTGAACCCATGTGTACCTATGGGGTGTGTCAAATAACACGTTATCTTGTGTGAGACTTCTGAGCCTCAATTCCCCATCTGTAAAATGGGGCCGGGTGACAATGGGCATCACACACCCAGCACACAGCAGGAGTTCAACTAGCAGTCCCCTCCCTTTTGTTTGGGTCCATATCACCAGAGGGTCCGGCCTTGAGTTTGACCCACAGTTTGGCCACAGAGGCCTGTATGTCAGACATCCCCTCCCTTCTTGGTTCATTTGGAGGATGAACCAAGCAGCCTGGCCCAACCCATCGACCCAAGAGCAAAAAAGGGTCAGAGGGCCAAGGTCCATGGTGGGGAGCTCCTGCCACCTGGCGGCCAGAGAGAGAGCTGGCTGCCTAGTGTCCAGGCCTAGGTGACCTGTGGCCTGGGGCCGTGTTTGACTTGGGGCTGTTAGGAGAGCTGGGCCAACCTCTGCTCCATGCCCTACCCCATCAAGGGCAAGGCCACTTCTTGATCCCTCAGCTGACACCAGACAAGAACATAGTGCAGGTCCTCAGACACGGGCTGGTGCTCAGTTTCTCTGGAGAAGGGACTCAGTTGAGGTGGGGTGGGGAGGGGTGGGGATCATATGCAAATTCTCCCCTGGAGAATAACAGCAGGAGTGTGCACCAGTCACCCAGCACTACAAAGCCAGGTCAAGGTCTGCTCCACACATGCCAAGCACATGCTAGCCATCCTCCAACTACACAGGACAGGGCTTCTCCTGGGGCAAGGGAGGAAAGGCCCCAGTTCCAGGCCTGATTCTCCTGCTTTGTGAGGCCCCAGGAGGCGGTCGCCCTCCCACTCTGCCCAATCCCTGAGGACAGTACCCCTGTACCCACTCGACTCCCCCCATGGAGGGTGGCCCTCCCCTGCCCTGGCTGAGCCTCCGCCACCTCCCTGAGGCCCTGTCCTCCCCTCCTCTGGCCAAGGGCTCATTAACACCAGGGCAAGGCAGAGCAGGGCAGGGCCGGACACCAAGAAACCACAAACCCCGTCTCCTGGTCCCCAAACCCATCCCATCCCCAACCCTATCACACCTGAGTGGTCAAGAGCCCAGCCCTGTCACAGCCTGCAGGGACACAGCAAGGCCAGGACTCAGGAGCAGCTCTGTCATCCTCAACAACTGGCCTCCAGAGGCTGCAGGGCCCTCTCCGTTCACACATGCACACCCACTCACTTCCTGATCTTCAGGCCCTCTTCGTTGTCCGGAAGGAAGAACTCGAAGGAGGTGTACGTCCTGACCACGTTCCGGCGATACTGGCCAACGTTGAACTCTGGGGGAAAGAAAAGGCTCGGCTTTCACCCAACAGCACCCCCCCCACTTGTGAGCTGAACCTACCCCGGGCCCCGCAGCAGTCTAGCCATCTCTCATGCCCCCCCCCAGACACAGCCCCAATGCCCACTTGGAAAGCCAAGGCCAAGTCTCACCTCGCGTGGGCACGCCAATCCAGTTCAGGTAGCGGGTCAGCTTTTTAGAGATGTAGGTTTTGCCCCTGGCTGGCAGGCCCACCATGACGATGAGCGTGGGGCAGTTGGTCATGCAGACTGAAAGGCAAGGAGCAGAGGTCAGACAAGGGTCAGGACCCCTCCCGGGGGGGCCCTCGCTCCCTCTCGGCACAGGACTGGCATCGGATATGCTTTCCAAGCCTCTTCCCGTCACACAACTCCCTGAGCGCCCCCAGGTCCTGACCTCAAGCAACCACTGGCTTGCTCCTGTGGGGGTGCAAAATAAGTCACCCCAACATGTACCTCTGTGGTATGAAGATGGCTTTGAGCGAAAGGCAACTTTAGCCACAGGCCCAAGAGAATCTTCTGCCTCGGCCCCATTAACTACAGAGAAGAATTTGAACTGCAGGCCTTGCCCATAAGCTTTTATCAGAGATAACTTCTTTCAACCTATCTGCAGGGCAGGGCAAACGTCTGTTTACTAAAGGTCAGTTCTTCTTACCCTCCTGCCGTTACTGGCTGAGGCTCTCCAGGTGCAGTACCTCCTCTCTAGCTCAGGGTCTTCTCTACCCTCAATCCCCTTTCCGTGTCTGAACCTCTCACGTACATGGGGTTCTCCTATGTACGTATGCACGTATTTAATTTGGTTGTTTTCTCTTGCTAACTTGTCTCATGTCTATTTTATTTCTAGGCCAGGCAGATGAACCTTGGGGGTAGAAGAGTTTGTTCCTCCCCCCACACTCCCCAGGGCTGCCCGGGCTCCAGCAGCCACAGTCGAACCCCCCTGCTGTGCATCACCAGACACAAAGCCGGACCTGCCACGCTGCTGGGGAGTCCCATGGTGCGCAGGGCAGAGCCAGAGCCCAGGGGCTTCCCACACTGAGCCACCATCCAGGAATCCCACCGCACGGTGCCACTGCGCACTCTCCCGGGTGAGCTTCTCTTCACAGTGCAAAGCCCAACTCAGAAACTGGCCTTCCTCCTCAGCACCCCCGAGCCCACCCGGCGAACTCTGTCCTCAGTCTCAGTGATCTCACTAAGGAGTCTGCGCCCCGCGACCTGTCACTTGGAGTGAAAGCAGCCCCGCAGTGTCTGAGCTGTTCGGGATCCTTTGGTCTGGCACAGAGTCGGTGCTCAAAATTTATGGACAGGAGGGCGGAAGGAAGCATCTCAAAACCCAACAGGGTAAGGCTGCAAGGGGCTGAGACCAGAGACCCAGGCCAATGTCCACAAGGGCAGACCCAGTGAGAGCCCACCCCCCATCCCTGTACCACCAGGACCGTGTGCCAATCAGAGACACTGCCAGGCTGGAGGTGGGGAAGGGTCTGGCCATAGCCCCCCTGACTCCCTGGCCTGTTGGGACAGACACCAAAGCAGCAGAATGTGACCTGGCTCAGCTTTCAGTGTGCTCTCCACTGAGACGCCGCAGGAAGCTTCCCTTTCGTTGACCTCAGGAACTGGGCCAGGTGACACCACAGCAGACAGAGATGGACAGATGTGAGGACCTGTCAGGGCCCTTCTTTGACCCCTGCGGCTCTGCAAGTGTCCTTACCTGGTAGCCCTCCTTAGACAGACTTCCAGGCCCGACCCCCCAACCCTCCGGCTGAAGCACAGTGGCCCCAGGGCCAGCCCTGCCTGGGGGTCAAGAGTCAGAGAGACCTGGGTTCTAATCCTGACTCTGCTGGAATCTATGAGGGGCTGATAATCAATCCCTCAGGGAGGTCCAGCACTATCTCCAAGTAAAAGTGCTTCCGGCCCTGACTGGCATGGCTCAGTGGGGTGGGCATCCTCCGGCCAATAGAAGGGTCACCTGTTCGATTCCCAGTCAGGGCACATGCCTGGGTTGCAGGCCAGTCCCTAGTTAGGGCTGGTAAGAGGCGGTCGATTGATGTTTCTCTCTCACATCAATGTTTTTCTCCCTCTTTCTCCCTCCCTTCCCCTTTCTAAAATTAAATAAATAAAATCTTAAAAATAAATAAACAAACATACCCTGGCAGCACGCCAGGCTAAGGACACAGGTGTACCTCAGCACCAACTGCCGTGGGGACTTGGGTGTGGAGACACTCTTGTCCCCAGGGGGAAGTAAAGGGCCCTACTCCCCAGTGCGAGCGCCATCGCTGCTGCGAGCAAAGGTGACACAAACAGTGAGCCCCAGGGAAGGACAGGAGGGTATCCCACGGAACAGAAGGTAAGCAAGAGTGAGGGAACTTGCGAAAAAAAACCTCAGCGTTAGCTAATGCATGAGAAAAACAAGTTGGGCAAGGCCCTGTGTCCTCAAGGCCACCCACAGTGGGCCCTGTGCCATTTGCACAGTTTCTAGCTGGCCGGCAGGGGCTCTCGGGCAACTGCAGGGCAGTGTGTGGCTATGAACCAGGGCAGTGCATGGCGACTAACTGTGGGGGAGGACCTGCACCCATCCTGCTCCCCGTGACGATGCCACCTCTTCCCACGGAGCCCTGGAGGGTTCCTCTGCAGTCTCAGGACTGGGGTCCTGCATCTCCTCTTCATCTATCTTCCCAGAGACGCCTTCGCCTCCCAGCAAGGGGTCTGCTCAGCACGCCCCCTCACCCCACCCTGTGTGCACAGCCACAGTGGGCAGGCGGGGCAGCAGATCCGGGCTGGGTGCAAAACAAGAGCAATAAATCACCTATTACTTCTGTTCCTCAAGATAAGCTCCCAAATAAATGACCGAAAAGAAAAGTCAAAGTACAAGTCTCTTCACCACAGCTCTGCTTTCCAACAGCAAAACACTGGGAAAGTGCCAGAAGTTGCAAACTAAACCCCACTTGGGGGCGTGGGGGCGGTAAACAACTGCAGTGGAACACGGAGCATGCAGACCAGGAGAGCTGGGACATGCAGCTCTGGGCCCTCAAGGACCCTGACAATGAGCAGCAGGACAGCAGGACACACTTTTTAGGACATTGGGTATGTGCGGAAGGAAATCTGAAAACATGTCATTGGCTTCCCTCTCTAGTTCCTCTTCCTGTACATTTGTTCAAGACCACGGGAGCCCTGGCACACAAGAGGCCTGAAACAAGCCTCGTGCTGGACAGGGAACACTTTCTGGTGAGGCCGCCCCAGGGACAGCCACAAGTCCTTGAAGTGGGTTCCAGAACCGATTCCTGAGCTGGGCCTGCTCCACTTCCCTGGGCCAGGCGGGGGAAGGAGGAGCTCCTGCATATCACTGTCCTGTTCGGAGGGGACAGAAAGTCAACTCCCCTACTGTGCTGTACACACCTCAGTCATGTCCACACCCAGGAAGAGTCTTGCCACCTTTTGGCTAAGAAAAGCCACCAGACAGACACTGTCCTTTCTGCTGCGCTTCCTGAGTCCCCTCTTCATCCCTGCCTCACCCGCCCAGCAAAGCACCTCCAGGTGCTGAGGAGTCAGTGATGAGGGAGGTAACAGGTTCCGGACCTCAGGTGTAGCTCTGATTTTATCAAAAGGAGGAAGAATCGCTAATGAGAAGTGGGGGTGGAAGAAGCACAGGATGTCCCACAGCCACCAATCAGCCTAGGGTGCCCAGAGGACAACCTACCACACAGCACAGACCAGCCCTGAGCCCCGCACCCTCTTCTCTGCAAACACCTGAGAGTGAGTGGACTCCTCTGCACCACCCACCCTCAGGTCCACACTTGTCCTCGTGGCCCTCCTACCTGGTCATAGGTCTGCTTTGCAGAGCATAACGGCTGCAGGAATGTAGCCTCTGGACAATGGACCTGCTGCACAAACAGGCTCCATCTCCAAGTTCGTTCACTGCTGAGTAACACCCTGCTGTGAATTCTGAAACCCTAACCTGGGGCCCAAACCCCCACACAATCTGCAGGTGCCTCTTGGCCTCTTGGGTGCCACTTCCTTCTCCAGGAAGCATCTGGGGTGCTGGGCCAGCCCACAGTTCCACCCACTGCAACACAGTGTGGCAGGCACGAGCCCTTCTGCCCAAACCAGAGCCATATTTTAATCATAGACTTGGAGCTTGGAGAAATATAGACCCTGCCAAGGGACTGTGAGACCTCGGCAAGTCCCTTCCCCACCGGACTGCAGCTCCCTTCCCACCTGTAATGGGGGTTAGCTCAGAGTCGATGCTTCAGTCCCAGACTTTGAGGTGACAAGAGGTGACAGTGGTGAGATTACAAAATCTCCTACTGAGCACCCTCCTACTGAGCACCTACTCATTAAGAGGTTCATCACAACTTCATGGAGCAGGATGGTAACAGTCTCATCCCACAGGCAAGGAGCCCGAGGCCTCTAATAGAGGCTCAGCTTTCTGCCCAAGGTCACACACTGGAGCCAGGAGGCAGCTTGAGTGTTCCTCCCTCCAAAGTCCAGGTTCTTACTCCTTTCTCTGTGTGAGAACAGCAGCTAGTTCAGACAATGCAGCGCTAAAACAGAGTGGCCAGGAGCACAGAAGAGGGGCCCTCACACCTCCAGAAATGTCTTGAAGGAGGACTCAGAGCAGTGCATGGAAAGCCATGGGCCCAAGACTGAAAGCATGATCACAGGCTCCACCCCCCATCAGGACCTATATCACGGTCAAAGCCATGGCCACTGCCTGTCAGGACTCACAGTGTGGAAGGAGAGACACACACTTCTTCCCTAGGACTCACATCATGGTCAAAGCCAAGGCCCCGGGCTGGCCTCCAAGCCAGACAAACGCAGAGCACTTTCCCCTCCCTTATCAGGGCCAAGCAGCAGAGGTCAGGAGTGCAGGGAGACCCTCAGGCATACCCAGTCTCCTGTTCTCCACTCCATACGTGTACCAGGAGTTGGACTGGATGTTCTCTGAGGTCCTTGCCAACTTGCAAATTCATCACAATGTTTCATTACTCCTAAAACAAATCTTTGTTTTTCTTCATAATAAGAAGGTTGAAGACTCAGTTAAGGACATGTAGAAAGTCAAGGTAGTGGATTAAACTCCCAGGACCCCAAGAAAGGCGAGCCCCTTAACAATGTGAATTTCAGCATGGCTCCTAGATGTTTTAGCCCAAATGTTACCATTTACCCATGACCCCACTGGAATGCTTCCACACCCCTGGACACAAAGACAGGCCAGTACAGCACAGTGCCCTCGCCATCTCTATCCAGTCAAAGCTGCACATCCTTGACCTTCCTCCTAAAATTCGATTTTAGGCGAAGAGGTGGGTGGTGAAGGCCAAGAAGCAAGCCTTCTTCCCACTGCAGGGCTAGCCTACACTTGGGCCTTTGAAAGTTCTGGACTCAGAGAGGCCAAGCAATTTCTCCAGAGCCAACACAGCTCAGACTCGGTCCAATTACCAGGCCCACGCTCTCTGGCCAGCAGAGAGGACAGGGCAAGGACTCCAGGTCCTCCCCTGGCCTGAGGCAGTGGGGACACTGTGAAGTGCTAAGGGGCTGGGGCCTCTCTCATAGGTGAAGACGGCAAGACCTAGTCCCCAAGGAGCCAAGATTTCCCCACATCCCTGTTTCCGTCTCCTGCTCTGCCACACCTGTCCCCGACCCACCACCTGTTTCTGCTCCCCTCCCACCAGTCTAGGCAGCCTCACCTGTCCCCGGATCCGCACCAGTTCTCGGCCCCCTCTGCATGCGAGACCACTGCCCAGGCCGCCCTACCCACCCATCCCCGTGGAGGGCCCTCCCCGCTCCCCGGGGACCCCGCCTCACCACCGCGCTGGCAGGCGTGTAGGGCGGGCCGCCCGTTGCTGTACGGCATCCAGATCTTTTTCAGGGGGTTTTGAGTCAATTCCCTTGGGGATGCCATCCCGGAGGCGGGAGGAGTCGGGAGTGCGCGGCTTCCGAGCCCCAGAAGCCTAGCCAACTGGTGCCACTAGAGACCCCGCCCCTCGGCCCCGCCTCTCCTCCCGCCGCGTGATGTAAGGCCAGCACCCCGCAGGCCCCGCCCCAGGCCGAGCAGGCTCCACCCTAACTAAAGAGGGCCGGGCCTCCGCCGCGCATGCCCAACTCTCCGACCAGCCGGACCTCTGCGGGCCTGCCCTTCCTGCGGGAATACGGGGCGCGCATGCCCAAATCCCTACGGGCCCAAGTCCTGGGGTGGCGGTACAGGCCTGGCCTCGGGTGAACCCATCCAGCACACCAAACCCGACCGCGCTGACTTGCAGGGGTCTCTCCTAAGGCCTTGCCCGGGACAACAGCCGCCTCGCCCCCAAAGAACCTGAAATTCCTCTCCTTACCACGCGGGGCCTCAGGGACCCCAGGAGGGAGGACTTTACCTGCAGAGGGGCACAGTCTAGTGACACGCGAGGCTTGATTGGTTAGGACCAACCTAGAGGCCTCTAGGCGACTGTAATCACTGGCCTGACCTCCCAACTATCAACTCCCCTCCGCCCCAACCCTCCCATCTGCGCCAAGTCCGGGGACTCTTCCCCCAACCCACAGGAGCGATTCGCTCCACCATGCTGAAAACGTTCCTTTATCTCATGGATGGGAACCCAGGAAATATTTCAAATTTGATCGTGTTTCTCCTTTTGCCTTAGCTGCTGGGGAGCTCAGGCTAAACCCCAGGCGACCTGGAGCAAGTGAGTGGGACGCGAGTGGGAGTGGGACATAACAAAGCTCTGTGGGGACTCTGCTGAAAATGGAATGTGCAGGTCATCAATCTTACAAGATCTTGGTATAGAGTAAACGTGTCAGTGTCTAAAAAATCCACTCTAAAGCACATTCATGTTATCATTTATTACATTATTTGTCTACTGTCTCTTAAAATGCAAGTGGAGGCAAGGCAGAAAGTCTGGAGATTCAGAAACCCCTGGGCCACTCTGCTGTCTTCTCCGCTCAGCCTCTCCGAGCTTTGGACATTTTCTGCCCTGGGGCCCCTGTTGACATGGCTGAACCTGTCACACTGCCCTCCAGCGAGGCCCTCTGCCACTCCCCTTGATGGGATCACTGTACCCTACCTGGAGTTCCCTCTGACCAAACTGTGCCCGGTCAGGAGCCAGGTGCTTGGGGCGTGAGCAAGGAAGGGTCACCCCAGTACACCAAAGGTGCTGCAACCCCTCCCTCAGCCTCTTCACCACACCCCTGCCTTGGGTTAGTTCTCCAAATCACCACCCAGCCCTTCAGAGCCTGGCAAGGACCCTTAGGCTGACTCTGATACAGATGGCCTGCCCACTTCCCAGGAAATGAAGGATCAGGAGGTCCACATGCTGGAAGCCCACCTAGACCCTCCCTAAAACCAGCTCAAGCTGCCTCCCCTTGGGATGCCCTACCTCAGACAGCTTCGGCCACTTCCTCCTTCCCCTGCAGGGTCCACCCCACCTCCCTCCACCCCACACCCAACACCTCTGAGCACACCCGTGGGTGGCCTCCGATGAGCAGGAAACCCTTCATGACCACCCTTCTGCTTCCTCCTCCTCCATAGCCACTCATTCTGTTCCTGGCACAGCCAGCCCTTCTGTCTCCTGGCCACTGCCAAGGTCATCCTGGGGCCACTCTGGCCTCAGAGACCTTGTCACCGTATGCCCACACCCTGTCTATCCCCGCCCCGCCCCCCTCCCCCACACTCACTGCAAAGACCGCCTCCTCTCACACCCACAAACACCCAGCACCTCCTCAGGCCTGCCCGTGCTCCTCCCCACCTCCCTGAGGATGTTCTCAAAGGCTCGGGGTAGGAGGCAGCCAGGGCAGGGCACTTCTTCCCAGGGCCGTGTCTGGGGCGCCACCTCCACACCCAGAGAGGCTGAGTCTGGCTTCCGAGGAAGCGCAGCAGCTCTCACCTCCCACTCTTCCCCAAACAGCCTGCGCTGATTCAGATATACCCTCCCAAGTCCCGGATTCCAGAAGGAGGCCACGGGTCAGCAGCAGGAGCCTGGGCCCCTCCCCAAGGCCAGGGTCCACATCTGCTGGGAGGATACTCCCCATGTGCCCTCCCATGGCCCCCGTTTCTCAGGGAGAAGCTGAGGAAGGGGAGTCGTGTTGCAGAGCCAGCCCAGCCCCACCCCAGCAGGGTGGTCTCACTATGGCCCACACCTTGCACTGCTGCACTTCCACCTCTGGCCTGGCTCCTGCGTGCTCTCTCCATTGAAATGCTCCTCTGGCTTTCTCATCCTCAGCGTCAGTAGGTGCCCTCAAGGCTTTTGTCTCCTCGGGGCCACCCCAAAGTGAGCCAGCAGTCCGTGGAAAGTGTGCCAGGGTGTCAGTATGCACTCGTGTGTGTGCACATGTCTTACTCAGTCTCCCCACCGTGAACCCACCTCGCCTGGCCCTGGCTAGCTCAAGCTGTGGTGCCCTCTGCACTGACCAACGGACCTGCTTTCGTGTCCCAGGCCACAAGCTGTGGGGTGGCTGGAGTACTCAACCCTCGATTCTCAGTGCTCAAACTCTGCTGTCCTGTATCTGTGGGCCAGCCCTGACCAGCCACCAAGCCACCCTTTGCAGCACGAGGCCCCAGGGACCTCAGTGAACACTACACAGACCCACACATTGAAGTAAGCGTGTGCACATGCTGACAGGCCCTGTGCCTGGGGCCTGCTGCTCTCTGCTGCCTTCCTTCCCCTTTATTCCCTTCCTCCTGTCCCCTCTGCTGCCACTGGCTGGCTGGTTCAGGGAGTTCTCAGGAGTTCCAGCTTCCTCTGGCCATGTCTGGCCAAAGATCATTCCCTGTGTCTCCCTGTGCCCAGAGCTCACGGGAGGTGTGAGGTTCCAATTTGGAGGCATGGAGCCACGTGACCAAGTGGCCCGGGAACCCTTATCTGCACTTGCTGCTTCCAGCCTGGCACAGGGTGCACAGTGGTGCTCAAAGTGACTCAGGACCAGCCAGGGAACACAGAAAGGGCTCCAAGAGGCTCATGACCCCCTAGGGCACAGGGCACACAGTAGGTGCTTAGTGCAGCTCAGGATGGGCACAAGGCCCACAGTAGGTGCCGTAGAAATGCTGCTTTAAGCGCTAAAGCGGAGTCATGCAAAAAACTTGCTGGATGAGCCTCTGAACCTCCCCAAACTGGTGTGACCCCTGACTAGGAACCCGGAGGCCAGCGAAGGGCCCCGAGGGAGGGCCTTGAGCACTCCAGCTGGCTGTCCCTCCCCTCGGACTGGAGGAAGGAACTATTTATAGCTCCTCCTTGGCCCAGCTCCCTCTCTCCCGCTAGACTTCAGCATGACCCCTCTTCCATACCACTGACAGGCTGATACCCCTCAGAGCACCTCTCTACCTGCAGAGACCCCCAACAACCTTGCACCCCATCCAGCACCACCCCACTGCCCCCAGGTCATTTCCCAATTCCCCACCCTCTCCACACCACCTTGCACCTACCCTGCCTGCTGCTCCTTGACCCGGGGTCCGTCAGGAGGCTGCCTCCTTCTGTGCCTCTGTCCATCCTGCAACCCAACTGGCCCGGGTACCGCCCCCTGCAGCTGGTGGAGTCCCGCAACCCCGCCCTCTGGCTCTGGAGAGAAGAGCCTGACCCGTGGCCCCGCCTCCCCAGCCCCGCCTTGGGCCCGCCCCCCACCGCTGCTTTCTACTGAGATCCACCTCAGTGCCCCCACTCCAGGCAGCCACCCTCCAGCCAGTACTGCCTCTTTCCCAGCAGAGCTGTCCGTACCGCCCAATTCTGCCCTCACCTCCAGCTGGGGTTGTGTACACCGCCTAGAGTGCCTGCCCCACCCTCAGGCAAACCTGTCTGCACTATCCGGAAGGTCAGTCCCTCTCAGGACCCGCACCAGAGCCCCTCGCATGAGATAAGGCAAAGCCTACTCTTCCACACCAGGGGAGCAGGTGTGGGGAGCAGGGAGTGGGCAGAGGGGCAGCACAGCCAGCAGTGCCGCCGCCTCCGCGTGTCTGTCTCTGCCTGGGTGCACATGGCTGTGCAACTCTCAGCCATTCCAGTCTCCAACACTACATTTATTGAGCTCCACCTGCATGCCAGAATCTTGATGTGCTCTTGTCACTCGGTGCTCACAAGAAGCCAGGTGGTGTCACCTGTTGTACAGATGAGGAAACAGGCTCGGAAAGGTGATCTGTTGCTCAGGACAGCTTGCTCAGGGAGGGGCAGAGCTGGGCCCGAGCGCCAGCATCCTGAGCCTGTGCTCCCTGAGCCCTGTGCATCCAAGGGTGGAGGCTGGGTGTGCCGGGCTGCAGCCGGGACCATGCCTGGCTGTGTGTTCTGCACACTTCATGCAGGTCTGGGTGACAAGCACCTGTTCCTCCAAGCCCTGTCACATGCCCTCACCTGTCACGCACACTTGAAGCTGTCAGATGTCAGAGATGTGGCCACACATACACACACTCCCCATCCCCAGAGGCAAGGTGGCCAAAGCCACAGACTTCCCACTACAGCCACCTGCGCCTGGAGATGCCCCCAACAGCCTGTCCACCCAGGGTGGGTGCTGCCTTGGGAGCACAAACATGCACTTGACCATCAGCCACCACTTCCGTGTGGTGGCCTGTGGGGACAGGACTGACCGCCAGTCTCGGGTGGGCTTGGTCTCAGAGGCAGTGGCGGGCTCCTGCGTGGAGGTCCCTGAGAGCGGGTGAGAGTGGCCACGCAGGGCGGGGTCCAGACGCTCTGTGGTTGTGGGGCCCCCACACACGGCAAGCCTGCACAGGCAGCGGCCTTCCATGCTAGCGATCAGACATGCTGTACATCTGTGGTGCTCCCAGGTGCGGCACGACTCCACTTGGCAGTCACCCGACACGGCCGTCCAGACGCGCTGCGGCACTCAGGTGTGACGAGGCAGTGACGGCACATGGCGGCGTCCAGATGCACTGTGCCCAGAGCAGTAGGTCCAGCTCTGCCACTGCCCTCCAAGCGGCCCCTGCCCTCAGGCTCAGCGGCGGCCGACATGGGCCAGGATGCGTGCATTGGCGGCTGCCTGCTCCCTCGAAGCTCTGGCCCGGGCCTGCTCCAGTAGGATCTGCTGGAGGCCAAGGGGCACGTCCAGCGAGAGGGTGATGCGGGGGCCAGGGCGGGGGCCAGGGCTGGGGTGGCTCCGAGGGGTGGAGGGGCCCATGGTGCCGGCTGAGGGGCTCTTTGCGGCAACAGGGCAGGGAGTGGCCCGAGGAAAGTCCTGAGCGTGGAGCTGGAAGACTGGGAGTGGGGTCGCAGGGGCAAGCGGGGCCCTGCCCAGCGTCAGGACCGTCAGCACCAGAAGAGCCCACTCGGTCATCGCGTGGTCAGGCTGTGAGGAGAGAACAGGCTCAGGGCAGAGGCTGGGGTCAGCTGTGGCTCAGGGACGGGGACAGGGACGGAGGGGCAAGGAGAGAACCAGAGTGACACAGAGAAGGGGCCCGAGAGGCAGAAGGGTGACAATGAGGGAGGCAGAGATGAGTGAAGGGGGAGGGGGTCAGAGACAGTAAGAGTGTGTGTGTGTGTGTGTGTGTGTGTGTGTGTAGAGATTATATTTATATTTATACTTGAATTTCTATTCATACAGAGGGAGAGAAGGCGAGAACGAGGGAGGTGGGTGAGAGGGAGCCTGGAGGAGAGAGGAAGAACCCAGGCCAGGCACAGACACTGCGGTGGGATAAGGATTCGGAAACAGAGAGACACGGAGGGACGAAGGACAGCCTGAGGTCAAGGCAAGAGTCCAGGACAAAGGGGCGGCGATGGGGGTCCTTGAGCAGGAGAAGCAGCCAGGGCCCCTGGAGCACCCTCAGGCCCAGAGACCTCCACTCACCCGAGGCCCTGCCCACCCCGCCCAGACCCCAGTCCTACCAAAGCAGCAGCCTCCTCTGGGGTGAGTCAGGGCCACCGTGGCTGCCCAGGGCTGGGGCCAGGCGCCTGTGCTGCGACCTCACCCTCTGCCCCCGTAAGAGCCCCTTTTATCTCTCTCAGCCCCTTGCGGGGGGGGGGGGGGGGGCGGGGCAGGTCTCCTGGCATGAGGCAGCCCCCTACCCATGATTCATCCCCTCCTGGGGGGCAGTGAGGACATACCCTCAGCCCCCTCCCTGTGTACTCCTTTCTGGGGACAAGCGGGGGTCTGAGGGTCATAAGACAGCAGGACCCCACACCCATGCAGGACAGCACTGACCTCCCAGGGAAACCGGCCCCCTGACACCCCACCTCCCCAAGCAGCCACAACAAGGGTCTTTCGAAACAGCAGCTTTAATGCCCCCCAGAATCAGCACCATGTTGTCATCACAGGCTTGGGTCAAGGGGCGGGTCAGATGTAGTCACATCCGTTCCCTGCCCACACCCACCCCCATGCTGAGTCATCTGCCAAGGGAGGCAGGAGCCACAATGGGGGTTTGTCCACAGGGGGGAAGGCGAGACCCACAGGAACAAGTCACTGAAATGACGGACAGACTCATGCACACTCATGGGCACAGGAGCCTCTAGCACCAAGGAAAGGAACGGAATGTCCTGCTGAGATGCCATCTCCTCCAGAGATCATTGAACTTCAGCTCATCCCCTGGGCCTCAGCTCTGAAGAGCACCTGGCGGGGCAGGTTGGGAGGTGTGTCAGCTGCCTGACCTTCCCCAGCACATGGGTCACAGGGCGGGACAGTGGGGGAAGGGCTCCTTATCTGGTCTTTCAAGGAGAGAGAACAGAGGGGACCATAGTGGAGACTCCACAGGTGGGTTCTCTCTTTAGCTCTTTGGTCTTGGCGTCTGTCCCAGGTCCCCCAGTCCAAGGGGCCTTCTGACCGGGGACCCTGACCCAGGAGCTGATCCCGGCAGGCTCAACACCCGGGCCCCTGCTGGGGCACAGGGCAGGCCCGTACCTCCGCCCTGGCTCTGGGCACCGTGCGGCGGGCAGCGGCGCTCGCAGGCCTCGCGGGTCCCGAAACGGTTGGCATTCCCTCCGCAGCCACCGTAGACGAAGGGGTGACAGCCCTCTGTACCTCCAGCCACAGCACGATGGTACCAGCGCAGGGTGTAGGCAGTACAGGAGCCCTCGTCCAGTGGAAGCAAGCAGGGGTCTGGGGTCCAGGGGGGGCAGGAGGTCAGCAGAGATGGTGGCAGTCAGAGAGGGCCTGGGGTTGGCAAGGGGTCCGCAGAGACCAGCTCTGCCTGCCCTCCCCAAGCCCCTCTGAACCCAGCCAACATCCTCACCATCGCTGTCCCAAGGGGCCTCAGGGTCCTGGGAGTCCTCCACCGAGTACTCAGAGTATTCATACTCGTCGTCCTCAGGGGGCACTTGGTCTGCCACAGGGCATGGGGCGGGTGCTGTGAGGGGGCTGCTGCTGGGCCAGGTTCCTGGTGCCCAGCTCCAGCCCACGGTCTCTGGCGTGTGTGCACACATGTGCCCTGCGTGCAGGAGCACTCCGCCCACATGCCCCATGGGTCCAGCTATCCTCACCTTCCTCCTCGGCATGAGAGACCCGGAGCACGGGCACAGGGCGGCGCTGGTGCTGGGCAGTGTCTGCAGCATAGCTGGGGAGGGGGTCTGGAGCAAGAAGCAGGGGCACAGGGCCCTGGGGTCGGCATGGCGGCCACCCCAGCCCAGTCCCTGCAGAGAGGGCCAGGTGATGGGCACCGCAGGGCCTGGGGTGAGGGCATTTCCCAGAACAGAAAATACCAGAAAACCACTCACGTGATCCAGATGCGATAAACTGTCCCTGGCAGGCTGGAAGGGGCAGAAGGGCAGGGACAATAACAGAGGAAGCAAGAGACAAAGGTAGAACGAGGCAGGGCGAGAGAGACACACACGGGGGTAGAGATACACAGGGCGGGACGGGGAGACCAACAGGGGAGGCAGAGGAAGGGAAGCAGAGACAGAGAAAGGGAGCGAGAAAGAGGAAGAAACGCAGGGTAGAAACAGAAAGGACGAGAGAGAAGTTGGGACAGGTCAGCAAAGGGCAAGAGAGAAGGAGACAGTGACAGAAACAAGCGCGTGAGACAACATGAAAGCAGGTGCAGAGAGAGGACGGGAGGGGACAGACCTTCACTGTTTGATGCCCCATGTCAGGCCCGGAGGGACAGCCCTGCCCCCACCTCCATCCCCTCCACACGTGCTGTGCTGGGCATCCTGACTCCCTGCGTGTCCACGCACTTCCGCTTGCCTCTCCGCTGGGGAAGCCCTATCCTGAAGCACGTGTGTCCTCCTGTGTGTCCACCCCTGTCCACCATCGCCTTGACTCCTTGCCACTGTAAGCCCCGGGGACCCTGCCTGGCCCTGTCCTAGGGCTCTGAGACAGCACGGGGCCTCGCTCACCGCAGTGCTGACTCATCTCCTGACGCACGAAGCCCCGAATGTCATCCTCCTGGGAGCACCAGACCACAAGGATCACGAAGAGCCCCCGGACCCCGGGGTGGACAAAGGGCACATGAGGCAGGGATGATGGAGGGACAGCATCAGGTCAGGGGGTCAGGGCACTGGGGCAGGAGGCGGGGCCCTCCCTCCCAGCGCACACTCACCGTCAGCGCGGCTTCTCCCTTCTCACCCCGGGGGCCAGCAGGCCCTGGCCGCCCCTGCGTGCAATGGGGGACGGGGCTGTGACCTCTGACCTCAGGAACACCAGAGGTCACCCCAATCTCTGACCGCAAGCCCAGGAATCCCCACTCACCTGTTCCCCTCTCTCTCCAGGGGTCCCGGGGGCACCAGGGGCTCCCACCACACTCTCTCCAGGGGGACCTCGCTCACCCTGTCAGGCGCAAGGACCAGGGTCAGGGGTACGGGGGTCAGACACAGGGCAAGTTAAGGATCGTAGGTGTGGAAGTTGGGGCAGGGATATTGGGAGATGGGGAACAGGATCAGAGGTCAGAGAAGCTGGGAGAGTCAGGGAGGTTCAGGGGTCAGGAGTCAGAGTCAGGGCCTCTCACCTTCTGGCCCTGAAGTCCTTCAGATCCTTTGGGACCAACACTGCCAGGTGGCCCAGGGGGACCACTAGCACCATCATTGCCCCTGGGACCTGGGAGGCCCCCGATCCCTGGGGGCCCCTGGGGAGAAACAGGTCAGGGGCAGTGATCAGAGCCCCCAAAGATGGAGCCACTTCCAGAGAGCACAGCAGTCTCCTCAGTTCACCATGACCTTGGCCTCAACTCACCCGCTCTCCTTTCTCGCCCTGGTCACCCTTGTGTCCTGACTGTCCATCAAAGCCTCGGTCGCCCTGGGAACAGAAAGGACTATGGGAGACCCTCTGCCCTGGCCTCCCTCAGCTCAGCCACCGTGAGCCTGGGCACAGTGGCCACAGCCTTCCACAACCCCTGCCAGCCTGGGATGCTCTACCCGCTGCGACACCCAGGACCCCAACCCCACTGCAGTGACCCCCGACTCCACCAATTTTCCTACACTGACCCGCTACCCTCCTCCCCCACCCACCATTGACCTCCCATCCCTCCACCCTAAAGCCCACTGTGACCCTGACCCACCCTGAAACCTCAAGACCAGCCCCCGCCCCCACTGTGTCCCAACCTCCACAGTTTCCTTCACCTGAACTCTCATAACACTACCATGACCTTCCTTGCCCATCCTGACTCCCCTACTGTCCACTACTGGGAGATGCCGTACCTTGGGACCGATGAGGCCCTCCTTGCCCGGGGCCCCTGCCTGGCCTGGCGTGCCGGGCTCCCCCTGGAGAAGAGAAGGCGTGTGCTAGGGCTTGGCCCGCCGTCCTCCCCCAGTTCTGGGTGTGCCCGCACTCACCGTATCTCCCTTGCGTCCTGCCAGCCCAGGGCGGCCTGGGGAGCCAGCTTCTCCCTGCGGGCATCGGAGGGGGGGGGTCAGCCTGAGGCCTTGTGCCCTGCGGCCCCCCCACATCGTCTCACCCCTGTACCTTATCTCCCTTCTCTCCGTCCATGCCACAGGCTCCCTTGACCCCCCGTTCGCCCTGAGGAAAAAAGCAGTGGACAGTGACTTCTAGACACTTCACTCTGTAACCCCTCGGCCCCAAACCACTCTCCAAACTGGTCTCAGACATGCCAGCCTCTCCCCTTTCAACCTCGGGCCTAACATCACCACTTTCAACTCTGGGTACCCAGCATCTGACCCTGGATACTGACCTCTGACCCCAGACACCTCACCCTCCAACAACAGGCCTCCTGACCAGGAGCAAGAAACCCAGTCCCCTTCCCACCTTGAGGCCCCGAGGGCCCATAAAGCCCATCTCTCCTTTGTCTCCTCGGATGCCAGGGGCTCCGTCCTTTCCCGGGGGTCCCTGGGGGAGAGAGGTCAACATGAAGTCAAGGAGCCAGTGAGGGGTCACGGGAATTGGTCTGGATGTAATGGGTGGGGCAGGATTTTCCATGGGAACAAGGGTCACCACAGGCAGGGTGTCGCCATGGGGTAGAACCATCACAGGGGTCACTGTGAAGGTGGGGGACACTGGGCCATCTGACAACACCATGAGAATATGGGGTCACCACAAGGGGAACGGGGCCTGTGGGACCGGGCATCTCACCGGGTCACCAGGAATCCCTGCATCACCAGGCTGCCCCTGTGGAAAATAGAGGGGCAAGACTTTAGTGTGACTGTCTCAGTGTGACTGACCCCTGCCGGCCTATCTGCTCCATGTGCAGCGGCCTGGTGGCTCTGGGTCCCGCCCAGACCCTGTGTGAACACACATGTGGCCGACACAGCGGACACACATGTGACGTGTGGCTTTGGCTCTGTGCCTGGGGCAGCGCTTGCCTTAGGTCCGGTGAGTCCACGGGTGCCCAGCGATCCAGCCGCACCCTTGTCACCAGGCTCTCCCTTGCTGCCCTGAAGGAGTGACCAGGAGAGGCAGTGCTCAGCCGAGCTAGAGGTTTGGAACCTTCCATCTGGGCCAGAGCTCCCCAGTGCCGCGGCCGCCCACTGCACCTGCGGCCCCAGCCCTTCCCGCCCGTGCCGTGGCAGGGTGGGCTGGGGGTCTGGGCCCATGGACCGCGTGACATGGGCCACAGACCCCAGGTAACCCAGGCTCCTGCCCCTCCCTCTTACCCCTGAGCCCCTAAATTTACCTGGAGGGCCCCTAATCCCCAAGGTAAATGGGGGCTCTTGTGCCCAGAGCTCCCCTCATGACCTTGGCTGAGGCCCCTGAGCCCTCTGTAGGCCCCTCTTGCTCAGCGGCTCCACAGGCCCACACAAGACCCCTCTCCTCTGATTCCCAGAAGGTCAGTGCCCACTGACCCCTCCCCACTTATCCTCACAGCCCACAGGACTCACACGGAGTGCCCCCCACTTCCCTGTACCTTTTCTCCAGGGCTCCCAAAGTCTCCCCGAGGTCCTTTCTCGCCATCTGCACCTCGCAGCCCTCGTTCACCCTAGGTCAGAGGTCAGGGGTCAGGGTCAGGAGCCGGAGGCCCCTCACCCTCTGAGGGTTTGGACTCTCAGATCTCCTGGCCCTGCCCCCATAGGAATTCCACCCTCGCCCGAGGGAGACCCAGTCAGCACAAGAGCAGACCCGCTCACCGTGTCCCCCTTGGCACCCCGTGGCCCCGGAGGCCCCATAACTACGGCCGAGTCACCCTGAGTGGATGGGGAAAAGTCAGAGGAGTCAGGAGCACCCTTAGTCCCTTGCCCCCCCCTTCCTCCATGTCCACACTCACCTTGTCACCCTTCAGCCCTGCCATTCCAGGGTCACCCTATTGGATGGAAGAGTGTGAGTCTCACCGGAAGGGGCGAGTCCCCAAGTCCTGAATTACAAGACTATCCCCAACCCCCACTCACTGCGGGGGCCATTTCTCCATGTCCTTACCTTCTCCCCACGCTCCCCCCGGCTGCCCGGGGGGCCCTGTGTAAGAGAAGAAGACTGTGAGCTAAGGGGCTTTGGGGAGACAGGTCAGGGGGTGGGGGAGGACTGGGCAGCCCAGGGGAGCAGAGGAGACAAAGGACCAGAGAGCAGTCAGGGAGAACCGGAGGGCCGTGGGGGGGCTGCAGGGTGTCCCAAGGGTACAGGCCAATAATAAAGTCACACCACTGGTGCTTTCCCCAAGGGGACCCACCACAAGTCCTCGGGGTCCCTCCTGGCCAGGGTGGCCATCTTCACCCTGGATGGCGATGTCAAATTCACTGAATCAGAAGTCGGGTTTAACGGGGAGCTCGGCAATAAAGGGAGTCCCAGTGTGGCTCCCTGCAGCGGGCCAGGGCTGCGGGGCAGGACATACGTACCCGGACACCTGGCTCCCCACGCTCTCCACGGGCCCCGGGCAGCCCTACTCCAGGGTCTCCCTGGAGATCGACAGGACACCAGGGATAAGTGTGGGCAATCAGTGGGCGACAGGGTTGTGGCAGGTCAGTAGAGTTGGATGGGGTGATGGGGGCCAGTGGGGGTTGGAGGGGTGACGGGGGTCAGTGGAGGTCGGAGAGGGTAACAGGTCAGTGGAGGTCGGAGAGGGTAACAGGTCAGTAGCGGTTGAAGGAAGTGACAGGGTACAGGAGAAAGCCAGCAGGACTGTGCGATCTACCCTGTCTCCTTTGAGTCCAGCGGCCCCGGGTGCTCCCTGTGGGCAGAAATGAGGTGAGGTGAGGGTCCTGCGCCCCTCAAAGGCACACACGTACCCGTCCGAGCAGTGTGGCATGGCCCCCACCTAGGTTCTCGCGTGGATAGACTTCAACGCAGGAATCAGACACACGGGGAGTTGGGGCACTCCTACTCACCGCTGACCCTGGTGGTCCAGGTGGCCCCAAGGGACCTGGGGGTCCCTCTCGCCCTGGGGGGCCTGCCAGACCCTACCAGAAAAACGAGGCAGGAGAGGCAGAGGTGACTTGGGAGCCTTCATCCTCCTCTGTCTCCCAAGACTTGGAGCCCTGAGGCAGGGCCCAGGCCACGTTTTCCTCACCCACTATCGGCTTCAGAGGTCCTGAAGTTGTCACGTCTGCACACGCACTCCCACCACCCTTACCCGTTCTCCGCTGGGGCCTGGCTGACCCGTCTCTCCTCGAGGGCCTGGCTGACCAGGGAAGCCGATGATACCAGGAGCGCCGGAAGGGCCAGAGGGGCCCAAGTCTCCCTGGAACACAGGTAGCAAAGGGAGGAGCGGTCCCAGAAGGACCCCTTCCCCCAGAATGACCTCTTCTCCCACCTGCCCACTGCCCCCGCCACAGGGGGTGGGGCAACGACTTACCTTTGGACCTGGAGGACCAATTGGCCCGGGGGGGCCCTGGACCCCAACTCCTGGGTCACCCTTCAAGGTAAAAGGGGTCAGATTAGGCTCATGGAGTCTCAGGACCATGACCCCCACCAGGGACCCTTTGGGGCACACATACCTTCTGACCCCTGAGTCCTGGAGCCCCTTTATGACCCTAAAAAGGGGAAAGTAAACAGCACATGAGAGGGTGAGAACATGCACCCAGAGTTTAGACATAGTCCCCAAAAGAGTCCCCGCTGAGCGCGGATGTGACTGTGAACACTGGGAGCTCAGGCATGTGACCAAGGACCGGCTCACAGGAGCTAGGAGGGGATCGAGAACTCATGAGGCACACAGAGAGGGACGCTCAGGCGTGACCACGGAACACGTGGCGCTCACACGTGAGAGCGGTCGAGTGGGATGTGAGCATAGATATGTGGGAGCTCAGACAGGAGCAGGAACTCAGACACGCCCCACCCACACACATCAGTTCAGACACAAGGAGCATAGACGGGGTGGGGGTAAGGGACAGCATAAACACGACCAAGAAGAGGCCAGAGACCAGGGAGATCAGACCAGGGGAGGAAGCAAAGGCTGAGGACAGGCACGCAAGCAAAGACGGGGCCCCGAGCCCTGGGGGGAGTGCTCCGGGAGCAGGGTCCGGAACGCAGGACCTTTAGCCAGGCTTGGTCAGGCAGGTGCAAGGCCCAGGAGCACTCCCTCTCATCACAACTGCGCTCCTCAACCCAGGCTCTGGCTTGCCCAAACCCGACTCACATCTTCCCCAGGGTCTCCAGGCTCCCCTGGACGGCCGGCTTCACCCTGCACAGAGAGGGTGCTAAGGGGGTCTGGCCACCCAACCTTTCCCCTCCCTGCCACGTGCTCAGGCCTGGGACCAGGCCTGCCTCACCTTCTCACCCCGAGGCCCTGGCAGTCCTCGGTCGCCTTTGGCTCCCTGTAGAGATGAGTCAGGAAGCAACGGGGTCAAGTGTGGGGCATGGTATGGAAGCTGAGGATCGTGAGTGGGGGTGGATGGACTATGCTGATAAAGGATCCACACTCACCGGCTCTCCCACCAGGTCTCCAGCAAGGGCTCCAGGGGCTCCCTGTGAGGAAGAGGGCTCAGCAGAGTTCCTGGGCCCCACCACTGGCCCCTCTCCCCAGGACCCCCCACACTTACCTTCTCTCCCTTCGCTCCAGGGGGCCCGACCACAGCCTGTGGGGAATGCCTAGTGAGTTACCTCGCCTCCTGCTGTCTCCCCCCACCCTGCTGTCCTGGGTGGGTGGTGCCATCCAGGCTGAGGTGAGGTCAAAAATCACCTGTCCAGGGGCCCCCATGGGTCCAGACTCTCCTTTAGGTCCGACAGGGCCGGGAAGACCTGGCGACCCCTGTGGTAGAGCAGTGTGAGGACCTGCCTCCACCACCTTCCCAGGCTGCCCAGCGCCAACCCCTCTTCCTCCTGCTCCTCCTCCTGCTCCTCCTTCTCCATCCTCCTCCTGCTCCTCTTCCTCCTCCTGCTCCTCCTTCTCCTCCAGTTCCTCCTCCTCCTCCTCCTGCTCCTCCTCCTTTTCCTGATCCCCCTCCTGCTTCTCCACCTGCTCCTCCTTCTCCTCCTTCTCCATCCTCCTCCTTCTCCTCCTCCTGCTCCCCTTCCTCCTGCTCCGCCAGAAGCCCCATCACAGGCCTGCAGCAAGCTCCCCTCAGAACACGCACCGGCACGCCAGGGGCTCCTCGCTCTCCGTCTTTGCCATTGGTACCATCACGACCTGGGGCTCCTGGCTTTCCCGTCTCCCCCTGAGAGGAAGGAACTCTGTCAGGGGCCTGCCTGCTGCCCCCTAACCCCTGGAGCTCAGGCCTGACCCTCAGGACTCACCACTTGTCCGGGCAAACCTGGTGCCCCCTGAGGACCCTGAGGGAGAGAAGTCACATGTGAGGGGGACACAGGAGAACCTGGGACAGGGACATGGTGTCCCTGCTAGGGCCACAGGGGACTTACTCACCACAAGGCCTGAAGAACCAGGAGGCCCAGGAAGTCCCACAGGTCCAGTTGGTCCAGGCAGGCCCTGGGGGAAAAAAGGTCAGCGGGGTTCCGACCCCACCTCCTCCCTGTGCCTCTGACCCATGACCTAGACCACTCACCCGTCCTGGTGGTCCTGTCTCTCCAGGCTCGCCCTGCCAAAAGCCCAGAGATCGCATGAGCCCAGAAAAGGACAGGTGGCCCATAAGCAGAGCCCCCAGAGCTGGGGAACCCTGGAGTTTAGCCTCAGGGCAGTGACATCGCAGGAGACTGGCAGATGTCACCCTGGTGCAGACCCAGCTTGAAGGAGCTGCCTCCTCCTTCCAGCCACACCCACACACAAACACCTCTACTCACCTTCAGGCCAGATGGTCCCTGGGGTCCCGCAGGGCCAGCAAGACCCTAGAGAAAAGTATCAAGGGCAGGGGACAGGGGGCAGAGTTATCCCCCTGGGCTCAGGGATTAACACAAACAAGGCCGGACTCGTCAGCTGGGGCGGACGCCTGCCCCACCCCCATCAGGCAGTGCTCTCTCTGTCACTCACCGGGGCACCCGGTGGTCCAGGGTCTCCATGGCTACCCTGTTGGAGAGAGTGTGGTGAGGAGCCAGTCGGGTGGTACCACTCCACCAGGGAAACTGAGGCAGTACTGCCCATCGTGGGGGTTGGGCACAGGATGGAGGCTTATGGGGTACTCACCACAGGGCCAGGGCTCCCCCTTGGACCTTGCAGACCCTGAGCAGAGAAGGGGGCTGCTGAGCCTCAACTGGGCATCACTCGGGCCTGTCCCCACCTCCTGGGAGACTTCCTGGGAGGCCCACTTCCCTGCTGTCCCCTCCACCAGGCACGAATCACCCCACACCCATGGGCTGCCCCTCATGGAGAGCATATGCAGGCCTGTGCACACGTACACACATGCACGCAGACGTCATGTACCCACACGCACAGGCGGACAGCAGCCTCACACCCTGGGGCTGAGCACTGGTGCCACCGCCCATGGCAGCCAGTGGCAGAGAGCAGCCACTCCACAGAACCCAGGTCAGGGTGTTCCCGCCAGCACTCACCGGCTTCCCTTCAGGCCCAGCCACACCTCGCTCTCCTGGTAGACCCTGGAGAGAAGAGGTTTCAGGCCACGCTGTGCTGTCCCCCATCCCACCAGTCCCAGGCACCGCAGACTCCAGCCCAGACAGCGCACATAAGGGCTGTGTGCCGGCCCGTGGCCTGCGGGTGGGGACTCACCGGGCCGCCGTCATGACCCCTCTTTCCAGGCTCTCCCTGGTCTCCCTTGATGCCTGGCCCGCCCTACAAGTGGAGCGTCATGCCTGAGCCCCGAGTCGCCGCCACACGGCCACATCCACCCCACCGCTGCAGGCTCCCGTAGAGGAAGGGGAACGTGGTGGGGTGGGAGGTCTCACCCTGTCTCCTTTGGGACCTCGTTCACCGTCACTGCCCGGCTCCCCCTGTGGGGATGACATGTCAAGCCGGGCCCTGGGGTCATGGCAGGAGGTGGCCCCCAGGTCGATCCCACTCACTGACCTTAGCGCCCTTGGGCCCTGGGGGTCCTTGTTTCTCGGGTAATCCAGGTCCTGGCTTGTCGATGGTCACCTATAAGCACAATGTCACAGGAGAGGGATGTGTCTGTTACAGAGGCATGGAGGGGTCATCCCAGATCACAGGGTCCCAGGGGGTCAGGGGGTCAGTGACACCACATGGAGTTTCTGGGACCTATGCTAATGGTGGCTTCCTAGTGACAGCGGTCACAGGCCTAGGGCAGGGCTGGGATGATCACCGTGGTGCTGGGGATGCCGGGGGGGCCGGGGGGTCCAGGGGCGCCATCTCTGCCCTGCAGAAAAGAGAAATGGGTGGCCGCCCAGCGCAGCCTCCAGGCCGTCCCGCCCGGAGCCGCGTGGCAACTCACCTGTTCTCCGCGTTCTCCCTTCTCTCCCCGTTCTCCCTGAAGTGCAAATAGAAGGGTGGGGGCCATGCTTGTGGGCAGCCCAGCCCCTCCTGGTCCCACTCCCCGGCCTCCCGGCCAGCGCCCAGGCTCACCCTTTCTCCTGGCCTTCCTGACTCTCCCACACCCCCAGCTGAGCCAGGGAGCCCAGGAATACCAGGCTTTCCAGGCTCCCCAGCGAGACCAGGAAGTCCAGGGGGACCCCTCTCCCCAAGGGCCAGACCAGGTGGCCCCTGAGGACCAGGGTCTCCACGTTCTCCCTTTGGCCCTCGGTCTCCGGAAAAGCCGACAGGCCCCTGGAACGGCAGAGAGTGGATACTGGTGGCTGTACAACCACACCCCCCACAGGTTATCCCGACTAAGCAGCCGGTACACACCTCCTTGCCTGGGGGGCCTGGCTCGCCAGGGTCCCCCTTGGAGCCACGCCAGTGTTCAGGCACGAGGCGGAAGCTGCCAGAGCTCTCATCCCACATCTCCGCGATCTTCCGCAAGGCAGACGTCTGAGTGGCAATGAGGGGTCAGGGGGCAGGGCCCGTTACTGTAGCCCCATGCTCCAGTGTGGGCCCCATGCCCCCACCAGTGCCCATACCCAGCGCCAAGCAACCTACCTTGATCCCCATATTCTCCAACAACCGCTCCACATTCTGGAAACACAAGCAGGTGAGGGGCTGCCCACTGAGGAGAAGCCCTATCCCTGCCCCACGCTGCCCGCAGAAATAGCGCCCATGCCTCTCCCCCAGGCCTTTTACCAGAGGACCCTTAGCCCTTGGTTGAGCAGGCTCAAGGCCACTGGAAGCCCCTCCCTGGCATGTCCCCATTACCCAGGTTCCCCTGAGTGTAGGCTACAGGAATCCTGATAGGACAGTTGGCTGAGCACCCAGGACAGAATATGTGGGACCTCATAGCAAGGGGCATAGAGAGGCCGTGCCTAGCGGCAGGCACATGAGAGTTGAGAGCAGGCCCAGGTTCGCTCACCGGCATGCTCCCCGGGTCTCCTCTCAGGCCGCGCTCCCCGGGGAGGCCCTGGACACAGCAAGAGACAAGCCGTTGGACCCAGCTTATGGGGGTGTGGGTGCGTGTGTGGGTGCTGTGGCTACCTAGGCACGGGAAAGTGAAGGGCCTCACCTGTTCGCCTTTGGATCCACTGTCCCCACGGTCACCCTGAGAACAAAGAATGATCAGGTGGAGGAGTGCCCCACCCCCGGTCAGCCCCTCACCACACCTCCAACCCAGCAGACACACACTCACCTTGGGGCCCGGACTTCCTGGAACACCAGGAAAACCCTGGGACGGGACGGAACACAAAGCGGTCACACAGGACCATGGCATTCTTCCTAGGAGGGCGTCTAGTGGGAATGCAGTGGCCCCTGTTGTTCCCAAGTCCTAAACTGACCCTGAACACTCACCTGGCCAGGAGGGCCCACCTGCCCGGGGAGGCCCGGGGGGCCTGGGAGTCCGGGGCTGCCAGGTGCTCCACGATCGCCCTTGGGGCCATCATGACCCTGTGGGGGATGCAGCCAGCATCAGGACCCTGAGACCCCAGAAAGCATGGAGCCATATATCACAGGGTCCGGGTCAGGGATTAGAGGTTTTAGAAGACTCCAGCACTCACCTCTCTCCCTGGGGCGCCCGAATCTCCCTTCTCTCCCTGTGGAAGACAAAGGTGCTTTAGACACGGCCCTGATCTGCCGCCAGAGCAAACTCCAAGTGGGGGCTTTACCTTTCTCCCGTCTTCTCCGGGGTCCCCGGGTTCTCCCTGCAGACAGAGGACTCACATCAGCCCAAACGTTCACCAGCACTCAGCTGCCAGACCGAGTCCTGGCTGCTGCCTGTGCTGTGCTGGTAGCTCCGAGACCCTGTGTGTCTGGGGACCTGGCCTGTGACCCTCTGCGTGCGATGCTGCATGCTGGAGGGTATGCCCATGTGGGTCTTCCTGCCTCCACACACAACTGCAGGCATCCTCCTGCCTCGGGCTCCCCACATGCACCCCCGCAGCTGCGCCCTCTGGGGGCGGTGAGTGTGGCCTACCCTGGGTCCGTGCAGCAATCAGCTCATGCACCTGTGCGAGGGTCTCAGCCTTCTGGCAGGAGACACTAGGTTGGTGTCTCCCAAACTGTGTCTGTACGTGGGTGGGCACAGGGTGGACACGTGTCTGCACATTCCTGGTGCCCTGAGAACTGTCTGTGTGACTTGTCTGCGGGTCTTGTGTATATCTTAGTATATGAGTGACTGTGGACACAAATGAATGTGTCAGTATGTCCTAGAATGTCCCGTGTCAGAGTCTCACTACATCCCTACACAAGTCCACATGCGGCCCCATGTCCGTGCCTTAGTGGCCGTCAGAGGATGAGTAGAGGTGTTTGTGTGTCAACGCTCCTCCCAGTGCCCCTGTGTGTGGCCCGAGCCCTGTGTCTGCACCCCAATCTGTGTCCATGGTGCTCCGCCTGTGCAGTGGCTGCGGGTTATCCTGGCACGTGCACACGTGCAGGCCCGGCGGAGCACAGGGCTGCACGCCCACTAGCCTCCCTGCGCAGCTGCCTGTGTGCGCATGCGGACAAGAGCTTCGGGGTGCGCCTGTGCATCCGCACTGGGCAGCAGGTGCCGGCGCGCCTCCACGCGCATCTGCGCATGTGCCCTCTGTGTCTGCGCATCTGCGCTGTGTGCCCATCTAGTGTTTCGTGGCGGTTTCCCTGTGTCTGCCCTGAACACTCACGTTTTTCCCACTCAGGCCTGGCTTGCCATCCTCGCCTGCCTTTCCCTGTGGGAAGAGGTCACTGGTCAGAGGTCAGACTTGGGGTGAGGGTGGTAAGGGGGCAAAAGGGCACCATGAAAGCCAAGTCTCACCGGTCCTCCAGGGGGGCCAGGGGGGCCAGGAGGTCCCTGTTCTCCTCGGAGGCCCGGAAGCCCCTGAAAAAAGTCTTTGCTGGGATTGACGGACCATGGAGATAGTTTCTGGGCCCACCCATGGACTGGGAAGACCCCGCTAAAATGCTCCTCCCATGTAGAGGTCCTCCGAACTGGGAGGTGCCATTGAGGTCCCTTAAGGCAGAGACCCCAAGGGTTACGGGGCTCCTTGCTGAAAACCAAGAGAAGGGCCCCCAGGGCAGGGAAGGTCAGAAAGCCAGACACTGCTGCAACCGGCCTTTGGAACTGAGACCCATCCCAGGGACAGGGCTGGACCCTGCCCCTGCCCCCCGCCCCTGCTTCGACTCTGGCCACCCGGCTGCAGTTTGTGCTGAACACCCAGGCTGCCCGCCCCCTAACATCTGCCCTTACTTACATCTCTCCCTGGGTCCCCGGCTTTGCCTGCAGTACCCTGAGGAGAGACCCAGAATCAGGGAGCCCACAGTAGCCAGGAGGGTCTGCCTGCTGTCAGGGCCACTAGCTCCTGGGAACCCAAGGCTGCAAGGCAGCAACCCCCCCACCCAGGCAAGGCTCCAGGAGAAGACACTGAGAACCCGTCTGGCTCCAGAGCCCATTAAGGCCAAGAAGCCCAGAGCCCCTTCACGCCTCACCCGTGTGAGGTGAAGGTCCCCGGAAGGAGCAAGGGCAGGGGCGTGGCCAGGCAGTGGCCACCCTGACTCACGTGCTGCCCAGGGGGGCCAGGGGCTCCTGGTTTCCCGTCCAGCCCGCTGCGGCCATCCAGGCCAGGGGGGCCCCGGTCACCCTGGGGAGAACCAAGTGGTGAGAGGCCCCCAAGGCTGAGATGAGCAGCAGTCAGAGGCCTCCGCTTCCTCTCACCTTTTCTCCTGCTGGGCCTCGGACACCTGGGTCCCCCTGGAGGGAACAAGGGCAGTGAGAGGTGAGGGCAAGATGGGGACGCAGGCTGGAGGGGCAAAGTGCGTCACTCACCTGTGGGCCTGGGGGCCCCCGAAGTCCATTGATGCCCTAAGGATGAGGAGCGACAAAATCAGAGCAGGCCCTCCCAGGCCCATGCCTCCCTGTAGGGCCAGCCACACTCACCCTCTCTCCAGGGGCTCCAGGAGGGCCGGGGTCACCCTTGGGTCCCTGAGGACCCTCCTGTCCACGGTCCCCAGGCTCTCCCTGTAGCAGAGACAAGCTGGCTAAGGGAGCAGCCCTCCAGCCCCAGGTGCGCCCAGGCAGAGTCTGTCATGGGGGCCCCGGGGGGCCTTCCTGTGCTCAGAGCTTCACTCCGCCCAAGACTCTGATACCTTCTCTCTGGCTCCAAGTCCCGAGTCCACCTGTGGAGGGAGTGAGAGTGAGAAGGGAGGTTTGATGAGGGGAAGGGGCCTGGGGAGGCCTGGTGGTGTCCAGAAGGGCTTCGGGGTCGGTGAAGACACCAGGGGCCATGGGGTTGGGCGGGGGGGAGATGGGGATAAGAGGCCACAGTGGGGGCCTGCAGGGGTAGCAGGGGGAGGTAACAGGGCACCAGACGCCACTGAATGCTTACCAGCCGTCCAGGGAGACCCTGGGAAAAGAAAGAATTGTCGTCAACAGCAGCCCTGAGGTCCCTGGGTGTGGCTCAGGCTTGTTCTCCCAGATTCCCGGCCGCGGCACCCTGACGCTGGCAGCCGGAAGGCCGGCCATGCCTGGAGGTAACCATCAGTCTCCCCACCGTGACTGCCTGGCCCCTTCCGTGGGTGCTAACTGAATGGAGCCTTGGAAACCTCCCTCCCTCCCAAGCCCGGGACACTGGCCCCACTCACCGGCTCCCCACGGTCACCCTTGGGTCCAGGTGTTCCAGGGCTGCCCTGCAGAAGGTCAGAAGGTCAGGGACACTGAACTGAGGCAGCAATTTTGAGGAGCTTTGGAAGCACCCTAAGGACTCACAGGAATCTGGGTGGCCTTTGGGGGTTGTGGTGGAGGGGACACAGGAATGAGGGTATAGCATTTTGGGGTTGGGGTGGCAGGATCAGGGGGGAAAACGGGACAGCTGGGGGGTTGGAGTTGAGGTTGGGGGTCAGAGGTCAGGGGTTAGGACTCACATTTCGCCCATCTTCTCCAGGATCTCCCTGGTCTCCCTTCTCACCCACAGGTCCCCGAGCTCCAGGTAACCCCTGGGGGGAGCAGCTGGTCTGAGCCAAGCCCTCCCAGCATTTTGATGGTTCCTCCATGACCCCCATGCTGTCCCAGGGTCCCCATTACCCCCAAAACGCCAGAGTTTCCCATCACAGCATGTAGGGTACCCCCACCTCCTGGCTCCCCCATTACCCTTTCTCTTCGCAGAGGTTCCTGCTACCTTCCAGCCCACTTTCTACAGGTTCTCCCCGCCCCCCACTTCTCCCTGCCAAGCCTCACCCGAAGGCCACGCTCGCCAGCTTTTCCAGGCAAACCTGGGTCACCCTGGTGATAGAAAGTCACATGGACCGGGTGAGTCAGGCTCAGACTAACTGAAGGACTGGGGACAGAGGAGGGCCTGGGCACCAGCTGAACAGGAGGCAGGGGGATGGACAGGATGACCCGGCGGAGCTCCCAGCCCAGGGATCACAGTTCAAAGGTAAAAGGTCAGAAACCACAGTGGGAGGCAGTCTCACCGGGAGGCCATCGGCACCTTTCTCTCCAACTTCACCCTGTGAGACATGAGCGTCAGCCCAGGTCCCAAGACGCCTGGTACTGTTTGGAATAGCCTTCTCCCCACCCCTGAAGACTCCCCCCACCCAGCCCTCTCACGTCTCGTCCTCGGGGGCCGACAGGTCCTGGGGGGCCGGGCCGCCCAGGGTCTCCCTTCTCTCCAGGAGGCCCTGAGTCACCCTGTGGAGGAGGCAAGGATGGGGCTGCATGTGGCAGCCAGTCCCGGAGGAAAGTAGCCCCAGGACAAGACCCAAGATCACAGTTACTCACAGGGGGTCCGACTCTTCCAGTGAGGCCAATGGGACCCTGCAGGGCATGGGGACAGGAGACAGGACTTAGTTGGGGCTCTCAGGCATGACCTTCCTTCTGTCACACTCCCCATCGCCACATTCACCTACCCGATTTCCAGGGTCTCCCTTGGGGCCGGGGTCTCCAGGAAGAGCCAAGCCAGGCGTGCCCTGTGGGTGGAAGGATCAGAAGCTGGGGTGGGGGCAGCCTTCACCTGCTCTCCCCGAACACTTCCCCTTCACTCACCGGCTCCCCTTTGGCTCCCGCAGCTCCTCTGGGCCCAGTGGGCCCTGCGTCTCCCTGGAGGTGACAAAGGCCGTCAGCGCCAGCCCCCAGCTCTAGGACCCCCGCCAAGCAACAATCAGGCCACAACCCTCATGACCTCCAGAGGCCTCCAGGCAGGCCCTGTGACCTTGACCTCAGCCATGCAACGGGCTCCCCTCGCTCTCCCCAGACATACCTTCTCTCCTTTGACCCCTGCACCAGCAGGCCCCTGAAAACAAACGGGGCAAACATGGCTTGTCCTGGCCTGGGGGTCTCAGTGCCGCAGCCCTGGGGCACTGTGTGGAGCTGGGAGTGACAGAGCCCGGTCCCTGCCCAGAGGCTGCAGAGTCACCGCTGGGAGCAGAGTCACCGCTGCTCAAGGGGCTGCACCCCCCCCCCATGCTGGGAGCCCCCCTGACTCACTGTGCCAGGGTCCCCGGGGCGGCCAGGCTCCCCCTGTGCAGAAAGGATGGAGGCAGAGATGGGACAGAGACCCACCTCAGAACCAAGGTCTCAGTGTCTCACCTGCCACAGTCCCTGCTATGGGGGGTGGGGGTGGGACACTGGCCCCCAGCCCATGACCCACCTTCTCTCCTCGGCGGCCAGTGGGTCCTGGTGGCCCCTGTGTGTGGAGAAAGTGTGAGCCCGGGAGAGGAGGAGCACGTGAGAGCCCCACCGCCGACCCCACGGCCGTCACAAACTCACTTCAGGGCCCTCTGCTCCAGGGTGCCCAGCGACTCCCGGTGGCCCCTGGGGGTGAGGAGCAGAAATGCTGACCAGGGGGCGGGAACAGGGGCTAGAGGCTGGGGTGTGGCTGAAGAGGGGTCAGGGGAGGTCCAGACATAGGTCTTGGTTGCTTCAGAGCAACCAAAGCCCACGTCGGAGGGAGTCGAGTTTGGTTCAGCGGGGTCAGAAGGCTGGAGGCAGATCCCTGGCGTCGGGGTTAGGGCTTGCGCAGGTCAGCACAGACTAGGAGCTCGTGAGGCGCAGTAAAGGCGCAGCGCCGGTGGGGGGTCAAAGATGAACCAGGAGGGGGCCCAGAGCCTGGTCAGCTGGCACTGGCTTTGTGGTCGGTGGGCTCACCTGGGGTCCGGCTAGGCCGGGGGATCCGCGTTGGCCCTGATGGAACAGAACGGCCGGAGCTGAGTCTGGCCCCACACCCCGACCCATGGGGCCCCGAGAGCGCCCCCAGGTGGCACTTACCTTCTCTCCAGTCTCACCCACAGCCCCTGGCAGTCCTCGGTCACCCTGATGGGCAAGAGACACCAAAGGGGTCTTGACCACGGAACCCCAGACAAGGTGTTTCACACTCTGACCACCCACCTCTGAAACTCCAACCTCTGACCTGGAGGAACCTGTCCCCCAACCCTCCCACCTGCCCTAACCCTGTAGGGTCCCTCGTGTCTCCCCGTCATACCACACCTCCTATAAAATGGCACTTACTTTGGGGCCAACGTCTCCAGGAGGCCCCCGCAGACCCTGGAAAAGGTTCAGAGCTTTCGGTTTGGGAATAGGGTGGAGCAGGAGGTTGACAGCAGAGGGTCAGGGCTGGAGCTGCAGCCACCCTGTGGCCCCACTCAGAAGCCCTGGCGCGACACTCACCCGCTCGCCCGGGGTCCCAGGCTGTCCTGGGAGGCCTGGTGCTCCATCCTCACAGTCACCCTGAAGGATAAACAGATGGGCAGAGGACCCTGTCCCCCAGCATCCGAGCCTCCAGCCCCAGAATTAAACACCAAAAGATGCGGTGTCCTACCTTTTCTCCTTTTTCCCCAGAGGGGCCAACTGGGCCTTGGGGGCCGGGGCTTCCAGGAAGACCCTAGGAGGAAGTGGGTAAAAATATGAGCCCCAGAGTAGGCAGCCCAGCACCCCCCATGGCCCCAGCAGAGCTCCCAGCTCCCCTGTCCACACCACAGGCACGGCCCTCAGGGTCTTACCGGCAGCCCGGGTTCCCCTGCAGCTGTGCCACCAGCACCTGGCCCCGGGGGGCCCTGGGAGAGAACGGCAGGCGGGTCAGGGGATGGCCAAGGGGAGGCGGACTCAGCCCACTGCACACCTCGTCCCTCACTTACCCGTTCCCCACGATCGCCTTTGTCCCCCTGGAAGACAGAGTGTGACATCGTGACCCAGGACCACATCTCTACTCCCCAAGTCACCAGCAGGAATGAGGGTCATGGGGTCCAGTTGGATTATGAAGGTCATGGAGGGACCGAGGGGTCATGGGGGGAGGGGTCAAGGATTCCCATGGGCTCAGAATGACCAGTAGGGTTTAAATGAAGTCACCATGTCACTGCATCACATGGAGGTCATGAGACCATGTGGGGGTCATGCTGTCACCTTCAGAGCTATTCCAGGAGGTCCTGGGGAACCACGGGGTCCTGGGTCCCCCAATGGGCCACGAGGTCCAGGAGGGCCCTGACGGAGGAGACAAAGTATGAAGAACGACCCCACCGCCCTACTCTGGCCCTGCCTCCGGTGATTCCCTGCCACACAGCACTTGCCTCCACATACCCTAAAACTTACCGGAGGTCCAGGGTCCCCTTTCTTGCCCGGAAGGCCTGGGCCCTCCCCATCAGTGACTGTCCCAGGCTCTCCCTGCAGGGACAGAGAGCAGCGGGCTGGATTCTGGCAGAGGGAGCCTCAAGGTGGGAGAAGCCCCAACGGTGTCCCGGCTATTCCTCATGATGCCACAGGCCCCGCAGGGTCTGGCCTGCCGCACCCCTGCTCCTCCCTACCCCTTTCACCTACCGGCTCCCCCTTTGGGCCTTGAGGTCCTCGCTCTCCCTGAGGACAAAGCAGAGCAACGGGTGATGCTTGGTCTCAGGTGAGTCCAAGGGAGGGCCCATATGGGCCAACAGCGCCCTGGCACCGCAGGTCCCCATTCCGGGAAGATGCTAGGAGAGCAGGGAAGGGCAGCAAACTCACCTGTTCTCCACGAAGGCCAGGCCCCCCGGGGGAGCCCTGTAAAGGAAAGCCAGAGTCAGGACAGTTGGACCACCCCTCCCACTCAAGCCAAGTGTTCCACCATGTGACCTACAAGGGCAAGGCTCACTCACCTTTGGGCCAGGTGGCCCAGGAATCCCAGGGAGGCCAGGGCTGCCTGGATCCCCATCCGTCCCAGGGCGGCCCTGAGAAAGCGAGTCGGTCAGGGCAGAAAGGGCCCTCCCTCAGTGTCCCCGGCTTGCTGCGGGGCCCGGACTGCTCTTCGTTGGAACCCCTCACCCCACAGGCCCCGCGTGCTGTCGGGGTGGAGCAGTGGGGCAGAGGAGCGGCTTGCTCAGAGCTGGATGGAGCCGAAGCCCAGGCCCAGGGGCAGCGACGAGGCAGAGGGCCTTCCTGCCCTGGGACCAGGGACTCCCCCAGGCTCTCTAGGGGGTGTTGAAAGTCCACGGGCCTCTCTGCGGCAGACACCCCCCCAAAGTCTCTGGTGGGCTTCATACTATCCAGCAAGGCTCCGAGGGACACCGGTGGTTCTAACTCTGCTCTGTCCAGTCTTCTAAAAACCCTCAGGAAATGTCAAGGAGCGTCTCAGGGGAACCTCAGTGGTCTCCACACTCACCCTGTCGCCCTTTGCAGCGTAACTCCCAGGGGGACCCTGGGGGCCAGGAGCACCGGTCCTGCCCTGAGAGGAGAGAGCAGGTAAGAAGGCTGCGTGCCAGTGAGGGCACAGAGGGCAGGTACGTGGGGGCGGCACTCACCGGGAGGCCGGGGGGGCCAGGAGGCCCATCTTGTCCTCTCGGGCCCTGCAAAGAGCGGCCAGTGAGACCTGTGCTGCTGGCCCCCGCCCCTGTCCCCCAACCCTCCTCTACCAGAGCTACTCACCCTCTCTCCGGGTTCACCCTTCTGGCCCTGGGCAAAGGCACGTCAGACAAGAGTCAGAGTGGATCACGCCAGGAGGCGTCCTGGCCCGCCGCCCAACCCCAGACACTTACCTCTGGACAGTGCACCGAGCAGGGCTGTGGCTGTGGCTGTGGCTGTGAGCACAGGGTCTCCTTGAGGGAGGCAGTTCTACCAAGAGCCCCCAGACCTCCTCTTCTTTATGACCTAGCTCCCCCGCCCCAGGGGCCCCTTCCAAACCTGGGTGGGCAAAGCGGCCTGACACAGGGCTGTTGCCAGACTACCGACGGCCTGGTCCAAGCTTGGGCCATCATTCACAGCGAAGAAGGTCTGAACGTGGTCCGTGCCAGGCACCAGGCGACGGAGCTGCTCTGGGTCAGCTCCCTTCAGGCCCAGGATCATCACTTTGAGCCCTAGGGAGGCCCGGCAGCCCGCATGACAACCCTGCTGGGGCCCGCGCTGTGCCAGACCCTCTCCCCAGCGGCCCTGTGCCTACCAGCAGCCTGGGCCTCTCGGACAGGGTTGGAAATGTCATCCCTCAAGGGCTCATCCACTAGCAGAACCATCACCCCTGGCACCTGCTGGCGGCGTCCAGGAGCATTTGGTGCCAACAGGTATCTGTGAGCTGTGACCATGGCTGTGCCTGGGAGGAAGGATGTGTCAGAACCCGGGGCGCCAAGTTCCCAGAGGGGAAGCCCCCAGAGTCCACGTCCACTGCAGTCCATACCCAGGTTGTTCCCGCTTGGGTCCACATAGGGGATGTTATGGATCTTCTGCAGGATGACGCCAAGGTCATGGGAGCCATTTAGCGGGAACAGTGGGGAGGGCCGGTAACTGTAGGAGAGGAGGCCAACCTGTGGGGGGACACAGCATGGGGAGGATGACCAAGCAGGGATGGGGGACACAGGGCCTGGGGGGAGGCTAAACCTGACCTATTAGGGGTCAGCAGTGATGGTGGGATAGGGGGCCAGGCAGCATGTGAGGGGATCTGGACCCTGGGGAAGGGCTGGGAGAGAGCCTGGACCGGCGGTGGGCTGGGGAAACTGTAGCTGGTGTGGAGGCTCGGGTGGGGGTGGCTGGGGCAGACAGGGGTCCAGCTGCTTCTGGGGCCAAACCTGGACTGCCTGTGGCCCAAGAGGCCCAAGGGCAGACACCAGCCTCCCCAGGGCTGCCTTCACAGCCCCTGACCGGTGCGCGTTGTCCCTTGTGGTGTGCAGCAGGAACACCACGTCCATCAGACCGCGGGGACACACTGCAGGAGGGGCCGAGTTACCCACGACGTGGTCGCGGCGCCTGGCTGCCCCCTCGGCTCCACCCACTGTGCCCACCGTACCTGGGCTGTGTGTGACAGAGGCCTCAGGACCTCGCACACCGTCCCGGACAGGTGTCAGGGAGAAGAGGTAGGAGATGCCGGGCTGCAGCCCTGTCACCTGCTGGGAGCTCGAGATCCCAGGAAGGGTCTGGGAGGCCCCCGCGGTTTCTGCAGAGGACGGCACTCAGTCACGCAGAAGGCCCTCCGTGCAGCCCCACTGCCGGCCCGCCCCAGCCCTGGCCCCTCCTTCACCTTCGCCGGGGACTCCGAGTGGCCTCCAGGAGAGGATGTAGCTGGACGCCCCGGGCACTGGGTTCCAGGCCAGAGTCACTGAGTCAACTGAAGTGTCTACCACGCGCAGTGTGGTGCTTGGGGCACGAGGTGACTCTAAAGGAGGAATCGGAGACCAGGGTCAGAGCCTGCATCCTGAGAACCAGGAAGGGAGAGATCTAAGGAGATCCTGGGGTGGGTTCATCCTGGCGAGGCAAGTGTCCTGCAAGTCACGCTGGGGTCGCCCCGGGGCTGGGAGTGGCAGGGGAGCTACAGGAGAAGTCCTTCAAAGTCACGGGGCGCAGAAACTCAGGACAGGTCATGAGTGGGGGAAAGAGCACACCGGGAAGGGTGTGCCCCCTGGGCTCACCAGTGTACGCAGTCACTTCTGTGGGGGGCCCTTCTCCAGAAGGCCACGAAACACTCAACCACACGTGGTACAGGGTCGCAGGCTCCAGCCCGTCCAGTTCATAGCTGCTGACCTCAGGCCCCAGGAATCGAGATTGCTCCTGGCCATCTGGGGCGGGTGCGAGGGCCGGGGCAGAGGCACAGGGGAGGATGTTACAGCCCAGCATTAATGGACCTGCTCACCTCACCGACCCTCACCTACCCTCACTGACAGGGACCTCACAGCTTCACTGGCTAACCCCTGTGACCAGGCCCACGCTCCTGACTGACCTGCCCCATTCTTGCTGACCCTGCCCATTTTAGTGACTCTGTCGGACTGACCCCCAGGGATCTCGCCCACCTGGCTGAATGATCCCCAGATGGTTGCAGATGTGGCATATCTCCACTGACAGACCCTGCCCACTACCCCTAACCTCGCCCGCTACACTGACCCTGCCTGCCCATGGCCCCACCCCTAGTGGTCCCTAACTGCCCACCGGGGGCACTTCTCACCCTGGGATCGCCAACGAAGAAAGAAGCCGCGTGCTCCGGGCACCAGCTGCCACTGCAGCCTCAGAGAGTGCTCCCCTCGCTGCACTACTCGGAGGGTCTCCAGGGTGGTTGGCTCCTCTGGCGCTTGAGAGAAAGCATGGGAATCAGGGAGGCTCCACCCCCACTGGTCCCTGCGCCAACCCGTGGAACACGCACCACCCCCAACCAACTGGTCCCTCTGTTAGTACAAAGCTTCCTCCGCCTCCATCCTTAGGCTCCGCCCCCACAGGCTCGCTACCAATCTCTGGTCCCTACTTCAAGCACTGACCCCACCCCCAAACAGTCCAGGCCGTCAATCCAAGGCTCGCCCCAATCCGAGCTCCTCTTACGCGTGGTGACGACAATGGAGACAGGTGCGCCTTCAAGGTCCCCGACCAGTGCTGTCACTCGCACTGAGTAGCTGACTCCACCTTCGAGGCCCCGTATTTCTGCTGAGTCTCTGTTTCCTGGTAGTATCTGTTGTTTTGTGGGGCCACCTGTCCGAGTGAGCACAGATCAAGAGTTAGAGGTGGGGTGGCTAAGCACAGGGAGCAATCGTGGCCACGGAGGACAAGGTCAGGGTCTGGGAACCATACCTTCTCTCCGGCCCCAGACCAGTCGGTAGGCTGTGGCTCCAGGGACCCCCACCCAGGTGATCCGCAGAACGTCGCTGGTAGCATTGAGGATCTGCAGCTTGGATACACTGCCCACCGTCTCAGGGCCTGGGGGCAGAGGCAGGGCGAGGGGTCAGAGGTCCCCGAATGGCTGGCAGCGAACAACTTGGCAGTGCAGGCATGGTCAACGTGGAGAGGTCTGAAGGTCCACGTGGGGTTAATGTGGACAAGTCAGTTTAGGCAACCGTGAGAGGGAGGAGGTCAGTGCCTCGGAGTGGGCAGTGCGAAGCAGCCAGGAGTTTGCTGTGGCCGGGCACAGAGTGGGGGGGTGGGCAGCATGGGAAGAGAAGCCGCTGCTGAGCAGTGATGGGGTGGGCAGTTGGAGCGGTCAGGAACACACGGCAAGGCAGCTGTCCAGGGCCCACTCACCGGTCCTCACAACCACAGAGGTGGGGGGCCCTTCGACACCGTCCACACTGGCCCACACGCGCACTGTGTACTCAGTGTCTGGCTCCAGCCCGTCCAGCTCAGCCACCGCGGCTTCCCCAGGAACCACCCGGGACTTCTCTGGGTCTGGGAGCAAGGACGGAGGCAGCTGCCCGGCCTGGACCCCAAAGACCTGGACCCCAAAGAAACAGCCTGCCTTCCACCCAGACCTGCCCCCCATAACCCTCCCAAACCCTCATCCCCACCGTGGCCTGAGTGCCAGGAAATCCTGTATCTGGTGGCACCAGGAACCTTGTTCCAGGCGATGGTGACAGACGAGCTGCTGCTCTGGGTCACGTGGACTGTCCTCACTGGGCTCAGCGGGTCTGAGGGGAGGCAATGGGAGGTCTGATGGGGGAGGTACTGGGGCCATCTTTTAGGGGGAGCCTGTTGAAGCCTGATAGGAGGCCAGTGTCTGACAGAAGCGGGGCTCCCGGCAGAGGGGACAATGCCCTCAGAGGGAACCCGCGGTGGCAGGTGGGAGGAATCTGAGATGAGCCGCCCTGACAGAGAAGGTGCCAGGCTCCTGGGGGGCGTTAGGAGGCAGCGAGGAGGCTGACAAAGGAGAAAACGTAAGTCTGAGAGTTGGGTCCAGCGGAAAAGGCAAGGGGTGCCTGAGAGAAGGGGTGCAAATTTGAGGGCAGAGACAGAGGGTCCTAGGTGAGAGGCAGAGGAATCGGAAGAGGCGGGGGCCTAGGAGGAGCCCGGGGCGGGGGGCAGAAGGGAGAAGCAGGGGCTCCGAGGGAAGAGGCCGTGGGAGTCGGAAGGGGGAGACTGGGGATCCGAGGGGAAGGTCTGGGGGTCTGACCGGTGCGAGCCACGATGACCACAGGGGGGCCCTCCTTTCTCCCCCGCAGCGCCGACACAGCCACCTGGTAGGAGGTTCCAGGCCGCAACCCCGTGATATCTGTGACGGTAGATTCTGGGGACAGCGTCTGGCTGGACTCTGGACCTGGGGTCAGAGAGAAGTGTTGGCATGGCTCCCACCTGCCCCCTCGAGCCCCCACACCCTGATCTGATCGTTCCCCTCAGCAACACCCCCCACACCCTGCACTAACCACTGTCCGTCCTCCAGGTGACCCGAAATCCGCTGGCTCCAGGAACAGGTCCCCAGGCCACTCGCACTCGAGTGGCATCTGATGCCACCACCCGCAGCCCTGGGACTGCAAGGGAGGTTTCCGGCTCTGGGGGTTAAAGACAGAGGCCAGGGGTCAAGACTAGGACCCAGTGGGTCAGGCGGCTGGCCCCCGTGGCCTCCCTGCAGCACTCACCCCTGCGGACAGTGAGGGTGGCGGCGCTGCCCTCTCGGGCGCCCACTCGAGCAGACACTCGCACGGTGTAGCTCAGCCCAGCCTGGATGTCCCCCAAGTCGAAGGCCGTCTGACTCCCAGGAAGCACCAGGGTCCGCTCAACCCCTGAGGAGAGGGCAGGGGAAGCAGGGCCATGAGACACAGGGAGGTGGGCTGACGGTCACCGGCGATGGACAGGGATGCGGGGTGGAAGGCCAGTGCGGCACGGGCCCCGGGATGAAGAGGGTGAGAGGTGAGGACGGGGAAATGAGGGTCAGTGACGCAGAGTGACACGGGGTGAGCAGGGCCAGGGACACACGGGGACACAGGATGACGGGCAGTGGGCACGATGTGGGCTGACAGGTGACTGATAGCGACGCAGGGTGATGGGGGTCAGCACTGGCTAGGGACATGGGCCGTGGGGTCCATGTGGACAGTGGTCACAGCTGGGCGGATGGAAAAGTAGCCTGGAGGAGGCTTCGGGGCCCAGGAGTGGGGGGAGGTGGAGGGAGATGGAGCGGGGGCGCAGTCAGACCCAGAGACGGGAACTTCGGTGTGTACGTGGGGGGTGGGGTGCTGGCCGTGTCCACCTCACCCTGGGTGCCTCGTACAGTGATGCGGTACTCGGTGGCACCGGGAACCGCTCTCCAGGACACTTGCACCCGCTGCCCTGGCAGCTCAGTGGCCTGTAGCTCTGTCACTGGGCCCACGGGCTGCTCTGGCCCTGGCGGAGGACACAGCATGAGAGGCAGCCTGGGGCTCCGTCCCTCCCCTCTCACCTGGCTGGGCCCACCGAGCCCTCACCTGTGGGGACCACAGCCGCAGGTGTGGCCACCTCCCGGCCCTCCAGCAGGGTGTAGAGTGTGAAGCGGTACTCCGTGGCTGGCTGCAGCCCATCCAGCTGGTGGCGGGTCACATGAGAAGGCAGCACCACCTTCTGAGGCGCCTCCAGGCCTGAGCAACGACAGGGTCAGGGTCAGGCCAGCCGAAGCCAAGCCCCAGCCCTGCCTGCCCACTGCCCCCCTACACTGACCACTCTCACGCCGCCACTCCAGCCGGTAGCCACGGGCCTCGGGCACCGAGTTCCAGGAGAGAAGGATGGAAGTGGGGCCCAGGATGACCGGGCGCAGCGTCTGCTCCACAGAGGGGTCTGCCCAGGGCACACGGGACGTCAGCGGTGTCCTCTCCCTGCCTGCCTGTCCACCCATGCCTAAGAGTGCGCCCAGCCTTCTCACCAGTGCGGGCAGTCAGGGAGGTGGCGGACCCCATGCCATGGCCAAGCAGGGCGCTCACAGTCACCTCGTAGTCTGTGTCCGGCTCCAGGCCATGAAGCAACACTGACCCCTGCCCAGGGCCCAGCTCCTGCTGCTGCGCGGCCCCGCCTGTACAGGGCGCACAGAGCGCTCAGGGGTCTTGCGGACTCAGGGCTCTACTGTCCTATGTGAGGTGCGGGGACGCCCTCCAACCCACACCTCTCGCTCACCACGGAGGACCCGCCATGTCACACGATAGCCAGCGGCCCCTGGCACACTCCGCCAGGCTACCAGGAGGCTGTGCGCTGTGGTGTTCTGGACGGTCAGCTCCGGCCCCTCCAGGGCAGCTGGGGGAAGGTTCCACCAGGGGTTAGTGGAGTCAGGAGTGGGGAGGGGCTCGTGGGGTGGGTGGTCAGGGGGCAGGGTCAGAGGGTAGCAGGGTTGCTCACTGGTCCGAGCTGTCCCGCTCACGGCCTCCCCGATGCTGTTGGCATACAGGGCAACCACAGTTACTTGGTACTCGGTCATTGGCTGGAGGTCTTGCAGCCGAATGCTGGTTTCACCAGCGGGGACGCTCACCTGCCCAGGGTCAGAGGTCACTCACTTTGCCCAGCCAAGTCCCCAGTCCTACACCCACCATTCCTGACATCTTTACCTCCCGCCGCTGGCTCGGCAGTGGCTGTCCCAGCCCCGTCAGGGGGGTATACTGGACCTTGTAGCCGGTCACAGGGCCGCTGGCCGCCGTCCACTGGACTCTCAAGGACTCACTGCCCGGCTCAGACAGCACCAGGTCTCTCGGGCCAGAGATGGAGTCATCAGCTGGGAAAGGGGAAACCAGGTGGCAGGATCAGGGGTCAGCTCTTATGGTGAGGCGCTGGGGTCACGGGTCAGGAGCACAGTGGTCTGGGCACCACCTCCAGGGCAGGATCGGAGGACCGCACCCCCAGCCAGCTGCCAGGAGCACAGGAACCAGGTTTGGGGTGGGAGGTCCAGGCCAGGGCACACACAGTGAGTGGGCAGGGACTCACGGGGCAGGGCCACAGGCACGCCTCCAGCTGTCGTGCACACTCTCCGGGAAACGAGGGGCAGCAGTGTCCTCAGGATGCTGAAGTCGTTGACGAAGAAGAAGAAATCGCTGGTCGGCTGTGAGGCAACTCGCTTCAGCTCCTCGGGGTCCGCATTCTTGATCCCTGAGGTGATGTCCAATCAGGGCCCAGCTGCCCATGTGCTCTCTGGCTAGTCCCTGCTGCAGCCAACCTGGAATCCCAACTGTGTACTCACCCACAGCAAAGAGCTTGACCCCTTGCCCCTTCAGCTTCTGGGCAGCTGGGTCCACCAGGTCCTGGGACTTCCCATCTGTGATGAGGATGCAGACCTGGGCGGGTGCGGGCGTCAAGTCAGGGTTGCCTCAGACAATACAACTGGGGTCACCCTGGGAGGCGTGGTGGGGAGAAGGATCACCTTGGGGACACCAGATCGGGCCAGCTGGGGCAGGAAGACACGGTCTGCCACATGGAGAATCGCGGCCCCTGTGCGCGTGTTGCCCCCCTTGTAGCTGAGATCACGGATGGCACGGACCACTTCTTCCCCAGAGCCGAGTGCATCCAGGCCAAACTCTGTCCTGTGGAGGTTGGGGAGTGGCAACAGGCCAGGTCCTTTTCTGGCCCTGGTCTCAAGGTGGCCTCTGGGGTGAGGGTTTTGAGTACCAGGCCCCCTTCAGGGTCTGTCCTCTTGGTCCTCTGAGTCCCGCCCTCCACTTCTGAAGCCCCTAAGTTAACAAACTCTTCAGGTGCCCTGTCCTGCCTGTGGCCGGCCGGGGCAGGCCGCCAATCCTTGGTGCTCAGCCTCAGGGGACAGGATGTCTGGGCAATTAAACATTGTAGGAGGAAGAGCCCAGTTGTAGGGAGGTGGATGTTGGCCAGACAGGAAGGCCATCTGGTGGTGAGTGGAGAGAGTGACGGCATCAGGGGACTGGAACATGGGAAGTCCAGCAGGCAGGGGGCCTTTGAAGGCTCTGGGCCCCCTCCTGGCCTCTCCCTCTTCAGATCAGGATACAGAGCCCCTGTCTCTGGCAGGGCATCAGTCTGGGGGTGTCTCAGGTGCCAGGGCTCTATCTAGGAGATGCTTACTCTATCTGCAGAGGAGGTCCTGGCTGGGGGGCTCTGGGTTCCCCAAAGCCTGGCGTTAAGTGTTTTGGGAATCTTTGCCCCTGCCTGGGAGAGGGGTCCTGGTGGGATCACTGGACCCCCGCTGCCAGCAGCCACTCACCGGGGGTCGTCACTGTACTGCACCGCAGCAAAGCGCACCCCCTGCGCACTGACTGCTCCCGAGAAGGGCAGCACCAGCCCCTCAAGGAAACCCCGCACTTCTCGGAAGTTGCTGCGGCCGATGGAAGAGGAGCCATCGAGCAGGAACACGATGTCAGCGGCATAAAGGCGCGTGCAGGACACTGGGGCGGGGAGGAGCAATCACCACCTCCTCTTGGAGCACCCCCCCAGCCCGCCCCACTGCTCTGAGGTCTCCTGGGACTAGGGGCTGGGATAGGGGGAGTAGCCCCAGCCCAGCCGCTGGGCCTGGGAGCCTTAGAGGAGCCGAGGTGGCCGTGGTGCCCAGAGGGAGGTGACTCCCGCACCCCTATGCCCCGTCCCCTGGAGGACTGGTGGGGAAGGGGAGTTGCCTGCGGCGGGTGGTGCAAGGTGATCGAGGGCTGCGGTTGGCCTCTGGAGGTCGGCCCGAGTGTCAGGGCAGGAAACCCAGCTGGCGTCTGGGGAGTCAGAGCTGGGCTCTGCATAGGCTGGGGTGCAGTTCGAGAGATGCAGGGGGAGGTCGTGGAGGGTTTAGGGAGTCCGCAGAGACTTAGGAGGCCTGCTCGCAGGGTCGTGGAGAGGGGGCGGGGATCCGGGGTGAAGGCAGAGTGCGGCCGCAGGTGACAGGGTGCAGTGCCCTGGAAGGGGTCCGTCTTTGGTGGGCCCACCTCTCTCCCTGTGCTGGGCCCGCGCTGGGGGCGCCCCTGCCAGGATCCCGGCCCAGAAGGCAGCCACCAGGAGTCGCAGCCTCATCCTGGGTAGGGGAAAGAGTCAGCCAGGACCCCGCTTCTGCCCCTTGGCCCCCATGCCCTTGGTGGGTCCAAGCCCAGTGCTCCCCGACCCCCAGTCCCGGTCTTGCCTGCCGGTCCGGTACACTGGCTCCCACCGCCAGCCGCCGCCGCTGCAGTCCCGCAGCCACAGTAGAGAAAAGTCCCTAATCCCGGGGGGCGGAGCGGCAGGCGGGGACCCAGGGGCCCGCCCCTACCCACCTCCCAGAGGTCGCCGCCCCCCTCTCCCCTGGACAGATGATCTGACTCAAGAGTAAAGCCCCCCACCTGCTATGGCTTCTGGGAATCCCACAGAAGTGGTTCTCTACAGACAGACGCTAATGGGGAGCCCCCTAAAACCTCATCTCGGGTCATAGGTGTTGCCTGCTTTAGATAAAACAGAGTGACTGGTGAAGTGACTGCTAGAGGCTAGAATTCCCACGAGCTCCTGGGGACTAAAGAGGCAGCAGGATGGTCTGGGGTGGGGGTGGGGGGCAGGCTGCAGCTGGAAATGACTCACCCCCCCACCCCATGGGGGTGCCCAGACAAACCCTCGGGCCATGAGTCCCGCCGGCCACTCCCGTGATTCAGCAGTCCCTCTGTCTGTTGGGTCTCCTGTGCCGCACCCCAATCCCTTTGATAAGCAGAGCAGCTCCCAGAAAATAAGGGCACAGAGCTCACCCCAAGGAAAGAGAGGCACCACTGGGCTGCACCCAAGTAATGCACACCCCTCTGCAGAGAGGGGATCCGGGAGAGAATCTGGGTCATGCTCGTGCATACGTGTCCATCCCAGTGTCCTGCACCCCCCACTGTGCCCTGAACCAGGCCCAGACAGATGCCATCCAGCTGTGCCTGCAGGGAGGGGCTATCCCTGTGCAGAGGTTGGGACCACCCACATCGACAGCTCATGTCTCAGGAATTCACCTCTTCCTGTCTGCGCCCCCTGTGTCCTGCCTCAGGGCAGGTCCCCCTACCTACACCTCCTTCCGTCTACTCTCCTTGAAGGCCCACTTCCACCCGTCACCCCACCAGGCCCAGAGGTCAGCCCGGGCTTCTCTCCTTCCTGCCCTCACGGTCCACCTACAGCTTCCAGCTTCATCACCACCCTTGCCCCGCTTCTCCCCCCTCAGTTAGCCTGACTCTCCCCTCATCATCCTCAGCTGGCTTCTCTGACTGTGGGGTGGCTCCTCCAACACCCCCACACCCTTGGGTCAAGGCCACTGTCCTGTGGAGGTGACTCTGTATATGCCTATGTGTTCACTTGTTGGGAGAGATATGCTCTCAAGAACACAAGCCTCCATTTTTTCTGCCAGTCCTGGATAACTTTCAGAAGCCCAGAAAGTACATCTGTCTACTCTTATCACTGCTGTCAAGCCCCTTCCAACATGCCTGGTCCCATGGCCTCCCTGGGGGTCCACAGGCTGAGTGGGGAGAGATGGGGGCAGCACTTCCGTTAAACTTGTCTCCCCCAGACTCCTCCAGGGCCTGAGGCTCCGAGGACAGCCAGAGCTGGGGGCATTACAGTCCATCAAGGCTGCCTGCTAGCCTATTACCCAGAAGGCAGAGGCTAGCTTTCATCACTGACCCCACTCCGTAATTATCCTGGGAGGCAGTGCTGTGACCCACAGGGCCCAGAACCTTCTTCCAAGGTGAAGGTCTCAACCATTCATGGGGACCCAAAGCCCCCTGAAGCAGTCCCGCAGGTAAGGGCAGCAGAGAACCAGACATGTTCGTGTGAGGCAGCCCCTGGCCCCAGACCCTCCTCTCTCTTGCACAGCAGGGGTGGGTGAGAGCAGGATGGGCTGGCACACAGGGTTTGGACGCAGGTGTGGGTTGAGCCTGTAGGGGAGACCAGAGGCCCAGCTGAGAGGGTGTTCAGGCAAACCTCATCAGAACCACGAGGGGCCCCAAAGAGAGGAGGGCTGCCTGCTGTAAGAGGGGCTCACTCAAAGGGTGCTGGGAGATGCTGGTGAGGAGGCAGGCGCTGGGCTGGGGTTGAGCGTGTGTCTAGCACTCGGGAAGGCTCAAGAGCGAGGGTGTGGTCCTGAGGCCCAGCCCCCAGGCAGGCAAACCACCTCGACGCAGCCCCAGAGGCCCATGCCCTCTGTCGGGGCAGCGGGGCCCGAGTGCCATCCTCCCTCCACATGCCCCCAGACATCTTCAGTTGCCTCTCCACCAGACAGCAACCGTATCTGCTTCCAGCCAAGGTCTCTTTTTGGGATTCTGGCCCCACCCATCCCACTGTCCTGGGTACTCCGAATTCCTCCCAGAACCATGGCCAAAAGCTGGGCTGGTCATCCTCCTCTACCCTGCTCCTCCCCTGGGGACCCCGGCCCTGCTGGGGATGCTGTCCTGGCCGTGACCCTCACAGCCACAGCCTCTGCTCTGCCACAGGGCAGCTCACCAGGACACCACGGAGATCCAGCCCAGAGTCCCCCCTTGAAATCTCAGGCCAAACCGAGGCAGCTCTCCTCCCAGGAGCTTCCAGTGCACTCCCCGCGGGCCTCCGGGGTAAAGATCCAATTCCCTGGCTTGGTGTGAAGGTCCAGGAGCTCGAGCTCTGGTGTCCAGCACACCTGACACCTTTGAGGGTCAGGCCTGAGCTTAGAAACCAAGTCCTGTCCCTCAGGAGTGCAAACCTAGGGAAACAGACCCAGCACTCGCCATTCCAGCAGCCTGGTGTGCTGCCTCTGCCAGCACCAGGGGGCGGGCCCACCAGGCGTCTGCAGTCTGAGGCTTCTCTCCAGCAGTCACAGTTGGAGGACCGGAGTCCCCCAGCCCTGAGCTCCAGAGGCGCTTGACAGTTATTTCCTAATTGACAACCCATGGCAAAAAATAGGGGTAAGGGAACAGCACCAGGGCAGGGGAGCAGTGACTCCAGGGCTGGTGGGCTCGGGTGCAGCTGGGGTGCTAGGGCTTCTGAACAGCTCTCCACAACCCCGCCCAGCACCCCGCTCACCTTCCTCACCGCAGAGTCAGGCCCCTCACTCCCAGCTCCCGGGGACTCCCGGGGACCCCGACTGCAGAGGTGCAGGAGGAGGGCCCTGCCTGCCTGAACCAGGGCCCACAGGTAGCAAGGGGACTAGACAGCTGAGAGCTCTGCCAGGTTCTGGCTGCCTCAGGGACACGGGGAGGGGGCCCTTGAGCCAGCAGCTCAGGACTTGCCTGGGAGAGACCTAGTCAAGGGAGGGGGCTCAGGTCCCACTGAGCTCAGGGATATTCTTGGAGCCTGAGTCAGCAGCAAGCAAACTGAGGCGAAGGATTTTTTGCTCTGCCTGTCCAGGCAGCAGTTAGCAAGCAAATGGGAACACAGCGCCCCAGGCTAGTCTCCTCCCAGAATCCAGAGTAAATATTATGAAGGTGGCCTCCTCGGGGAGTCCGTGTTCCCTTTTGATCCATTTGGGGCCCAGGGTCCACAGCAAGAGGCTTCCCACCTGAACCCCCAAGTCCCCAGGCTGGGCCCTCCATCCGGGGGAAGGCTGTGCGTGCAGTTCCCATGGGCTGCCACGCCTCGTTCTTGGGACAGACTAGCCAGGAGCATCCCCCACGTGGCTAAGTGGGAACATCTGGCCCCAGCTCCTTGCAGACATGAAAGGCTTCCGGACTCCCTGCTGCAGGCCCCACGCTTGCCCCTGGCTGAGGACACATCAGCCTGTGGGAAGGCGGAAGGATCTGGGTATACAGAACTGGGGGGAAGTCCCTGCCACCCCATCCACTGCCCAGTGAACTATGCCAAAGACGAGAGAGGACAGCACAGTTCTCAACACAGGACTTTATTGGTGGCAGTGTGCAGCACAGGACTGAAGAGCTGAAGTGGCATGTTTGTGGTGGGGGGACCATGAACCCCAGCCCTGCCCTCTTGCCTACACAGGCTTCCTGCCTAGAAGCGCAGCCAGAACATGCCGCTACGGATCCGGTTGTAGTCGGGAAGCTGCTCAATGGGGCCTGTAGGGAGAGGGTGGGGTGTGAGGGTGGGGTACCTGGCTGGTACAGGGACACCTGGCCCTGTGCCGCACCCAATTCAGAGCTGCCCAGAGCAGCACAAGACAGGCTTTGAGTGCAGAGGGAAAAGAACATTCCTCCAGGGGTACTGAGCCTGTCCCTTCATGCTCCGGCCCTCGGAGCCCCACCCCCCACACAGAGGTGTCCGTTACCTGGTGGGTGTCGGGTACTGATGGAGGCACCTTGGCAGGGAGTCAAGGAGCTGCTGGGACAGGTTTTCTGAGCAAGAGCTCCCTGGCAGCCAGACTATGGGCAGAGCCTCTTGGGGGCCTCAACTGGCTGCTTCCAGTGGAGGTTGGGGGGTGGGGATGGCCAAATGAACGGCCCAGGGAGAAAGACAAAGAGCAGGCCTTCTAGGTCACTCACCCATTGCAGCCACTGCTGGACACTGGTCATAAAAGTACTTGGAGCAGACCTCACGGACTACGTTGGCATCCACCTCCTGTAGGGGGAAGCAGAGAGCACACTGACTAACAGGCACCTGGGGACCACCTCGGCCTGTCCAGGTTACCCAACCAACACAGACCCTCCCCTCGCACCATGGCGCAAAAGCACAAAAGCAGCAGGGCTCGCCCATCCCCACAGCCGGCGCCTCTGCCCGCCTTCCTCTTCCCTCTTCCTCCTGTGGTGCTAGCCTGGCAGTGACACTGCCTGGGACCCCAGGGAATCTGCACTGTCGGGCCTCAACTGCCCACCCGCTGAGCGTCTGCCAGATCAAAACTCCAGAACCTCTCTCCCAGGGGCTTACCGAAATCAGGCTTTCCCACTCGGCCAGGGGGATGCGGCGGCCGTAGGTTAGGAGACTCCGTCCGATGTCCTCACACACAGGAGTGGTGCCTGCGAGGGGGAGGCAAGGCTCACAGGTCCTCCCAGTGCATCCTGGCCCACAGCTTGAGCTCACACCCGAACCTGGGTCTGACCCCAGACCCCCACCCTCACTTCCACAACCTGTCACTGTCGGAACAGGCAACAGGCTGCGGCCCTGGCCCACCCACACCTGTATGTGAAGCCCCAAGCCTGTGGGTGGGGTGCTGGGGTGTGCTGCAGCCTTCAAAGCTTTTTCTTCCAGTCTTGGTTAGGGGCGGTAGCCACCCGGGGGCTGTCACTGCCAGGGTGCACGCCACCCCTGCCCCGAGGGCTGCAGGACTCACCATCCAGATGAGACACCAGGGCATTTCGGAGTTGATTCTTGCCCCGACGCACGTCACTCTCCGTGGCACTGGTGCAGAGGCGCATCCTGAAGCCGGGGAAGGATTCGCTCTGAGAGCCGGTGCTGCCTCCCGGCCTCCCAGCCTCCCAGCGGCCTGCTCCAAGGCCCCTGCCTCGCCCACCCAGTGCGGCCGGGCGGGCACTCACCACTGGCCTTGCAGGAAGAACATCATGTCATCGATGTTCATGCGGTCACAGACGAAGTGTGCGCCCAGCAAGCCCGTCTCTGCGTAGCAGATGTTGAAGGTCTGGAAGCTCTGGCACAGCTTGTTGGCCACAGAGACTGACGCCAGCGGGCTGGACAGGTGCTACCAGGGCACAGGGGTCAGCACCCACACTTCAGCCTGCAGCCCACACCCTGTACCCCACAGTACGAGCGCACGGTCCCAGAACCCTCTTCCCTAAAAGCAAGGTCCCACGCCCAGCCTGGCACTCACTGTGCCGCCGCCGTAAGTGCAGTCATAGTGGCCGATCATGGCATTGGCCACTTGGAGAGCCACATTGTCCGGGTTGGCCCAGCCAGGCCCCTCCACTGCAATGGCCACATGGGCCAAGGGCAGGGCGTCATCACGGTGGCATATCTGAAACAGTGCATGGCAAAAATGAGTGCCGGCCGGACTGCCCAGGCAACCAGAAAAGGTGCCAGGTGTGGGTGAAGTGTGTGTGTGTGCAAGTGTGAACACGTGCTTGTGAGGTAGTAGCCACAGGACCCCCTCCCACCTGCTGAGGCATCTCTGGCGTCGTGAAGATAACCAGGCACACAAGGGCCCTCCCAGTGGCCCCGGCTGAGGGCGCTACCCCTGCCCACCAGGCAGCCTACCTGGCTGCCAGTGAAGCGGCACGGAGAGAGAGTGGGTACGGCGTCCTCTGAGTACGTCCCAGAGACGCCGCTGAAGTGCTTCTGGGCAAGGTCCACCAGCTGCCGGTGCTCCACCCCTGCCGAGGCAGACACCAGTGTCACTGGCCAGCCGGGGGCCGAGGCACGGGGCAGGGGGAATCACGCAAAGGAGCTGTCTCTCTGTGGGAGACAGCCAAAGGAAGACACGAGCTCAAGATGAGGTGGGGGAGACCCTCCGTGGCCAGACTCTGCCTCTCGAGCAGCAAAGGAAAGCAGCAGCAGCCAAACTTGAAAACAGTGCCCGTGTGATGCATCCCACCTGAGTCAAGGACAAGGCTGAGGGTCCCCGGGCACAAGGCCACCTGCTCTGCGGGGCCCCTCTGGCCCTTCTCAGGCAGATCCCAGCTGCTGACCCTGTGAGGGGTGGTAAGTGGGAGGGCACAGAGAGGTGACACTACAGAGCTGTGACTAGTTCTGGGGGCCCGAGGGCTGAGGTGAGCGCACTTAGCAATAATGTCACCCACTCGTGCCCTCTGGACCCCCGAGGGGCGTCACCTTAACGACAGGGGCCCCTGCTGCCCTAGCACGCCGGCCGCTGGGTGCAAGGGTGGTGGGCAGTCTTCCCCGGAGCACAGCCCCCCGGGCCGCTGCCTTCTATTCTGTCCTTCCCTGAGCTCGGGTTCTGCTGGACTCGACAACAGTCTCACACGCCAGTAGCTCCAACCGCTCTTGGTCCCCAGATGAAGTGACCCCAAAGCCACCCATCACGCTCTTCCTACCAGTCTTTTATATCCAAGCGGATGCCAAAACCACAAGCCAGAGAAGTGCCCTTGACCTGCTCCCATCCCCTCCGCCACGTCCGGGTCTCCATCCGTTTCCATCTACATAACCACCTTGAGTCCATCTACTCTCACCCTGCTCCTGCCGTTGCTGCCTGAAACAGCCCCTCCCTGGTCTGCCGGCCTCTGCTCTGGTGCCCACACACGACACTGCCCTTGCCCTCTGCTCAGGCGCTCCCTCCCCACCTACCTCCCACTGTTCGTTAGGCATCTGTTCACGTAACACATGCTTCAAAGGCAGCCCCTGAACCCCCAACTTCACGTCTTCCATTAAAACCCCCCGCCCTCTGTGCCTCCCTTTCAAGGCATCTCCCAGTCTGTCATCAAACATGCTCCCCCGTCCTAAGTCTGGAGGGCCCCACGGAGGCCTGTGCTGAGAGAGGACCAGCACCCTGTGTGGCCAGCTCTGGTGGCGGCAGCTGGGAAGATGGCCATCCCCCCTCAGAGGCGTGGGACAGAGGCCGCTCCCATCAAGACTGGGTGGGAACAGGGTGCTCAGGAAGGTCCCCTACAGTCAGAAACACAGTACCTGGGCAACCGAGGCCGGTGCCCACCCACCGTTACCGCAGGGTTTCAACGAGCCCATCGCTCACCTCCAGCTGCCGCGAGCACCATGCGAGGGGCCTTGTAATGCTGGCTGAGGTACTCGGTCAGGTCGGCTCGGGACAGCTTCCTGCAACACATACGGCCAGTGGGTCAACACCTGCCCCGAACCAGAGTGACCCGGGTCACCCAAAATGGGGCTGAGGAGGCAGACAAGGAGACACATGGCTTCTCCAGAGAACAAGCCTGAGCACTCTGCCCAACCCCTCCCCAAGCCTGCCACCCACCCCTCTGGGGCCCGGAGGGCAGCACTCGCCTGGCCTCAGGACAGGGGCGCTGTCCTCAGTGAGGATGGTGTGGGCTGGGGCCTCTCAAGGGGCAGCATCAGAGCCCATCCCACCCCGGGACCAAAAGCCACATGGACAGGAGACCCAGAAACTCTCGCCCTCAGGACGTCAGGACACACGTGGGAGCATGTCCTGAAAGCAAGCTCTAAATTCGAGCAAAGGCCACATGGGAATCAGAAAAGATCCACAGGGACCAAGCTCCCAACAGCGTGAACTGGAAAAATAAGGAGCAGAGGCAGCCAGCTAAAACCAAACTCCCACGGATGTGGCCTAGCTGGGCTGGAATGGGGTCACGTGCCTCACCTGAGCCCAGCTAGTTCTCACCTGACATTCTCACTGGGCCCCTCCACGGACTGGGCTAGAGGCGTGCCCTGGAAGGCGGTGGCGTGCAGATAGTTGAAGACGACGTCCCGCAGAGACGCATCGTTCTCCTGCAGCTCCCGCAGGATCACGTCGCGCTCCTTCTCAATCTGTGAGTCTTCCAGGCTGCAGTTCTGCACAATGTCCGCCAGGAGCTCCACAGCTGGACGCGGGGACAGGTTTGGGCATCAGGTGGGCCACTGGAGACCAGTAACATGGACACCCAGGCCCGGCAGCCCTGGTTGCCCTGCTGCAAAGCCATCCTCTAAAGCCAGGCGAGGGGCCCCTGCATGCCAGTCTTCTGCCTCTGGAGTGCTATCCCTGTCCCTGCCATTCCCCCAGGAGTCACCTTTCGGCAGGTCCTGGGACAGTGCCTTGATGTAGTAAGCCGTGTGCTCCCGGGTGCTGTAGGCACTAAGGTGGGCCCCCATGCTCTCCACCTCCTTCTCCAAGGCATTGCCAGGCCGATTCTTTGTTCCCTGGAACCAGACATCAAAAGCACCAATCAGGAGCCACTTGAGAGCCCAGGAGGCTAAAGTCTCGGCAGAACCAGTGGTGTTCAGCAAAGAGCGTGGGGATGGAGGACACACAGTCTGTGCTAACCAAGCACTAAGCAGGCTTGAGCTACCTGAGGCCACAGAACAGAGACAGCCAGAGGCCAGGAAAGAAGGGCACGGCCACAGCAAGTGTTCCCTGAAATCCAGCTACCCCCCGCCCCTTACCGACAGTCACGGTCAGGTACGCTCACACCTGTGTGCCTGGGTTGACGGTACGACTACCTGCTCTCCCCACACACCATACATACGCCTGTGTACAGGGGCTAAAGAGCAGTGGCCTCTGTGGGACTAACCCCAGTTGTGCATGTCACACGCACAAGCACACTAAGATCTATACACATGGATGCCATAGCTGGCTAGACTGCCATTCTTGCTACGCATCCCTACCCATCCCATATTTCCTTCTCCATAAATCCATTCATTCAAACATTTCAGTCCTGGCTGGTGTGGCTCAGTGGATTGAGCACCGACCTGCAAACCAAAGGGTCACTGGTTCGGTTCCCAGTCAGGGCACATGCCTGGGTTGTGGGCCAGGTCCCCAGTTGGGGGCACATGAGAGGCAACCACACTGATGTTTCTCCCCCGTTGTCTAAAATAAAATCTTTAAAAAAATTTTTTCAGTCTCTACTCTGAGCCAACATGGGCTGGCTGAGGGCTACAGTAGCGACTGTCCTCCACCCGAGCAGAGGGCTGCACAAGAGCGCACGCTCACCCCGGTCCATGGGCGTGTTATGACACATGTCTGTCTACACGTGTTCCACACCTCGTCAGAGCACACAGGCCTGGCCTCTCTGGTGGAGACAGGGCTCCAGTGGCTCCATTTTGTTTGTTTTTTTGACTCTGGGGGCCTTGTGCAGGGGCCCACCAGAGAGGTGCTCACTCAGAAGAGGCAAAGCCACACGCTCCTTCCAGAAAGGCCAGCGAGAGGCCAGTCCCCAGCTGAAGCCCCTAACTGGGGAGGCTGCCTTTTCTGACCTGCATCCTCCAGAGGAGCAACACGCGGCCCAGGGGAGCGACGGGGTTGCGGGAGCCTCACCTTGAAAGCCAGATGCTCCACAAAGTAGCCTGCCCCATTGTTCTTCTCGTTCTCGTACCGGCTGCCGACATCAATCCACACCCCGACCTGGACAAGAAGTAACAGACAAAGCACTCCAGACCCCACTTACGCCCACCCCACCAGGACCCCACCCACCCACAGAGGCTAAAGCTGAGGCTCACAGTCCCAGGGTGGGGGACAGCTGTCTCCAAGCAGGACCATCGTGTTTACAGGTGCGCAGGGCACCACCAGCTAAATGACCAGTCACTCTCTTCACCTCTCCGGCCTGCTGTCCTTCCTGACTAGTTAGCAAGGACGCCCACGGAAGTTTCTAACTGGGTACGCTCACCTGGTACCACCATCACATGAAATTGAAATTCTTAAATTCAGTCTTAATTTTCAGTTGTTTTCTTCTAGGCAAGTAACACATGATTTACAACTTATTTTCTCCTTTCTAAAAATTATGCTCTGCCTCGTTCCGGTGATTTTAACCTTTCACCATTAAGGAAGGAGGCCACCGGTTCAGACGCTGAACGTTCTGTACTAATAAAAGCCTGCCCTGACTGATGTGCCTCAGTTTGGTATCATTCTGCAAAGCAAAAGGCCGCTAGTTCAATTCCCAGTCAGGGCACACTCCTGGGTTGCAGGGTTCAGTCCCTAGTCAGGAGAGTATAAGAAGGACCATTGATGTTTTTCTCTCAGAGATATTTCTCTCCCTCTCCCGTCTCCAGTCAATCAATCAATCTTAAAAAAGAAAACAGCTTTCACACATAAAGTTTTAAAAGTATATTTTATTATGGCATTACAGTGGTCCCAGTTGTTCTCCCTCTGCCTGGTTCCCCCTTCCCTCCAGCTACCCCATCTTAGTTCATGCCCATGGGTTACACATGTAAATTCTCTGGCTTCTCCATTGCTTATACTGTTCTTAACATCCCCATCTATTCTACATCTACCCAATTACACTTCTAAATCCCTGCACCTTTTCCCCCATTCTCCTCCTTCCCCCTCCCAGCTGATAACCCTCCAGATGGTCTCCATATCTATGATTCTATTCCTGTTCTAGTTGCTTGCTTAGGTTTTTTTTAGATTCAGTTGTTGATCTGTTGTCATTTTAACGTTCATAGCGTTGATCTTTTCCCTAAGAAAGTCCCTTTAATATTTCCTATAATAAGGGTTTGGTGGTGATGAACTCCTTTAGCTTTACCTTTTCTGGGAAGTACTTTATCTGCCCTTCCATTCTAAATGAAAGCTTTGCTGAACAGAGTAATCTAGGCTGTAGGTCCTTGCTTTTCATCACTTTGAATACTTCTTGCTACTCTCTTCTATCCTGCAGTTTCTTTTGAGAAATCAGCTGACAGTCTTAGGGGAACTTCTTTATAGGTAACTATCTGCTTTTCTCTTGTTGCTTTTGAGATTCTCTTTATCTTTAGTTAATCTTTGGCATTTTAATTATGATGTGTCTTGGTGCAGACTTCTTTGGATCCAACTTGTTTGGGAGTCTTTGTGCTGCCTGGACCTGTACATCTATTTCCTTTGCTAAATCACAGAAGTTCTCTTTCATCATTTTTTCAAAAAAGTTTTCAATTTCTTGCTCTTCCCCTTCTCCTCTTGGTATCCTTGATTCAGATGATGGCCCTTTTGGAGATGTCCCTGAGTCTTCTTCTTAAATGACCATTTTTTAAAACTCGTTTCTTCATTCTGTTCTGGTTGAATGTTCATTTCTTCCTTGTGTTCCAAATCACTGATTTGAATCCCAGCTTCCTCCCCTTCACTGTTGGTTTCCTGTGGATTTTCCTTTGGTAGAGCCTTCCTTTCTCCCATTATGTTTTTGCTGTACTCAGTGAGATCTTTGAGTGTTCTGATCACCAGTGTTTTGAAATCTGCATCTGATAGGCTGCCTAGCTCTGCATCACTTATTTCTTTTTCTGGGGTTCTGTTCTGTTCCTTCATCTGGGCCATATTTCTTTGTCTCCTGATTTTGATAGTCTCCCTGTGCCTATGTACCAGGTAGGGCTGCTTTGATTCTGTTTTAGTGCACCTGTTAAGTCATATGGGGCGGAACCTTGGGTGTTTACCTGGGTGGGGCAACCATGGCTCTGTGTGTGGGGGGTGGGGTCAAAAAGGGGACAATGCCACCGCTGCCCGACCTCTGGGGGCTTGTCTGGCCCTTGACCCATTTCCAGTCCCTTCACCTTCTTCCCATAAGTGACTGGCACCCCTCCAGAGGCCGTCCTGGTTGTGGTTCTCTGGTGGATGGGTTTGCATGCATCACAGGCTCTCCTGAGAAACTGGCAGTTTCTCCCACTGACCCAACCCCTGCTGGGTTTACAGCCAGAAGTTCTAAGGCTTCCTTCTCACTGGTGCTGGAGCCCTGAGCTGTGCAGTATGACTCGGGGCTGGGCGCCTCGGCTCACAAAGTGTCTCCCTGATTTCTACACACCAGCACATGTGAATGTGAGGCTGCCTGTTCTTCCAGCCACTGCTGCCTCGCCACCAGCACACCGAGTCCTCTCCACCCCAACTCCCTATCTCAGCCCCTCCTACCTGTCTGGATAAATACAGCTTCTTTAAATCCTTGGTTGTCAGACTCCCATACAGTTCTGGATGTTTTTCTAGCAGTTCTGGGTATTTTTCATTTTTAAGTTAGTTCCTTCTAACTTAGAGGTGTGTTCCTTCTTATGGTTGTATAATGAGGTGAAGTGTGTCTACCTACGCACACCTTTATCTTGACTGGAAGCCCCCTAAAAAGTTTTAAAGCAGCCGGCCACCCGGCAAACCAAGTGTCTCCTTGATACCCAAGAGGAGAATCTTGTACTTAAAAAAAATTTTTTTTAAAGATTTTATTTATTTTTTAGAGAGGGGAAGAGAGGGAAAAAAATATCAATGTGTGGTTGCTTCTTGTGCACCCCCTGCTGAAGACCTGGCTTGCAACCCAGACATGTGCCCTGACTGGGAATCGAACCAGAAACCCTTTGATTCACAGGCTGGCACTCAACCACTGAGCCACACCAGCTAGGGCAAGAATCTTCTAATTTTCTTAATAGTCTCCTGGTGTGCTATGAAACAAATGACACCACTCACCCCATATATCACATAGATTTAGTCTTTTAATTTACTCCTTGTCCATAATTGACTTAAAATTTCACATCTACTTTACTAAGAGATATTGATGTACAACCATATACCATAAACTCTTACATGAACATCTATTTGACACCTAACATCTTGGAAAGAAAGATGCACTTTACAATCCATGCACTTTACAATCCATGGTTTCCTTTGAGTATAACTGACAAACTTCTTTCTCTGATGCTCCTCCCTACATCTAGAGCATCTTGCAGTCCAGGATATACAGCATTCTCTGCCAAGCTTTCTTAACAGGCTTTGGGTTGGCTCATATAGGTGCCACATAGGTAAGGAAGTTATCCGTCACCTTTTGCTGTACTCTGTAAGAGCATCACACAGGACATTACTTGTTCTTGAGATTTTGCCATAGAACCACTTAGCCTTGGAGTATGGAGTGGGGAGAAGGGGAGGATTGCTTCTTGAGAATCTTCTCTCCTATTCATGTATCTAATCAAGATGTCTATCCTTTAGTTAATTTTGAGGATTTGCATTTGTTTGTAAAAGTCACTCATTTCACTAGAACCTTCCTTTGCAGTGCATTCCTAGTTTAGCAAGTAGTCAAGGTGGGGCCTAAGTAAGGATTGGTGTGAAAGAGTCAATCCAGCAATGAATGAGCAGGAGTGACCCAAACCACAGAGACCTCGTATTCAAGGTCACACCCTGACCTGGGAAGACTCCCAGGCAATAAAGAGGTCCCCTCTGGCCAGCGGGCCCTACTCACCGTGCAGGTAGGCTGTGAGGACTGCTCCGAGGCCACTCGTAGCCCGTTGTCCAGCTGGCTGATTTGCGTTTCTGGCATGCTCTGGAGGACCTGGGCGAAGGTGGCCGTGCTCCGCAAGGCAGGCGACTTCAGCAGGGCCGGCTGCTGTTAACCGGACGATAGGGACTGAGGACTGAGTTGGGGTATCACTCCTCAGATCCCAGGCCCGCAGGGGTATTCCCGTCCCCGCCCCCAGGCTAGTCGCGACACTGCTATGCCCGCCCTGGGACGTGACCTTCGCACGGCCCTGACCCCCAACCTCCTCAATATCGACGCGCCACGGCTAACAGCCCACACCAAGTCAGCGTCCCAAAGCCCCACGTCCCATAACCCTGCGCCCCCCGCTGCCACCTCACCGAGTGGCGGGTGCGCAGCAATACTCGCGTCCCAGCGCCGGCCACCCGGCAAACCGCGGAAGCCGCCATCTTCTAGTTCAGATAGCCGGGGTCGCGTCACGCATGCGTTTGTGGATGCGACTGCGTCCGAGGCGCAGGCGCAGACCACAGCCTTGGCGCTCGGCCGCCCCCTGGCGGAATCCCAGGATATTCACTTCTGGCTGGTCGATGGTGCTGTCCGCCCCGTCCGCAAGCACTTGCGCGCATACGTCCGCTGGGTTGTCTGTCGGCCTGCGCGGGTCCGTCTTCGGTCCAACCCGTCCGCTCCTTTCATCCATAGGAGGCAGGGTGAGCGGTGTTTCTCACGGTCCGCGAGCCCCCCCTAATCCACTGCGTGCTCGGACTAGGCTAAAGCACCAGCGAGAAATCCTGGGACTAAAGGGCAGTTGCTGAAAGACGCGGTTTTCTCTTTTAAAGGAATGAAGTAAATTCAGACGTTGACGTGGAAGGATTTTAACGATATATTGCTAAGGAAAAAAGGAGCAGTTGAGACGAATTTGTGAAATGGGTTCCTTGTGTGGAAAGCAACACACACACCACAAACAACAAAACAACGGTGCCTTTTCTCATAGTTTCCAATTACATGTTCCCCATTTCCCTTATGAGCTATCATTGGCAACGGCAGCGTTTTTTAACCTTATCTTTTAATTACAGTTGACATTCCATATTACTTTATATTAGTTCCAGGTGTAATTGGCAGCATTCTTAAAGTCCAGATTTCTGCTAATGGTTGAAAGTGTGAGAAGGGGGAATTCTCCTTTCCCTCCTCTGGTTCCTCTGGCTGACTGAGTAGTCAAATCGATGAGACTAAATGACAAGAGAAAATCGAGTCCCATTTCCACTTCAGGGGAACCCCACATAGTGAGAGAGTCAGAGACCCCTCATGCTGGAAAGGTTCAGAAACAAAGGGAGAATGTGCGTATAGACATTGTGAGCCAGGGCCCTGGTTGGTGTGGCCCAGTGGATTGAGTGCCAGCCTGCAAACCAAAGCATCGCTGATTCAATTCCAAGTCAGGCCACATGCCTGGGCTGCAGGCCAGGCCCCCAATTGGAGGCACATGAGAGGCAATTGCACATTCATGTTTGTCTCTCTCTTCCTCCCTTCCCCTCTCTCTGTAAATAAAATATTTTTTTAAAAAAGATATCGTGAGCTAGAGATGAGGCAAAGAACTTTGGGGCTTCAGAAGGGAGTCCATGTCCAGTCATTAAGTAGAAGCTTGCCCTGCCATATAGGTAGGTCAAAAAAAGTTACCTTTCATAAGCTCTTATTATGGGCAAAGTTCCTCATTCAAAAGCCTGTAGATGTGCCCTGGCTGGTGTAGCTCAGTGGATTGAGTGCAGGTCTGCGAACCAAAGGATCGTGGTTCGATTCCCAGTCAGGGTACATGCCTGGGTTGCAGGCCAGTTCCCAGCAGGGGACACACGAGAAGCAACCATACACTGATATTTCTCTCCCTCTCCTTCCCTTCCCCTCTAAAAGATAAATAAATAAAATATTTTTTTAAAGCCTGTAGATAGTTAAGGTGGGGGGCACGGACAGGAGTCTCTCATGAACCCAGGGGGCCTTTAGCTCAATCAGAACAAGCCACGCACCACTGGGGCACAGCGTGGGGTGGCTCCTGCTGAGCCACCATGAAGGCAATTTTGGCTTTTTCTGTTATGTTCCTTGAAATTCTTCCAGCCTTTGCTCCCCGCCCAATTCCAAAGTTATTTCCACTTTGAAAAATTTGTCGTAGCAAGATCTCGCCCTTGATACTAACATCTGTATGTTTTCTATTGCTGCCATAACAGATGACCACAGACATAATGGCTTAGAACAACACAAATTTATTATTTCACAGTTTAGTCGGCTCAGGGTCCAACACAGATCTCAATGGGCTAAAGCCAAGGCATTGGCAGGGCTGCGTTCCTTTCCAGAGGCTCCAGGGAAGAGCGTGCCCTTGCTCAGGTTGTTGACAGAACGCAGACCCCGGGGGCTGCAGGACTTCTTCAAAGCCAGCAGCAGAGGGCAAAGCATCTCTCACACTTGGAATATTTTAAGGCCTCATGTAGTTACTTGGGCCTACCAAAATAATCCAGAACAATCTCCCTATTTTAAGGTCTTTCATCTAGCATAGTCACTGACTCCACAGTTAATCTTAGGGGCAAGTATTCTGCCTACCACACTCCCTAGGAGGTGCCAGCTCCTGCCCCTTTCCGGCCTGCTCCCTCCTGCTCTCCGGAGCTCGCTCTTTCCCCTGAAGTTTTGACCACCTTATAGTTCCTGGAACAGGTCAAGGTCTCTTCCCCCACCACACCCTTGTATGCGTTTGTCCTTCTGACTGGAGCACTCTCCCCCTCCTCTCGCCACCCCATTCGTGCTGGGTCCCAGCAATCAGCCCACCCGACTGGGCCAGCACACCTCTGCAGAGTAATTGCCTTTCCGAGTCTGTTTCACTATCGCCACCACCCTCCCCTACTTGTGAGTGGGTGAGGGAGGAGCCTGCGGTGTTCTGCACGTCCTGGCGAGCAGTAGGTGCTCATTAAACCTTGTAGAATGTGGCAGTGGACCTAACAAGAGGCTGATGAAGCTCAACCGTCAATGCCTTTTACTTCCTAGACTTGTGAGGACCTCCCAGTAGTGTGCTCACAGGGGCAAGTATTTTTGGAAAACTTGCAAAATCAAGATAGCCTAACTACACCCGGTTAGAATTTCACCCCACTTCCCCTTATATTGGTGATGTTAGAGAAGCTATGACATTTTGGGGGCCCGGCCAAGAGGAAGGTGCATTGAGGACTGTCCCAAATTGGGTTTTCTGGGAAGCATACGCTAAGAGAGTGACCAGGATGTTCACCAGGGCGTCCTTTCAGGTGGGCCTTGGCGGGGGATGAAGAACACGGGCTGTGGTGGGCTCTTTGAGCTGAGGCAGCCCTGTCTGCTGCTGCCTTCTCCGGGGTGGGCAGCAACAGGCCCTCCTGGAAGGGGGCCACGGGCGGCACTGCTACCACAGGGACACACGTGATTGGGGTTTACTGTGACATATTTACGTGGGTTGCTCCACTGCCCAGTATGGTTAGCTCAGCTCGGTGTTCCTGTCCTGGTGTAGGAACGGCCTCTAGGCACCTCCTGCTGGTCGGGAGGCAGAAGTACAAGGTCCTGCTGCGTTTACAGTACAACCTGCCCGCCAGTGCCCAGGGCTAGAAAAACTGTGAGCCGTGGAGGGAAAACAAGGTTTGAAATGAGTGGAGCCAGAAGCCCAACCGTGGAAAATTCTTCCAAATCATTCAGCATCTCTTATAAAAGTCGATGAAAGTTTCCCAAATCTGAAAACCACCCAGGCCCTCTATGTGACTCCATCCACAGCAAGAAAGGAGAGAAACACATTTTCTAAACTATCAATAATTAAAACACAACTCTCAACCATGTTAGAAGACTGAATTTTCTTTCTATTCTTCATAGGGGAAATATTTCCCCCCAAATTACAAAATCCTTATTCTCCATACAGGCCACCAGAGTGAGCGGCCAGAAAAGGTCGGGGGGGAAAGCATTACAGAAACATATCAGGAAGACACCACAAGTACGTTATTGTTCTGGACTTTGCATTGTAGTATTTGCCAACTTCTTAACATGTGTAATTTGTCATGATTTCTTATTTCAATTCATGTTTCTATTTTCGAAATCATGTTATATTGTTTTTCTAAAACAGAGACCCTGAAATGCTCAGGCTTCGTGCCCACTCAGCCAGGACTGCCCGTGGCAGAGGAAGGGAGGGAGAGGGTGAGGGCCCCTTGGGGAGGCCCAGCCCTCACTCCACCCCCTGGGGCCTTGAAGCAAGGGCCACTCGGGCGCCAGCGCACGTCTGAGACACCACAGAGAGGACCGCAGCCAGGGCTCACCGCCCCAGCTCAGGTTCTCACCTCTGGGTGTCCCTCCTGGGACTACCCAAGTCTAACCCCATGGCCAAGTCTCCTCCCACCCCACTGGGGTCCCCCGAGGAACCCTAGAATAGCAGTTGTGTTTCTCGGTGAAGTCCACAGGGAGGAGGAGTCAGTTGGTAGAGGGCAGTGGAGCAGTGTGAGCCACCTGGGCCCCACCCTTCCTGGGCATTGAGGCCTCAACAGGTGTGCGGGTTCTATATACAGGTAGAAAGGTTCTCCCACGTTGGCCTGGGAGAACAGACACACAGGTGCAAGCCTGGCCCGGCGCCTCAGGCCATCCCCACCCCAGCTGGCCACCAGGCAAAGAGAGGCATATGTTGGGTCACCCACTCGGGGTGGGAGTCCCCTTTATTTGCACTGGACGCTGAGTGGCTAGGTGCTGCAGGTGGCCCTGGATTTGGGCCAGCAGGGCATCCAGCATGTGCAGGACGGTGAGGAGTATGGCGTGGTCTGAGATCGGGGTCCGCTGTTTACAGGGTCCAGAGACGTCCGTGGTCACCTTTGGGTGCTGAGGATAGGACCAAGGGACAGGAGTGAGAGCAAAGGGACGGGGAGGAAGTGTGATGGGGGCAGCAATGGAGCCACGGAGAAGGGGCTGGGAAGGGGAGTCAGGCTGATGGAGGATTTGTGGGCCGCAGTGGCAGGGGGCCCATGGGAGCTGGGGGAGACAGAGGGGGCAGGGTGCTGGCCATGGGGTACAGTCAGGGGCTGATGGGTGTGGACATATGTAGGAACTGTGAGGTGTGAGTAGTGGGGGTGGGGCAGCAGGAGCCCCGCAGACCTGGGCAGGAGGATGGGCGGGCCGTGGGGGTGGGCTGAAGGATGTGAGCCCACTGGGTGTGTGTGGGGGGAGGGGGCTGTGGGGGCAGCGGAGCTGTGCTCACCTCACTCTCGATGCCCTGTGAGCGCCGCCTCTGGAGCACCTTGCGGCTGATCACAAGCATCATGGTGGTGGTGAGCGTGAAGCCCGCCACGGGGTAGATGGGGTTCATCCCCAGGCCCATCCAGTGGCTGGGGCAGCCCAGGCTGGTCCCACAACCCTCTAGGCTGTTTGGCTGGCACCCCCAGGGCTGCAAGTCCAGTCCCACCTGGTACCACAGGGGCCGAGACCAGGCCTGGGAGGGAGCCGACATTGCCAGCAGGAGCAGCAAGAGCAGGAAGCACCGAGCGGCCAGCATGGCTGCAGTGAGAGCCTCGGAACCCGTCGCCTGGCAACAGGAAAACACCCCTCCCCCTGCCGCAGGCCTGGCAGGGACTGCGGGTTCCAGCAGGGCCCCTGGCCTCTCAGCAAGGACAGCCTGGCCGGAAAACATGGTGGAGCGTGGTGGTGGGTACAGTTCCAGGCCTGGGAGGGTGGCATGGCCGGCCCAGGGTCCAGGACCAAAGGGCCACCTCCTTTCTCTTGCCTGCCCCCTAAAATCCTAACCCCACCACCCCAATGCTGCTGCCCAGCAGAGCTGCTCACTGACCTGTATGCCCAGCCCACGGGACATGTACTTCCACACGCACATGGAAGGACAGTGAGTCTCCACAGTGTGGGGCTCCCCCTTGGAATAAGGCCCAAGGCTCACCCTGGCCTGCAAGGTCTCCCCTCCTGCCTGCCCATGTTCCCGAACACACTGTTCCCAACAGCAGGGGCCCTGTCCTTCACACCTAGGAAGGCCCTTCTCACAGCTGGTGTTCTCCACCTGCCCCCGCTTCCCTCCCATGATCCTCTTGGGCAGCAAGGTTACTTTTCCCTGAGTGACCCTGTTCATTTTTTTTCAAAGCATTTCTAAGGAGCTGCAATCTCTTGGAGGTCTGTCTCCCACTCCAGCACAAAGCTTCACTCGACCAATATTTGCCAAATGCTGCCATGTGTCACACTCACTGTTCCTGGTGCCTGGCACCGTCCTTGGTGCCAGGACACAGGGTGACAGAGTAGACAAAAGCCATGACTTCCTGGGCTGAGGTTCTGGGGGTGGCACTGACCACACTGAGCTGGAAACAGAGCAGACAAGGTGACTCAGTGACTTGGAGGGCGGCGCAGCCCCTGCCTACTTGCCCAAGCAACATCCCGAGCACTGTGTGGCATTTCCTCGTTGAATGCTAATTGAGTAACACAGGAGGCGGGTACTGTTTCCATTCCTGCTCTCCTGGCGAGGACCCACCAGGCCCGGGGGGGTTTCAGGGCCTCCCACCCGCCAATCACTCAGAGTATCTTTGGCCAGAAAGCCAGCTGCTGCCCACAGGGCCACATGTCCAGATGCTGTTTCATGGCAGAGGTTGGCGCGTACTTCCTGGCTGGCAGTGACCTGCCAAGCCCAGGTGACCTAGTAATACAGAGAGGCATCTTCCCAAGTAAATCAGTCATGTGGGCTCCTACTTCTAAATGTGGAACAGCAGCACCTTCGAACACCTGCGCTTCCTCAACTGGCGGTTCAGGTGTTCACACTACCCCGCCCCCAGTGGCACCTGCCCTGCCCTGCTCCCTATCTATGGTTCCTGAGACCAGACCATTCCTGAGAAGCAGCCGATTCCAACTGTGTACTTTACAACCGAGATCCAGGCGCTGAGGGCTGTGTGTGGCTGGGGAGAAACTTGAACCTGGGGGTCCCCACCTGGGCCTGGCCCCACAGCTGTCCTGCCTACTGTACATTCACTGCCCCTGCTGCCTGCCCCCAACTTTTAGCTCAAGTTCCCACTTTGGAGCATGAAAAGGGCCAGGAGCCAGGGCTGTGTCCCCCCCCCCCCCCCCCCGACCTCTACCAAAACACAGCAGAGCCTGGTGTCAGGCAAATGAGTCTTTATTCCTGAAGTAGAAAACACGCACGATCCCTCACCCCTGCCCCGGCCAGTGCCCCGACCCAGGCCTCCAGCACTGCACTTGGAATCCCAGGATCTCCATCCCTGAGTTGTCTGTGTGTTGTGTGTACGGAGGGGACTCCTGGGTGACAAGTGGAGGCGGCACAGGGATTCTCACAGGTGCCCTGTCACAAGCTCCAGAGGTAGGCAGTCTCAGGCAGGGCGGCGGCATGGTCAGAGTTTGGTGGCCTGAGTGGGCAGACGAGGGGAGATTCTGGGCAGTTACCAAGGGCACATACCAGCCCTCCCCCCGACAGCGACCTCTGCCCCGGGGAGCAGCTTCACCTAAAGGCACCAGGGGAAGGCGGTGGGTCCACTGGGGTTAGAGGCACCCAGGCAGAGGCGGGGCTTCCTGGAGCTGGGGTCAGGGGAGGACAAGCAGTAGGTAAAGAGTTCAGTGGGCCAGAGGTCAGCTCACCAAAACAGAGCTGGCCTGGCTGGACCTCGCGTGTTGGAGGGCAAAGACGACAGCATCGTGCACAGAGGCAAAGAGGTGCTGCTTAGTGATGGACGCATCGAAGAAGTGCCCCACCTCGAGCTGGGTGACCACAGGAGCTGTTGGTGGCAAGGAGCGGGTCTGTCCTGACTCTGAGAGGCCCCGGGAACCCCAGCCCCAGTCACCAGCAGGATACTCTGATCCTGTCACCAAGGCTTCTCCCCGTGAGGCCACAGCTGATAACGCCTAGGTACTCTTGACCTTTGACCCCAGCCTCCCAGGAGACCTCTGACCTCCAGTTTCAGATAAAGACTTTCCTGGCGGACTCCTTGGCCAGAAGAACCCCACGTTCCTCCCGAACCACTCTCACTGTCCCTGTCCCACGCACTGTGGCAGGCGGCCATGTACACCTCCACCTCGATCTCCCGGAAGTCTCGGAATATCTGCAGCAGAAAAGGGGGCCCGCTTTAGAGGGAGGCTTGGGCTGCGGGGGGAGACTCAGGCAGGCCGGGGGAAGGGAGTTTAGAGGAGAAGTTCAGCAGGTTTGGGGGGTCTCAAGGCTCAGAGGGCACTCAGAGCGAGTGATGGGGTCAGGGTAGGGGCTTGAGAACCCCGGCCTCCCCCAGCACCTTTGTAAGGGTGCCCCCAGCCCCTTACGTTCCTCAGGCTCTTGAGGCTCACGGTGTCCACAAAGGAGAGGGAGCTCAGGTCCAGGACAAGGCTGTGGAAGTCCGGCTGAGGCAGGCCCAGCGCCTCCAGTGTGGACTGGTCTGGGGCCTTGGCGTCGGCACCTTCTTGACCGCTGGCCGCCGCGTCCTCCAGGTCACTCCCCGCGCTCACCTGCTGGGGAAGCGGACAGTGCTACAGGGGCTGCCCAGGGGCAGGCGAAGCAGGGACTGCGCATAGACAGGCGGGGACACTCGGGGTCAGGTGTGGGACAGGCACAGAAACACTCACAAACATGGGGCCTGCAGGGGACACATGGGGACGTGGACATGGGAGCCTCCTGTATGCAGGCAGGAGGGACCCTGAGGGACACACGGGAGAGGACGCCTAGGCTCCGGGAGCACACGCTGGCACACGCATACTGTTCTGTTACCTCCTGGGTCCAGGCTCAACAGGGGCACTTTAGAAGGGGTGCTCTGGGAGACCTCGCCCCGGCCTCAGTCAGCTGGGGCCGAGCGGGAAGGGGGCTGAGGGACAGACCGGAAGACACACGTGCAGCCCTGTGCGTGTGCAGACACCTCGGCGCCCCGCCTGCGTCTCCAATGGAGCTTGGCGTCTCTTCGATCCCACATTGTTCCCCCCACAGCTAATGCCTTCCCCTCTACCCCCCACAGCTAATGCCTTCCCCTCTACCCAGAAGCAGAGACTGTGGGGTCCTGCGGACTCTACAAATTCAAGGCCTTCATCGAGGCCTCAGATCACAGACAGGAAGCCACAGTGGAGTTCTACAGCATGTTGCTAGAGATCCCTCCACCGCGTCTGATCCATCACCCCATTTCCCTGCCACCGACACAACCACAGGTCCGTGGCTTTCCTCATGGAACATGTCGGGACACCCTCATCTCTGCAGCTCACAGAGGTGGGGCCCGTCCCACCTGCACCACCTCCAGCCTCACCGTGGCCTTGGAGCCCTCCACGTTGTTCCTCTTGATGTCTCCATCACTAGTGTTGACATTGATGAAAACGGACGTGCCCTTGGAAGCAGCAGCCTAGGCAGGGGAAGAAGGGGACAGGAAAGAGTTGTCCCAGCTGCCACGCAGCAGCTGTGCCTGACAGGCCTGGTCTTGACCTCTGGCTTTGGGCAGTTGGCGGGCCAGGAACCGGAGCTCGGGACCTGAGCCAGGCCGAAGCCTCCGGGAACAGCCGCAAATGGAAGAGGACTGTGATGGTTTGTGCTGTCCCTGTGGCTCAGAGGTGGGAGAAAAGCAAAACCCCACCGACAGGGAACGAGAAGGGAGAAAAAGGATGAGGGGAGTCAGGAGCCCAGGAGGCCAGGAAAAGGCTGGGCGCAGTGAGCTGCAGGACAGGGGTCAGTGGGTGGGGGCAGGATTCACTGGCCCAGAGGGACCCCTGCCTGTGTCTGGAGTTGGTCCTTTTGCAGTTGCTTCAGCTTCAGCTTCTGCTTCCTGAGCAGCTTCTTCTTCTGGGAGATGAGGCGGTCAACATCCACCCCACACTAGAGACGAATGTCAGGGTAGGAGCTGTGGGTATTTGGGGAGGCGAGGGACCTTCTGACACTGACCCTGGGGACCCCCGGCCTCACCTTCTGCTTTAGGGTGTCACTGTAGAGCTCAGCATTGGCGAAGTACATGGTGGCCGAGGAGCGGAAGACCTTCACACCTGGGACCTCCCTGGCCTGGGAATGGGTCACGGTGGGGGCGGCATCGTGTTCTCCTGTCTTTCCTCCCTTGTGCCCAGTGTCTGCCCCCCGGCACTCGGCTCCCCAGCCCGCAGGGGCCCAGCCTGCGGCATGGGTCATCTGGACTCATCCTGCTCCCACTCTGCCCAGGCCCTCATCTGCCCGACGGGCTTCCTCCAGCACATCTGCAGCCCTCCACCCCGTCTCCCCTGCCCTCCTGCTACTACCCAGGCAAGGTGTCAGTGGCACTCAGGCCTCCTCCTGGGCGTGCAAAGACTTCCCTCAGCTGCCAGCCCACCCAAACCTTCCCCAGCTCACTCCCCACTCGGGGCTCAGCAGAGGTCTCTGCTTAGGGCTCAGGCCTGCACTTTGTGCCCCACCCCCATCCCTCCCTTTCCACCCAGCTGAGCTGCTCATCCTCCCATCGCATCCTCCCCTCACTCTGCCTGATCATATTGTGCTCGGCCTTCAAGGCTCCATGTCAGGGGGAATGGGCTTGTTTTATTCCAGAGCCCCCATCTCTGTTCTCAGCACTTGTCATGGGACTTCTCAGGAGATCAATGAATGACAGATTTAATGACTCCATCAGATTAAAAAAAAAAAGCTTTTCTAACACCCTGGTGCCCCAGGATCCTGCCCCTCACACATTCCCCACCCGGGAGCGCTCTGCAGCATAGGACTTGCACTGCTGGCTCTGCGAGATGCCTCCCCAGGTCACCAGGTTCATCTCTGTCCACTCGTCCTCTGGCCCATCCTAGCACCTCATAATCTGAGTGGGCGTCATAGATCCAATTTCCTCCCTTGAAATTCCAAAGACTGGAGTGTCCCTGTTAGGCATGGAAGGGACCAACAAAGGCCCATTGTGCCCCTGTCCTGCCCCATCCGTGCCTCTTCCTGCTCAGCCCCTGCTGCTCACCTCCAAGTACTCTGCCACGTCTCTGTAAACATCTGTGTCTGGAACCTGCCCCAGGACAGAATAGTGGGGCCTGTGGAGAGACTGAGAGTGAGTGGGAGGAATGCACATGAGGAGGGGCAGTGAGAAGGAACCAGGAGCCTGGCGTCACCCCCAGATGTGGGAAAACTGGGGGGAGCCAGTGTGGACCTCACCCCTCACCAGCTGGAATTGCGAGGAGGGGAGCCGTGAGGGGAGACTCACAGCTGCGTGCGGACCACCACGAGCAGCAGGGAGAAGGCTACTGCCACAGCCAGGCCCAGGTCCAGGTTCAGCAGGGTGGTGGCCACGAAGGTCACCAGCCAGATGAGCTAAAAACAGAAGGGCAGTGGTCAATGGGGCCTAGTAAAGCCCCTGAGGCTGGAGACCCCCCACCCCGGCCCCTAGGCTCCCAGGCCTCTCACTAGATCCACGCGGTTTGCCTTCCAGAAGGAGCGGATGTCCCCAAACTGCATCAGCATGCCCTTCAGGTTCACAATGACGACGGCCGCCAGGACTGCCTGCAGCGGCAGGAGGGTCACAGGGCTGCTGAGGGGTCCCAGATGCTGACACCCTGATGCCTCCCAGGCATGAGCCAGACTGACCCCAAGCACTTGGGCATACTAACCACGAACAGACGCTAACTACCACTCACCCTCTGAACTTGACAACTTGGATCTGACTCTGAAAAGTTCTAACCCTTGACCCTTGATTCCAAATCTCACCCCCAAAGATCTCAACCTTGAAAAACAGCACATGACCTTGTATCCCTGCCCCTGACATGTCCCCTGACAGGCTGATCTGAGCCCCTGGCTTGGCCAAGGCCCTCAAGCCTGTCTGGGGTGGGGTGGGGTGGGGTGGGGTGGGGGCAGGGGCTGGCTCACCTTGGGCAGGTCTTGGAATAATTCCCCAAGTTTGACAATGATAATGAGGATGAAGAGGGAGGCGATAGCTCCAGCCACCTGCAGGGTAGGAGTGGGACGGGGAGTGGGGAGATGGGGGCACAGCCACCTGTGTGTGCAGAGGCCCAGGCCCGCCCACACCAGAAGCCCACCTGTGTGTTGCCCCCGGTGCTCTCCTGGACCAGGCTCCGAGACATGGAGCAGCTCACGGGGAAGCACTGGAAGATGCCCCCGATGAGGTTACAGAGGCCTAGGGCCACCAGCTCCTGATAGGGGAGCACAGCTGTGAGGAGACGTCCCTAGCAGTGCCCGGTCACTGTGCCCCTCTGTCTCGGCCTGCACGCCCCCAACCTCCACCCCTCCTCAGTCGCCTCAAAGACAACCTGTCCCAAGCGTCTTGCTGCGCTCCCACCCTCAGTCCCCACACGGTCCCAGCACACCTGTTTGCTGCCCCCATGTCCCCCTGGTGTGCCTCCCTCCCAGGCCCTGAGGTCGCCTGTGCACCAGGCTGCCCCCACACACCGACGTCCCATCCCCCAGACCTGGTTGCCGTCCACCCGGTAGCCATGCCTCAGTGCGAAGATTTTCCCCAGCGAGATGGCAATGGCGAACCCAACCACGGCGATGGCGAAGGCGTTTCCCACCAGCTTGGTGAACAGCTGGGGGCTGGGGGCCACTGGCAATATCAGCCTGTGAGGGGCATCTGTGAGGCCAAAGGAAGGTGCCGGCCCTAGCTGCCCAACCTTCCCTGACATCCACGGGCTGGAGCTCACCCTGTAGGGATGTTGCCCACGATATCCACCCCGAATCTCTGCTTCAGGCCCACGCCGTAGGAGATGCCCGTGGCCCCGATGAGCTGCAGGGAGAGGCAAGAGTAGGGGGAGGGAGGAAGATGCCGACCGGGGGCTTTCTGCCCGGTGTCCTCACCCCCGGGGACTCTCACCCGTGCCCAGCTGGCCCTGCAGTGCCCAGGGGATGCCCACAGGGGCAGAGCTACAGTTGCCCCTGCCCCCTGCCCCCTAGAATGCGAACCGTGAGCAGTTCTCCAGGGAGCGGCAGGGGCAGATGTCGCCGCAGCTTGTCATTCAACAGCTTCACCGCCAAGAGCACCACTCCTGCCACAACTGCGGTGACCACAGTGCCAACCACGCTCTGGGGCAGCTTCCAGCAGACCTCCAGCACTGTCTGAGGACAGGGGTCACAGCCAGCACTCCAGGTCATGGTGCCCACCCCCCATCCCTTCTCCCGTCCTCACTCACATAGACGAGGGACAGTGGTCCAGAGAAACTGCTCAGCTGGAGGCCAAACACATACTTGAGCTGCGAGACGAAGACCTGCACGGACGCGGCGGTGGTATAGCCTCGGACCAGAGGCTCTGACAGGTAGGTGACGACAAAGCCGAAGTGGACCAGGCCCAGCCCCACCTGTGGGTTGGCCAGGGGCAGTCAGGGGAGACAGGGGGCCCAGGGGTGGCTGAACCAGAGCCCAGGGCAAGAGGGACCAGAGGCGGGCGTGATGAGGAGGACGGTCATGGTCAGATACTAAGGAGGTGGGAGCGGGTTTGGTGGTAGGTGGGCACCGGGGGGCGGGGGGCACACGTTCCGGGCTGCTCCATACCTGAAACAGGCCGACCAGAACACTGAGCGTGGAGGCCAGCTGCACGCGGGCGGCATCTCTGGCCGTCTCATTGACTGTGGAGTTCGGGGCCTGCAAAAAGGCCTCATTCGGGGCCAGGGATTCTGTCACACTGCCCACCATCACAGACATGACAGCAAAGGTGCCTGTAGGGACAGGGCAGGTCTGAAGGGGAGAGGACACTGTCCTACCCTGGAGCCCCAGTCATAAGGGATAGAGCCCAGGAGACCTCAGTTCTGGACAAATATCCCCAGACTGTGCTATGCAGTAGAAGCAGTGCCAGTGGTCATGGGGGAAACCTGGGCTCAAGGGCTCCTGGGGCAGCTAGCAATGTAGGCCCTGTATCACCTGCCCCGCCCTACCTATGTGCATTGGCTCAGGGCCACTGCCCTCACAAAAGGTGGAACTGAGAAGGAGCCACAGCCTAGCTCAAGCTGTCAGGCCCATGCCAAGTTCTGGGCCCCTCACTTTGCTTCGCCCACCCACGTCCTCCTGTGGCCAGGGCCTCTAGGTCCCTGAGTCTGTGGCCCCTTGCTCAGAGGCCTAGTGCAGCCTGGGAAGGACCCATGGAGGAGTCTCCCAGTGCCCTGCACCAGTGCTCCCCTCTTTCCTAGGTTCCCTTGCCCTGCTCAGTCCACCCTCACCCTGTCCTCCATGGGAGATGTGGGTATCCTGCCAGGCTGGGTCTGGCTCCACTCACCCACGGAGATGTGCCGGGAAGTGCCAAACAGGAAGTAGACAAAGACAGGGTAGAAGGAGCTATAGAGGCCAAACACAGGGGGCAGTCCAGCCAGGAGAGCGTAGGCCAGGCCTGGAGGAAGAATGGCAGCAATATGGGCTTGGAGGCTGGCCCTTGAAAGGATGAGGAAATCCCAGCACCAGCTCAGGGACCATGGTTCTGGGGGACAGGGGTCATAGATTCAGGGTTCTCTTGAGGGAGATCTCAAGGCCAAGGTCACTACCCAAAGGCTGAAGGCACGGCATCTGGGTGAAGGCACTCACCCTGTGGGAGCTGCATAATGGCCACACTCAGGCCAGACAACACGTCCCCCAGAAGCCAGTCACGCACGGGGTACCGGGGTAGCCAGGCCAAAACCGGGAGGTGTCTGAGCAGCAGGGCTCGGGCCCGAGCACGGGAGCACCTGGGCACACGAGGGTCAATATCAAGGACAGGGGCTGCCTAAGTCCTGCCAGGGTCCCACCAGCCCCCCACCCTTAGCCTTACTGTAACCAGGTTCGCCACTGGAGGGTCCCAGGAGCCGGGCCCCAATGCCCCAGAGCCTCTAGCTGTTCCTGGTTCAATGGTGGCCGCTCCATGTGGTAGTCTGGCCTCTTCAGCTCCATGGTTTCTCTTGAGGCCAGTAGCACCTGTGTGTCCCTCGGTCTGGGGTGGCGAGACCAGAGACACAATGAGGGCACCCATGGCCCAACCTCCCCCGCACCTCCACATCGGACAGAGAGTCACCCACCTGAATTTTCTAGACCCCAAGATCTAGGTAGGTCCAGACTCCAGCTGGCCCTGTGCCCAGGTAGGGGTAGTACCTGAACTTTGGCTAGTGGAAACCTCTCGCTGGGCCAAAGTCCCAACCAAGAGACCGCAGGGTGAATACAGTCCACACTGCCAGCCCTCCGTATCTGCTCAGCCCCGCGTGTTCTACCAGTCCAGCTCAGCCCGACTGCCCCTCCGGCCTCCTTCCCTGAGCCCCGTGGTCTCCCCAGCCAATCTCTGTTCAGGCTGAGTCCTTTAACAGCTGCCCTATGAGCCCAGTGCTGGCTGACAGGTAAGGAAGGACCCAGCAAACCAGCAGTCCAGTTCTCCAGGCACACCCCTCTTCAGATGAGCCCCTCCCCTCCAAGGGAAGGAAGGTACTGGGGCTAAGATTGCCCCTGCGTCTCCAGCCCCAGGGTCCAGGTTGTAGACAAGCTCAGCCCAATTTGGGAAAGCCAGGGAAGGCTCTCAACCTGGAGAGAAAGGGGTCTCACCTAGAGAGAGAGGCTTCCATCTGGAAAGGGAAGCTCCCACCTGACAGGAAAGTTTTCACTGCCAGGTAAGTTCTGTCCCCAGGGAGACTCTCTGGTCCGCCCAGAGGCTCCCACCTGAAGCGTCAGGTGATCTCGCTTGGGAATAGAAGATCTGGGTGAAGCTCTCACCTGGGAAGAAGCTGTCCCAGTAACTACGAGAGAGAGCTAGCTACATGCGGCCAGACACTTTCACCAACCGAGGAAGTTTTCACCTGCCAGGAAAGTTCTGGTCTAGAGGGTACTATCCCACCTAAGGGAAGCTCTCATCTGGAAGAAGTTCCCACCTGGGATCTCACAGGGGGCACCTTACCTGGAGGAAAGCGCCCCCCACCCCCTCGATGAGAAAGCTCTCACCCGTCTGGAAAGTTCCCATATATAGCAGGAGGATCCCACCCAAGGAGCAGGAACTCACCTGGGTAAGGCCTCTACACTGGGTGTCCCGATGGGAGGCGAGTGGAGTGGTGCAAAGATCCACACGGACTTGGCACCTCGGTCTCGCTGATAACTGAGTCCCTCACCCCTCCTCCTGGGTGGAGTGGTTCAGGTCTTCCCCACCTTAGCCAGACTCGTGCTTGCGGGGCGGGACTAAGAGCCTCGGCCCCTCCCTCTGGGAGAGCAATGTGGCCAGAATACCAGCGCTCATTCCCGGACCAGTAAGTAGTACAGCTGGGTGGACTCAAGCCCTCGCTACCGTCTCCCTTGCAGCGACCTCCGGCACCAACGCGCCCCACCGACGCACCTCCAAAGGCCGAGGCTCCTCCGCCCTTAGCCGCCTCCCTGCTGCCCCTAGCTAGCCGCCAAGCAGCTTTTGAGCTGCTTTCCGCACAGCGCTCAGGGGCTGGGGTCGCGCCGGCTCCGGCCATCCTCCTTCCCCTCGCCGCGGTTGGGCAGTCGCCAGCAGAAAGTGAGCAAAGCAGTAAACCGAAGCGATCCAGGCGGGGAAATGGCTGCTCCAGACCTAGCGGTACTCTTTCCGAGCTAACCCAAGCCGGGCGCCTGCGCGAGGGCCGTGCCCCGAGGCCTCCGGGATCCCGGGCCGCGCTGTGCACTCACCCCGACGCTTCTGACAGCCCCATGGCGGGCGCGCTGCCGAGGGGGCTAGCGGTTCTAACAGCTCCGGCCAGGGTCCGCTACGGGCCCGGAGGCGGGGCTGAGACTGAGGCCTGGTTTGCAGAGCTCACCCGAGGACCAATTCCCGAGCAGGACTGGGAAGACTTGGGCCAATCAACTTTCTCGGGCGGGGCCTCGGCTTTGGTCTCGGGGCGGGGCGTACCAAAAGGAGGAAGAAAATTTTCGATTTAACCCCTTCTTTCCCAGCTCTCCTGCCTGAGCTTGGTGAACCTGCAGAACTGGGACCCGCGGCCCCAGGTTTCTGAGTGGGATGGGTCTGATACCAGGTCCTGACTTCCTTGCAGAGGGTCCCCACGGGATGGGGAAGGGAAACCCCCAAGTAGGCAGGACGCCTGGGGATGCATGCGGCTAGTGACCAGAGCCTTAGCCCTCGGTGTGGGGTATCTGGGTCCGTGGGGCATCTCTTTGAGGAAGCCACCCTTAGGCTTCTCCCCTGAGACTGATCATGTCTCTGAGACAGTAGATGCCCAAAGCTCCCTTCAACTCTGGACACCCAGACCTGAAATGAGGCTGAGATTCTACTCCCCGCAAGTAGCACTGCAGGGACCACTTGCCGGAGGTTTCTTCTTGAGGAACGCAGATGTCCCGAGCGACTCTAAATCTGAGAGGCTGGTGACTCGGGGTCAGGGTGGTCAACGGGCTGAAGGGTTAGCAAGGACAGTTCCTAGAATTAGTCTGACCCCTGGCCAGGGCAAATGCCAGGTTAAGGCTGCAGCCTGTAAGAAGTAGGAAGTCATGGCACTGCTGCTTTTGTCACTGGGGAGACCCGCCTTAGGGGGCTCCGCCTCCTCCGTTCTTGTCATAACTCACAAGAGATGATTGCAGTTGAGAAACAACACATACAGTGGAAATGAGATCGCAAGTTTATTTATGAAATACACTTGGGCACGAAGTTGCAAGCAGGCACCCAGCTAGTCTGGGTGTGCAGTCCGATGGGATTTTAAGGGTTTTATGCTGGTAGCCAACTTCTAGGTTCCCCCTCTTTCTCCCTTCTCTAGATCTTGGGGTTAATGTACAGTTTCAAAGGCTTTCTTTCCCAGCTTGTGAAACGATACACACAGAATTTCAAGGGCTCCTCTCCTCCTGCGCTATGGCAGTTTTTCTTGTGATTTTCATAGAGCCTGGCAAGTCTTATCTGACCAGGCTCAGGACTGCTGAGTGCAGTAGTGAGCCCTGCCTCCCTCCTCCTCTCTGCCTGGGTTCGCTATCTATCCTAACACCTTGATGAAGGAGGGGTTTTCTCTCAGGACCTTACTCCCAGCACCGGCGCTTGTACTTCAAGCCCCAATCACAAGGTGAAAGGCCAGAACTGAGGGTAAAAGGGATGGGAACCTGGTCCAAACCTCCTCTGAAATGGGCTAAAAATAGCTGAACATTCTTAGGAGGAGGCAGTGCTCAGGTTTCTCCCAAAGGTCAGCCTGGCTTGAATCATTCACAGCCACCCTCCTCCTGCACCCAACGAAAAGAGGCAATAACCATTTTCTATAGAAGTTTATTCCCAAAACAGAGCGCGGCTTCACGGAACAATTTACACAGACAGGAAATCGGGCCACAGGGCTGAAGGGGCGACCCTGGACAGGGGCATCTAGAGAACCTAGGACATAGCAAGGACAACCCCCCCCTCCCCACAAGGGCCCCCAGAACCCCTTCCAGGGTGGGCGTCATTCTGGTTAAGGAGAGCTGGGGTCCTGGCTGGCAGGATTTGGCACCGGTCAGTAAAGTAGGAATTGTAATCTCCTTGAAAATTGCCTCCTAAGACTATGCATGAGGGAGGGGTGGTCTACACAGACCCCCTCCCCCTACACACAACCCTACACACCACTTTTCCCAGTGGTAGGAGGGCACCTACTCATGAGCTTCTTCTGGGCCTGCTGTTCAGCAGGGAGCTCAGGGATGACCTCTGGCCTGGGAGAACTAGGGGTTAGAAGCCCCTCCAGGTGGCCAGGCCGGGGTCCTCATAGGTGGGATCCTTTGGCCCCTCTCCCACTTATTCTACCTTCCTCTTGTAAACAAAGGGGTGGAAAACATTCTCAACTGTAAACAAAGTGTAAAAATTCAAATGTTTAAGTTGTAAACAAAGTTTTTAAATGGTTTAAATCTTGACCTGTAAACAAAGTAACAAAATGTAAAAGTCCCCAGTTCTGGACATCAGACAAAGTAATAAAAACTAGAGTTTTGTGAACAGGGTCCTAACAGTCATTCTTCCCTTTAGGAGGGAGCCACGGAGGGGCGGAACTGAGTCACTTTGGGCAGTGGCAGCCCAGGGGCCTGGGGCCAGGGAGGTTCCTGTAAACATTCTGTGCCTTCCATTCCCCATCCCTGCCCTCCCCTCTCCCTCCTACCCCACCCTTTAGAGTAAATTCTACCTGGGGGCAGCGTTAGGGAATTACATGGCACCACAGACAACTTCTGCTCACAGCAGGGGCTGAAGAAAGACCCCTGAGTCCACCCTCTGCAGGAAAGTCTGATTCGAGGCCTGAACCCCTCCCCGTGGGAGAAAGGAAGCCTTGCTCTGTAAACACGACAGCTGCTGCTCCACCAGGGTGGACAGCATCAGTCCTAGGTCATAAGGCAGTAAGTGGCAGGGACTCCACGTAATAAACATCCACATCCACGGGGAGCGGGGGGACGCTGAGTGACCCCCAGTGAGGAGGTCAGAGGACCCTTGTTTCCAAGACCAAGCGCCAGTCTCAGAAGTTTGGCCCTCGGGGCATCCAAGAAAAAGCAAAAGTCAATTCTGCACTTTGGGCCCTGACAATATTCAGGTCAACCTGGGGTCCCAGGAAGCATTTGCCTGAATCTACCCCAGTAAGAGGAGAAAAAAGCACGTGGTTTGCCAGGAGCCCAGATGGGGCCAAATTCTGCACCTCTTTCCCTCTGCCCCCCTCCCCCTCCCAGCCCAGCCTCAGAACCCCAGGCAATGGAAAAGCTGAAAAATAACATAAGCATATCTCTCTGGTTACAAAGGTACAAAAGGTATAAAAGCCCTCCCTTCAGTCCCAGGCCCTGCACACCTGTTACACACACGTTCACACGCTCACGGGCGAGCGTGGAAGCTCAGCAGTGAGTGCGGCCACAGGGAAAGCTGGGCGCCGCCTTGGGATCAGCCCCGGACTCCTGGAGGCCTCTGTTAGCCCACATCCTCCAAAGCCCTCAGCTGCTCCTTGGCGGTCCTGTCTGTCCGACCGTCTGCCCCTCAGGAGTGGCCCTCACTTCTGGGAACTCTGCAGGGTGGAATGAGGAGGTCAAAGCTGGTTGCTGAGGGGACGGTGAGTCAGGTGACTCTGGACTCCCGCCACCAGACTGGACCTGACCACCACCCCTCACCTCCCCCATCACCTTTGCCTCTCAGTCCCTGGCCCCTTCATGCCAGTTCTGGGGTTCTCCAATCCCTTCAACCCATCCTGGGCCCCCAGGCCCACCAGCAACGGTCCTCGGCTGGCCAATTCTGTCTTTTCCCTACGCACTAAGCAAGCACCTACTGTGTACAGATATCACGTTAAGCACTTGATAGATTTTTATCTCAAAAATCTTCACATCTTGCCCTGGCTGGTGTGGCTCAGTGGGCTGAGTACCAGCCTGCGAACCAAGGGGTCACCAGTTCGATTCCCAGTCAGGACACGTGCCTGGGTTGCAGGCCAGGTCCCTAGTGGGGGGCGCACGTGAGAGGCAACCACACATTGATGTTTCTGTCCCTCTCTAGCTTCCTCCCTTCCCCCTCTCTAAAAACAAATAAATAAAATCTTTTAAAAAATCTGAAGGAAAAAAAAAACCCTCCACACCTCAGAGTTTGTTATGCAGACACACTTTGCAGATAAGAAAACTGAGGCTCAGAGCTGTTGAGGGCGCTCCAAAGCCTGAAATCCTGCTCAGTGCCCAGCTCTGCAGGGTCCCCGGTGGTGCTCACGGCTCCCTCCCCCACAGCCTCCCAGAGCCCCTGGCACCAGGACCCCAAATCCCTTGCCCCGCTCTCCTTCCTTTGTTCTCCCCTAATTCTGCTCAGATTCTGTTGCTCTCCTGTCCCACTACCGGGGTCCCCTTCCCTGCAAAGCCCCCTCACCCTACAGACCTCCACAGAGCCTGACCCAGCTGTTCCTCCTCCTTAAAATTCAACTCTCCTTCTGGTTTCCTCAGACCTGGCAACTCCCGGTTCCTCCCCCCCTCCCCTTCCCCCTCCCTGAGGTGGGCTCCTGTGTATGCGGCTGCTTCTCATCCATCCGGCGTGTCTGCCATCCCTGCCCCGCAGATACCCCAGGGCCCACCTCAATCCCCATATGCCCAGGCCCACAGTGCCCACAGGCAGGAAGAGGTTAATATTGACTGAATAAATAAATAAATGGATGCATGCTGTGCTGTCGAAGTCAGCTCTTCAGCCTGGCACCCGAGTCCTGGCACTACTTCTGACTCGCCCTTGCCCCACACATACCCCTGCTGCACGGCCTCCTGAGCAGACTCTGCCTCTCCTCCCTGCCCCTCCCACACCTCAGCCTTGGCTCCTGCCCTCACCTGGCCACTAGCTCAAGCCCTTTGCAAGGCATGGCCCCTAACTTTCTCCTGTAGCCCAGGGGGGCGCAGGAGAGGGTGGCTGACCCAACAGCACAGCCAGCGAGCTCCTATTAATCGCAGTTCCACTCCCTGCCAGATTTCTGCCCTAAGCCTGCGGCCCCTGGCTGTGCTGAGCCGGGGGAGCCCATGCCGTCTGCCAACCCGCCCCCCCATTCTGTGGCAGAACCCAGGGCAGAGTTGCACAGGAGGCTGCCCCGAGCCGACGAGGCTGTGAGCTGGACCCTGCTTACTCTGAGTCTGGCGACAGCTCCGAGACACTGTGGGACGTGGCAGAGCGTGGTGTGGAGGGCCCGAGCGCAGAGGCGGTGGCGGAAGGCGTGGCAGTGGTATGGGGGCCCGAGGGCGTGCTCGACGACGGCACAGAGGAGGACAGAGCCGAGGAGTTGAAGGAGGCGAGGATAGAGGAGAGGATGTCCAGCTGTTCTGTGGAGGGGCCGTGGCTGGGGGCGCTCCCCGGGTCCTCTGGAACTCTGAGCAGCGGTGGGGGTGGCCCCAGGCCTTCTCGGGAGGGGTGCCGGCTAGGCACCTGGTCCAGCGGCTCCCCTGAGTTCGATCTCCTGGACAGAGAGTCCAGGGGCCGGGATGGCAGGAGGGGGTCCCTTGAGAGTTGCCGCTGGGGAGACAGGGGCAGAGGTGGGGGCTGTGGGTCAAGGTCCCGGGCACTGTGGGGCGGAGGGAGTGTGCTCAACCACTCGCAGGGTGCCCCTAGGTCCAGCGCATCCCGTGACCTGAAGCGGCTGGCCATGGCACGAGGGTGGTCCCTGGGCGGCTGTCTCCGCGGTAGGGTGCTGCCCCGGTCCCTGGGCTCCAGGCGGCCTGGCACAGCATCCAAGCGTTCCTGGGAACCTGGCCGACTCAGGGGGCGCGCAGCAGGGGCAGGCACCTCCTCCAGTCGCTCACGACTCAGCTGCCGCCGCAGAAGCATGTCCAGCTGTTCACGGGAGGAGTAGCGGCTGGCTGGCTGTGAGAGGCTACCTGTGCCCCCTCCAGCATAGATGCGACCATAGGAGGCAGCTGGCACGGCCCGGTGACCCAAGGTGGCTGCACGGCACCAGGACAACTCAGGACCACCTCGGGTCTGTGGCACCAGTGGGCACTGCAATCGGTTCTTCAGGATGCCTGTCGGGGACAAACAGGGGACAGGGTGTGCGTATGGGTGGGCGGGAACGCCCTGGACCTGGGAACACGGCAGCCTTGGGGATCTCTGTGACATGGGTTGGGGACAGACACCCCTTGGAGAGGGACAGAGTCAACTCCTGGCAATTCCAGAGAGGCAGCAGAACAGGGGGCAGAGTGGGGAGGCAGTGATCACCTGGGTCAGGACAGGACAGTCCCCATGTGCAGAGGTAGGGGCAAACTTCCCCACTACCAGGCTGGGGGCAGGAGACAGCCCCAGGTCCTGGTGCTGCAGACAGGGTCAAAGGGCAGAAAACCCCTAGGGACAGGGCAGGAGGAGCCCCTGGGGGTGCTGTGGGGCGGACCAGGGCGCAGGGCAGGCAGTGCCCCAGCCACCATGGGGCAGTCCCCAGGGACCGCGCTGCAGGGCAGAGGGGCAGAAGCCCCATGTCAGAGCTGGAGGCTCCCTGTGAAGCGGTTTGGGATCAGGAGGATGAAATAGCCCGAGTCAGGCCTGGCGGTCCCCGGGGTCCCCAAAGTTCAGTCCAAGGTCAGGGATCGTACCTTTCCTCTGGCGCTGGGCCCGGCCCAGAGAGGTCTCATCCCCGCTGGTCAGCGCCAGGTCTGGCTGGTTGTTGTTGGCCACATCCTTGCTGGTGTCCAGCCCCAGGCGCCTTTCGGAGCCCCAGGTCTGCAGAGCACAGGGAGCAGCCTCACATTCCCCCAGAGCTGGCCAGTAGGACAGGAGGTCATTGCCATCCACATCTGCAGAGCCAGAACGGGTTACAGGGGCCTCTGGGTTGACTCCTGACCCGTGACCAGATTCCATGACCCTTGACCCTAAGGAGCCCTGCAACCCTGTCCATTCCCACTGAGCACAGGAGGCCTCTCTCGGCAATTGAAAGAACCACCCAGGGAGGGGTCACTAACATGCCCTCACACTCAGCTGGGGGCATGGACAGAAACTGGAGAAGGGGACACCTGATGGCTGAGAGTGGAACCCCGTCAGGGAAGACCAAGGGCTGGAGGGGTGCATGTCACCCTCTAACGTCCCTGACATTGTTCTCCTGTCACCTGGGTCTCTGGCCAGCAGAACCCTGCTAGTGGGTTGGGGTGGAGGAGTGCAGGGGTCCAGTGATGACGCCAGGTGCCCAACAGGTTGGTCCCGAGAACCCCAAGGGGACAGTAGGTCCCTGGGTCACATTCAAGTAGAGTATGGGGTGTCTTGTGGTCACCCACGCAGCCAGAGGGCTCCATCACCTTTGGGCTGGGTGAGGAGCCTCTCACTTTGCGCCGCCCGGCAGAGTGGACGCTGGAAACGCCCCCGTGTCCGGCCATTGTCCTCGCTTTCTGAGGATGGGATGGACAGACTCCTCTCCTCCTCCAGGGACAAGTCACTGTCAGAGTCGGAGTCAGCACCTAGAGGCGGGAGGTCGGAAGGAGAAAGGCCCAGTGGCGAGCTGGGAAGGAGAGGGACTTGGGGGAATCTTGAGGGTGGCTACAGCAAGGAGGACAGGGCTGGGGCCCTGGGGACCTGGGAGAGCTTGGAGTGGACACAGCAACAGAAGAGCTGGGACTTGTCAGGAGAACCGGAGCTGGCTGGCTGGGGGCCTCCTGGGGCAGTGACCGGGGAAGCCTGGCCCACTGCAGCCAGCCGCTGCTCCCAACCTGGGGCAGAAGAAAAGGGCACCAGGGAGCGAGCCTTTGCCTCCCTCTTCCCTGGCCCAGGTCCCCACCTCCACCAGCGTCTCGGTGGAACATGGCCACGTCCAGGTCAGTGGGGCCAGTGTGAGCCTGGAGGCTGTGGTCAGTGTGGTCAGCAGCCGAGCCGTGTCGAACCAGGACGTTGTCCCTGGAAATGCAGAAGCCCCCCCATCAAAGAGGGATGCGATGGGGTGCTTTGAAGGCTGGGCGTCTGTGCGCGCTGTGGAATGGCTCTGGAGGCATTCCGGCGGCAGCAGGGCAGCGACAGAGGCACAGATGGCCAACGGGACCTGGTGGCACCCACCCTGGTAATGTGAGATGGGTCTGAGCTGGGCCCCCAGCACAAGGAGGCCCCTCCACTCACCTGAGGCAGCCGCGGCCCCGCTGGCTGTCTTGGTCCTGGGTCCGGCCAGACCGGGCACTGCTCACCGAGGAGACGGTGGAGGCGCCCAGAGTGATGCGGATGAGGCCACTCTCCTCGAAGAGCGCCGTGTTGTTGTAAGCCCCGGGACCCTGCAGGGTGGGGACGGGGTATGAGCCAGTCCTGGTGAGGCGTCAACACCCAGCCTCCTGGGGGTCCCAGCCTGACTCCCCAGCCCCGAGAGCCCCTCACCGTCGCAGGCGCCGGCCTGGCCTCCTCGGGCACTGCCTTCCCACCCAGGCAGGCCGGTGCCCAGGCTGCCCGAGCATCTGCATTGAGGACACAGAAGAGCAGCAGCACGGCCAGGCCCTGCAGGTCAGCGAGAGACAGATGAGGCAGAGTGGGGCCATCGGGAGTCAGTCAGGGACCCAGTAGGCAAGACAGAGAAGGTCAGCCAAGGCGGCGAGAGGTCCAAGCGGCCCACGTGACTGCAGTAAGCAAAGGTCAGTGGGGCCAGCAGGCGAGGGGTCAGAGGCCTCGGCGTCAGCACAGGGCAGTCTAGGACCAGCACCCAGCCTGGTGCCAACCAGGCAGCGGAGTCAGCCCCAGGCCTGGGCCAACACCCTGCCCAGCGTTGGAACCCCCACGGCTGAAGCTGCACCTGGTCTGGGGTGGCAGAGGGACAGCAGCATTACCTGGAGCCCACAGAGTCCAGCGTGGAGGTAGTGGAAGGCCAGGACGCTGTGGTTGACCGCCAGGAGGCCGAAGAGCCAGGAGGCGCTGACCAGCAGGAGGAGGAGAAAGGAGCTCCGAAGGGTCCTGCCGCGGCAACGAGGAAGGACACAGGAGGACACACAAGAGTCACACGGGGCTCACGCAGGACACACAGGAGGAAGCACAGGGGTCAGGCAGGGGGCACACAGAGGACACGGAAGGAAAGGAATTCACATAGGGACACAGAGGACTCAGGAGGACACTGGGGGATATGACAGGTCACAGAAAGAATGAGGTAAACAGAGAGCCATGAGGGAACAGGGGAAAAAACACACCAACGGGGGCAGGAGAGGAAACATGGAAGATGGGTGGGGACACACAGGTAGGGGCAAAGTGAGCCGCCCAGGCCAAGGGAGACTCTGGGGAGACAGCAGGGTCGAAGCGTGTGTGGGGCCAGAGCTTGTCGAGGGCACCAGAGAGGGACTGCAGGCCAGGGCAGGTGACCTCCTCCCCCTACCCAGAACCTGGAGCCTGGCCTGCGCCAGGAGTGTTCTGGGGACCCCAGACCCTACTCGGGAGGGGTAAGAATCCCCCCACGGTCCCCCAACAGCCAACTCACAACACAGAGGTCTTCTTGGCCTCCCTCTGCCCAGTGGAGCAGGACGTGCGGGCAGCGAGGAGAAACATGGTCCCATTCATCTGGACGCACAGCCGGACATGTGGGACAGAGCAAGGCAGGGATAGAGAGACGGTGAGACAGAGGCCAAGACTCACAGAGAGGCGGAGCCAGAGAAACACACTCGAAACACGCAGATTAGAGAGCGAGAGAGACAGAGAAGCTTAAACTCACAGGGGAAGTCAGAAGCGGGGCACTGGGAGGGCTGGAGGCAGGGACACAGGGAGGCAGAGGCAGAGAGGTGGCCGCCCCAAACCCCACGCCTCCATCTCTGTGCCCGCTGAGCAGGGGACGTCGGGGCCAAGACCAGGAAGCCTGCAGGCTGCCACCCAGAACCCCTCGCCTCACCCCACCACACCTGCTGCAGGGCTCGCTGCCCCCACCCGGGGAGCACACGGGTGGCCCCGAGTGCAGCGCACTCACCACAATGACAAGGACAACGGGGCCTGCGAAGCTCCAGACGAGGGGTTCGTGGACCGAAATCCAGCAGAAGTCGGGGTTCCCATAGCCCTCGGGATCCAGACCGACGGCAAGGCCTGGGGGGGACGCAGGGTGGAAGGGCCGTGTTCTAGAGCTGCTGAGCCTCTCGTGTGTGGGGAGAAGCCGGAATGGAGAGCAGAGCAGGCTCCTCCCAGAGCAGACAGCATGGGGGGCAGAGGCTGGGGTCGCGGTCAGGATTGGGGACAGGGGCGAGGGTCAGGCCATGTGATGGGCAGAGGTCAGGGGTCACAGCCTGGATGGGCCAGAGAGCAGGGCTCTCACCCAGCAGCACAGCAGGGACGCCCCAGCCCAGGGCGTGGTAGAAGCGCATGGCGCCACGGTCCACATTGCGCAGCTCAACCTGCATGCGGTAGAGGTGCAGCCCCTGCACGAGGAGCCACGCGAAGGTGCTGAGGAAGAAGTAGTGCAGGAGGATGGCGACGGCGGTGCACAGCAGCTGAAGGCAGGGGAGCGGTGTCAGGACGGCTCCCGCCTCGCCCGCCTCAGACCCGCCCAGGCCTCTGCGTCCCACCTCTAACTCCTGAACCACAGTCCCTTACCCAGTACCCTGTCCCATGCCCTGGCCACAGCTGAAGCATCCCTGACCTCTGACCCTGAGCTCTGGCCCTAGGCCTTTCTGGACCAGCTGAGGTCATCAGGACACAGGTCCCCTGACCCTGACCCTGCACCTGGCTTTGGGTCCTGTGGATCCCCAGCAGGAAGAGGAGCTCTGCCACCCCCAGGGCGGCTGCCACGTTGGCATGGATCCCACGCATGTTGGACTTCAGACTGCGTAGGCTCAGCAGGATGGCCGCAGTCAGCAGCAGCGCAGCTACAGATGTGGCCACGACCACATGGGTGAACACAGCCAGCAGCTCCAGGTCACCCTCTAGCCTCTGTGGGGACAGGGGTGGTTGCTGGGGGGTTGGGCACCCTTGCCCTTTGACCCTCTCACTCCCCAGGGACCCCGAGCACAGCCCTACCTCACGGGGGGAGGCATCCATGAGGATCCCAAAGGTGCCTGTCCGGCTACAACGACACCGTGCATGGGACCCGTTCCTGTGTACCAGCTCACAGTCCCGTGCTGTCCACATTCCGTGCCGCTCTGCCCTGTGGCCACAGGGCGGTCAGACCTACCGTCTATGCTGAGCAGTGCCCCAGCACCAGGTGGAGGTTTGTGACCCCCGGTGGGAAGGGCCGAGGGTGTCTGGCGGTGGGAAGCAGCCTTCCTCAGGGGGCTGGGTGCACAGGGGCATTCGTGGGGACCCCAGGGACAGGCTGGGCCTCCCAGGGACCAATAGGGGAACAAGAGTTTCCAGAGTAGAGGTCCTCACGGGCCAGGCGGGTCCCACTGCACGCAGATCGCCTTGCTGCGATTCGCCGTCTGTAGTAGGCGGAACTCGAGGCTGATCGGGGAGTCCAGGTCACCCCTCAGGAAGTTGCGTCCGTGGAACACAGCCACGCTGACCACCGGGGAGTTCATGACGGGGTTCTGGGGGAGCCTGAGGAGACACCCCACTTGGGCTTGAATACCCACTTGGGCCCAAGCTTCGACTGCCTACCTCGCTGACTTCGTGCCACTCCCCCGGTCTGGGATGCCCTGAGTGGGTGCCGTTTCTGAGAAGCCCTTCAGCCAATGCTGGGCTGCTTCAAGCCCAGGGGTCCATGGCCTAGCTGGGGTATCACAGTTCTGCAGAAATGGGAGGTTCTCTCCAGCAGAGGGGCTTCAGACCCACAGCCCACATGGGGGTAGGAGGTCCGAGCAGCTCCAGACTGTCGGCCTCAAACTGCCCTCCTTGCCACCCTTCCATCAGTCAGCCTGTCTTTGCCTGTCTCTGTGAGCCAGTGTGCCCGTCTGGACCTGGCTCCCTCCCCTCTTCTTACTGTGGCTCTGTGTCTGTCTACCACTCCACACACCTCTGCATTTTCCACGGAAACCAGCCAGCGTGGACAAGGCTTCCTGCAGCTGTGCATACAACCATCTGTGTGTGACTATGAACCTGCTCACTTGCCCACCGAAAGGGGGTACTAGGCTTAGTAAAAGCTTGCAGGAAGCTCAGGGTGAGGGGCCTGGGATGACTCTACCAGTGTACCTGGCGCCGCGGCGCTCAGCCTGGAACTGGGCCGGAAGCAGCCCCCCTAAGGTGCGGTAGACGAGGAGGATGATGATGGAGAGCCCAGGCTCGGGCTCGGGCTCCAGCGGGGCTGGTGGCGGGGCCACAGTGGAGACGGTGGAGTTTTCCATGCTGCTGCTGCCTGTGGGCGGAACTGCCAGAAGGGGAGGAGCCACTGTCAATGACCTGCAACTCTGGGCACCCATAAACCCAGCTCCGAACCCAACCCAGCATCCAGCATGGGAATTCCCTCCTTGCAGGTCCAGAACGGGGGGTGGGGGGGTAGGGGGGAGCTGGAGCCCATGAAGGGAGCGTGCACCCCAGGGCTAGATCCTGATTATCGGGCCTGGGAAGGGCATCTGAGGGAAGGCGGAGGGTCTGGCGAGGTGAGTGAGTGCTGGGGCCAGGTGTGGGGTGGAGGGCAGGCACGGGAGAGTCTCTCACAGGGGATCCAGCAAGGGGAGAACTGGCAGGAGGAAGAGATGATATCTGGCTTTGTGGGGGGTGTGCGGGAAACAGGACCTGGCCCAGGGGTCACCCAAGGCTCTCACCTTCGTGTGGGGCTGGTCGTGGGGCCTGGGAAGGCAGCAGCACGTGGGTATGAGGATCCCAGGCATCCTGGCCTCGGAAAAGGTTGCTGTGGTAACGGGGGTAGCGGCGGGTCCCCCGGGATGGACTGGGGTGCTCCATGCGGTCTATGCTGAGCACTGCCCAGGAGGAAGAGAAAGGAGACCATCAACGATCTTCTCCCCATGCTGAGGGTCCCACTCGCTCCTCCCCCACAACCCAGAACCTCCTCGCTACCAGCGCAGAGCTGGTCCCTGCAAATCACTGAGAGTGGAGGCCAGCCGCCAGCGCCTCAGACCTCCTGGTCCTCGCCCTTTCATGGCAACCCCCCCCCCCCCGGTCCACCCGCCACATACTGATGTTGGGCGTGACCAGCCCCACAGGATTCAGGTATGTGAGCTCCATGTTCCTGGCGAGTGTGGCCGCGTACTCCTCCAGATGCCGCACCAGCCCCGCACTGCCGGGGGCGTCCCCTGGGGCCCGCTGCCCCAGCGCTGCCCACAAGTCCCCGGTCTCTGGAGCCAGCAGTGCCGAGCCTGCCCACAGCAGATTCTGGGAGGAGGGGGAGGGAAGTACGCTCAGCCAGAAGTGAGGGGGCAGGGCAGACCTAAAGGGTCTGGCCAGGCGCTCAGAGGGACCCTGGCAGGCAGGGGGTGGTTCTGGGGAGGACCAGAGAAGAGGGAAAACCCAGGGCTTTCAGTTCCCAGGGGCCAGGAGGGGCCAAGGGAGCGAGGACACAGGGCACAGCCTTACCTCATTGAAGTGGGCATCCTGTGTGGCTGTCAGCCCAAAGCCCTGTTGGTGGCTCTCAAACACCAACAGGTGGGCCAGTAGGCGGGCAGTGACTCGAACGTCTTGGCTGAAGTAGTGGTCAGTGTGGCCGGTGACCTCCCGCAGCCTCTGAGCCAGCTTCTTGGCCTCCACAGTGTCCAATGCTGTCTTGTTCAGCTCTAGGCCATCCAACTGCCAGAACAAAGGTGGGGGTGGTCACTGTGGTCCCTGAGGCTTTTTAAAAGCCTCACAGGAAGGGTTTGGCCAGATTCAAGGGCAACCAGGAAATGCCCAGGTCAAGGGCTGGGGCATGACGGCTGGGGCCTACCACAGGCCTGGGGCAGTTGAGACCGGGGCTAAGGCCAGGGCCAGGCAGGTCTTGAGTGCAGGGCATGGTCTGGGCAGTCTCACCAGCAGGCTGAGCTCTCGAAAGGCAGGGGAGGTGCAGTTGAAGAGGTCAGGCTCCAGCCAACCCTGGTCTTCATCACACAGCCGCACGGCAGTACCTGGGGGCAGGCGAGCCTGGTCAGGCCTGGGGCCTGCATTCCTTCCTGAGAAGGTGACCACAGCACCTTCTCCCTTCCCAGGGGAAGCTCTGAATCAGAGACCAGAGTAGTAGGCATTGCTGGCTGGACCTCTGGGTGGGGCAAGCCCAGCCCCCAGGCCAGGCAGGGCCCACCTACTTGTCAGTCGACTCCTAAAAGGTCTGTGGACCATTCTGAACCACCAACTGTGAGGGTGAGCACAAGGGCAGGACTGTGCACAGATCCACACACATGTGTACACACACACAGGCCAAGAAAGGTTCACAGACATGTGGCCCGGGGCAAGCACGTACTTGAGCACGCACACACCCTAATGAGCCTATCTGCACACCCTCGGAAGCATGGAGCAGGGCAAGCCCACAGACACACAATGCCCCCTCTCTCTCTCACACACTCACACACACACACACACACACACACGCACGCACACACACGCACGCACTTGCCCACACAGGCCCGATTCTCCAGGAGTGCTCTGTTTCCACACAAATTTTAACTGCCCCAGTGATTACTTTGCTGCCATCTCTCCGCTGTCCATGGGAGTGGGACGGGAGTTGTATAAAAAATTGCCCTGAACCAGCACGGAGCTTGTAGCCATCAGCAAGATGGCTAACCGTAACATAGAATCCTCTCCCCCCAAGACAGACTCACAGACACGTGCACAGGCACAGAAAGACACGCACACGAGCATGCACACGCAGTCTCTGTCCAGCCACCGCAGGGACCTCAGGCAAAGGTGGGGGGTGTTCATCTCTCAAGAACTCAGGCAGCAGGGAGATACCTGTGGGGACCTCAGGAAGTGGTAAGGGGTTACCAGGGTGCTCAGGCAGTGGGGAGGGGTCTCTGAGGCCCTGGGGCATCAGAGAGGAGGCCCTGGGGTCTTCAGGCAGCAGGAGGTGGGCCTCTAGGGACTTCCAAGAAATCGGAAGTAGCTCTTAGAGACCTCGGGCAGTGGGGAGGGGTCTGCAGGGACGTCAGGCAGCAGGAGGGGTCTGCAAAAGCTCTGGCAGTGGGAGGGGGCAGCACACCTGAGCAAACACGTACCCCTTACCTGCACCCCGCAATCCTGCCCAGAAGCCGAGAGAAACAGACGGAGGCTCAGTGAGGTGCAGGGAGAGACCCAGAGCCCCTGGGAGGTAGTGAGGGGCCCACGTGGACCGCTACCCCATTCCCACCTCTTTGCAGGAACAAGCCACCCAGCTCAGGAAAAGAGGTGGCCCTAGCAGTCAAAGGAGAGGACCACCCTCACCCTCAGCGATATCCCTGCCCCCCAGATACTCACCCAGGGCCCCCCGAGGGCAGGGCATTGAGGCCAAAATGCCAAACTTGGTCTGGGGCCACCACACTCCAGATCTCAGGGACTTGGGGCAGGCATCATAGAGCACTAGGGAGAAAGGAGGCACTGAGCCAACCAGCCAGGGGCTGGGACAAGTGACAGCCACACCCACTGTCCCTCCACCATTCAACCCAGGCCCACCCCACCACCACTCCCCTGCTAGCCTCCTAGGACCTGGCCTGTCAGATTCAGGGACGGGTCATCAAAGTACTTGGGGCAAGTGTGGGGACCCCTGGGTGTCAGTGTCTCCTCAGAGAAGCCCCCCAGAGTCCCTACCCATGGAGCCAAGCATGCCACAATACTTGGTTGCAGGCAGGAAGCATTCCATATGTGGAGCTGGGTGGCGCCTGCTCACCTCGGCAGCCGCTGGCCGTCACCTCTGCAAAAGGACTGTCACAGCTGTTGCACTGGCGGCCAAGGGCCCCTGGGCGACAAGGGCACTGCCCACTGTGGGGGGCACAGGAACGGGAAGTGGAGCCCACAGGGTAGCAGTCACATGGGAGGCATGAGTCACTGCCACGTGGCCGGTAGTGGAACTCCTGTTTGAGAGCAGGTCAGTTACCTAAGGTCAGAGGTCAGAGCTGGGGGGGGGCGCGCGGGCAGGAGAAGAATGCAGAACAAAGAGTCAAGAGAACAAGGTGCACAGGCCAGAAGGAAGACTATGCCTCAAATGAAACTTAAGAGTGGGGTTAGATGTTAAGGACAAGGGATGGTCAGAGGCCAGGTAACGGGTCAGAGACTTAGTCAGGGGGCAGAGATCAGCAAGATGGACCGGAAGCACACATCACGGCTAGGGAAGAGTTAACGGGGGTGGGAGCCAGCCACACCTTGCAGTGACACTGCCCATTGGTCTTGTTGCAGTTGGGGTCAAAGCCCTTGTGAACGTCACAGTTGCAGGGGCCGCAGGTCGGGCTTCCCCACCAGCCTCGTGGGCATTGCTGGTCCATCCTGGGGATGGACAGCCAGGTGAGGTGTCTCCATGACATCTCAGAGACCCTCCTTACCCCACGCTAGGTCCTCCCAGCTTCTCAGCCCTCAGCCCTTTACCTGTGCTCACAGTGGTGCCCAAAATAGCCACCTGCACAGTCACAGGTATAGCCGTGGGGGGCTCCCGGGAGGTGTCGGCAGGACCCCTGGTTCTGGCAGGGGTTCAAGAGGCAGGCGTCCACACAGCCTGGGCCATAGTAACCTGTAGGCGGGGTTAGAGCTCAGGCCCCCACCCTTCCCAGATCCTCCCCCTCCAAGCTCACCAGGTCCCTCAGCCTTCACCAGAAGCCCTGCGTTCCCACCGGGATCACACACACCCCCAGGTCCCACCTGGCCAGCATTTGCAGGAAAAGGTCTGCCAGAGGTCTCGGCAGTCGGCGTGGGGTGGGCAGGGCCCAGATGCACAGGAGTTATTCACGACACAGCCAGGTTCCACGTTCACTCGCTGGCTGGGTGGATGCAGGGCTGGGGACCCCGAAGGCGTGGAGCCGAGCCATACACCCTGTGAGCCCAGCCAGCCAGAGGTGAGACCCATGTCAAAGCACCTCAGGCCCAAGTTCCGCAGAGCCAGCCACCTGGTCTGATGACTCTTGACATGCAGCCTCCCTAAGAACCCCAGACCCTGACCTCCAAATCCCCAATTCAGCCCCCGCCATGGACCCCTAATGGTGCTGCCCTTGACACACACCTCTGAGGACCCTTGATAATCTGAGCTAGACTCTGACCTCCAACAGCACAGAAAGACTTATCTGTCTCCGACGGTTGAGGGCACCCCCACCCCCGCACTGCTCCTCATGTGGACGCAGCTTTTTCAGGTCCCAAGGCCCCCTGATCTCTGCCCACTCACCCTAATGTCCCACATCATGTTCCCATGTGGACCCCCACCTGGATACAGCCAACCAGACCCCGAGGAACCTCCTCTTCACTGCCGGGGGGCGGGCCTCCCACATAGAGTCGCTTTACTTTCAGGCCCTGCAGCTCACTCCCCACGGCCACGGTGTCCTGGAGGAGGGGTACAGTCAGCACTGGGGGGGGGGGAGACCTGCCCTACCCCTGAGTCAGTCTGGGCCTGTCCTAGCCCTGCACAACCACACTTTGTCCCTCTGCACCAGGGACGTGGTCTGGTCTGCTCCCGAGCACGGAGGACTTGCTGGAGCACGGGAGGTGGATGTCAGGAAGGTTCCAGTGGAGAGACGGGCTCAGACAGGCCCCTTTCTCTGGGATCCAGAACAAACCCTGAAATCCTATGCTGTGAGCGGGGAGATCGGGGCAGAGACCAGAAAGGGTTTCTAGGAGTTAGGCCAAGTGCTGGCTACCCCAAGACCAAGCCAGAAATCTGGGTAGCCTCCCTGACATGAGGAAGGCCTGGCAGTGGACCCGCCTGGCTGGCCAGTGGTAGGGCGGGCTCAGAGCAGGGTACGAGGACGCGGGCAGACTGCGAGAAAAACGTCAGTCTGTGTGCAGGGGATGGCGCTGAGAGGACCTGGGCTGGTTGGTGGACTGACTGGAAGACTAAGGGATTACCCCAGGGTCAGAGGTCAGACCTGGAAGAGGCTAAAGTCCAGTGAGACCATGAGAACATGGTGGCCCCGCCGGCCACCTGGCTCCTCCTGCAACTCCAGCCGCAGATCGTGCCACCGGCCGTCACTGACAGTCACCTGGTCCAGGAGGAGGTGGGCAGCACGGCCTGAGCTCCTGGTCACCGTCACGGACAGCAACCCCCGATCCAGCTGTGGGTAGAGAGACACAGACCTGGGGTCAGAGCCCCAAATTGGGCTGGGGCTGGGAATGTCAGGAGGTGAGATCAGTGGGCTCACAGGTCAAGAATATCAAAGAGTAGCCCTGGCTGGTGTGGCTCAGTGCACTGAGTGTCAGCCTGTGAACCAATGGGTCTCCAGTTTGATTCTCAGAGCACATGCCTGGGTTGCAGGCAGGTCCCCAGTTGGGAGTGCATGAAAAGCAACCATATCCGGTTTCTCTCCCTCCCTTCTCCTCTATCTAAAAATAAAGAAATAAAATCTTAAAAAAAAAAAAAAGGAATACCAAAGAGTAGGAACACAGCAGCAAGGCTGTATCTGGCACATATGGCACCGTGCCCAGGGACACTGCCCAGGGACACCATGCTGCTGAAAGAGGATGAGGGGCGGAGGTCAGGGCAGGAGACTGCGGAGTGGTGCAGCTAGCGCAAGAGCTGTGCTGACGTCCTGCACCCACAGCGGGGTATCATGGTGGGAAGGAGAGTCAAAGGCCAGAGCCCAGTACAGAGCCGGCAGGGTCGGCACACCCGGCAGAGACCAGTGCCATCCGACCAGGCCCCTTCCCCACAGGAGGGCTGCTGGCGGCATCAGTGACCGAGAGCTGAAGGTCGAGAGACAGGTGGGGAGGACAAGACACACCTGACAGAGGAGCGTGCTGTGCGGCCCAGCCTGTACTTGCATCAGGACCCCCTGTGTGGCCCGTGTCCGAAATGCCAGCCCCAGGTACCATGGCACAGACACAGCCAGGTCATTTCCAAAGTCCCATCTCAATGTGCCGTTGCCACGGAAATGGTGGGGATGAGCCAGGGCTGAGGAGATAAAAGGAACGTGGTCACAGGCCCCACCTGAACAGGAGAAGTTACCCTGCAGGCCCCTCCTGCCCAACGCTGCCAACTCACTGAGCCGACAGTCTTTGCCACCAAAGCCCACAGGACAGTCGCAGCTGAAGCCACCCCACCGTTCTGAGCAGATGCCATTGTTCTTGCACGGGTTTGAGTCGCAAAAGTGGAGCTTGGCCTGGCAGCCTGGGAAAGGAATGCATGTGAAGGACATGAGACATGAGGGGGCACAAGTGCTAGACAGACATAGGGGGTCCACGTGGCCCTCCACCTCCTCCCTATGATGGGGACATGGCCTACCTGCCATGGTGCCGTTGTTTGCAACGAAGGCCGCCATGTCCACTTGGCGGCCATCAATGTGCAGGTCCCGCATGCAGCCAATGAAGTCCTTGTGGGACACGGGGAAGTTCTCGGGGAGGTTGGGAACACCCCCCAGGAGCAGAGGGCCCGTGAGGTCCAGGGACCTGGGAGTCAGGGGCCCACGTCATTGGCAGGACTGGAGCCAGGGCAGGGTTGCTCCTGGGAGCCACAGGAAGTGGAGGGGGTAGGACTCGGAGGGTTAGGTGATGGAGGAGGGAGGGTAAGGCCAGGCTGGGGGAGCAGCTGGGGCCTTGCTTCACTTGGGGATGAGAAGGAGAGCTCATGATGGGCAGAGGGTCTGGGGAAAGGTGGAAGAGCGGGGGTGAGGGTTAGGAGGAAAGAGTGAGGCATGTAGATGCCTGGGGTAGTGGATGGAGAAGTGAGGTGAGGTTTTAGGGTCCTAGCGGGGAGAGGAAAATCTTGTGTTTGGGGGAAGGAAGTAGAGTCTGGCAGGCTAGAGTGAGAAGTGGGTTGGTGAAGGACTGGGGTGGGCTTTGGCAAGCACAGGGCATGGCGATCAGGGGCTGGGGGCCTCACTTCTTGGAGCTTGTTTGCATGCCAGCAGCCGCACAGGAGTAGTTTCCAATCTCAGCACCAAACTGCAGAGCCACGGCCACATCGCAGTCATCCACACTCAGCACAGCCACCTTGTCCTTGGAGGGGCCCTGAGCACCCCCCAGGGCATCTGTCCGGGGCTGGAGACCCAGACACACCACTCAACAGGAACCCACAGTGACCCCGAAGGGGTACACCTGGCATCCCAGCTTCCCCCGTACTCCCAGGCCAAGGGTGGTGCCCACCTTGTTGTAGTATCTCAGATGCACTGTGTGCCACTGCCCGTCACTCAGGCCCCCTGGAACTGTGGGGCTGACCACCGTGTTGGACTCACCTATTTGGGGGATGCATGTGGAAGGTTGTCTGGAGTTGCTAAGTCGACACCTCCCCCCAAGTCATGGAGGCATGGCTACTTCCAGGATAACCCTGGATGGATCAGATCACTCCCCCCCACTGATGACCACGCTGGCTGGACCAGAGTGCTTTAGACAGACAGAAGCAGCCCACCCCTCTTGGAGAGATAGGCTTTCCCCCAACCAGTTCCTCACTGATGTCTATTTGGCAGGGAGGCAAGCCCTGAGGGATTCGGGGCTTGCAGCTGCTCCCATCTTACCAACACGTGCACCCACTTGCCCACACATCCTCATGGCATCCACCTGTGGAATATGTGAGCCGCACTTGCCCGGACACGAGTTCCAAGGCCAGGAAGTCATGTTTCTCGTTCAGGCGCCCATTGTAGAAGAGTAGCCCACTTGGCTGTACCGTTGCAAACCTGTGTGGGGTGGAGTGAGTAGGGCTAGTCACAAGCCTATACCTCCTCACACCCACCATCCCTGTGATAAGGTTGGCGGGCTTGAGGGAGCGAACCCAGGCTGGGGTGAGAGGGTGGGGCCGCCATCGCAGTGACGTCAGGAGCAGCAACGCTCTGAGACTCTCAGGCAGGGCCTCAGCGAGGGGGCGGTGGCTTGCGGGGCAGCGGGGTTGGGCAGTTAGGAATCTGAGGCAGGGCCGTGTAGGTAACAGGGACTGTGTGCAGGGCCAGGGAGATACGGGGCGGGCACCTACGAGAGGGACAGCGTGAGGTGGAAGCGCTGCCGCAGGCCGCGGAACATGACAAACGAACTGGGCGGGAAGGAGCGAGCCGACACCTCGCAGCGTGGGCCCTGGAAGGCGCCGCCCGCCGGACACTGGCAGCGGAAGCCGCCGTCGGGCTCATCCGCACAGGTGCCCCCGTTGCGGCAGACGCCAGGCACGCAGCGTCCGGCCTCCGTGTCCAGCTCGCAGTCTTCTCCTAGGGGGTCAAGCCACAGTCGCAGACGTGCTGGACAACCGGGAGTGTTCCCTGGGGCGGGCCCACCCCCCTCCCAAGGCCACGTGCTAGCAGGCGTCTGCCTGCTTCCTCTCTTCCGAAAAGTCAGGCGACCGTGGCCACGCCCAATCCGACCTGGCCCCACCCCTCCCGTGGCCCCGCCCAGCCTGTGTGCACGGCCACGCCTCCTTGACAGCCTCAGCCCCGGCTTTAACCCTTGGTGACCGAGGCCCCTCTCAGGTCCAGGCTCTTTGGCTGCTGCTCTCACCGCGCCCGACCGGCCCGGGGTTGGTTCGAGTGATCCCGGTCCTCACTTGCATTGTGTGTGGTTCGGCCGAGCTCCCGCAGCTCCCGCTCGCCCCCTCCCGCTCACCTGTGAAGCGTGGGCGGCACACGCAGGTGTAGCCGCCCTCCCGCCGCGCGCAGGCGCCGCCGTTGCGGCAGGGGTTGGAGTAGCAGAGGTCGAGCTCAGTCTCGCAGAAGTCTCCCGTAAAGCCCGGCGGGCAGCGGCAGCGCAGGCCTGCGATGGGCTGGATGGGTCGGAAGAGCGTGGAGGCCGAAGCCAGGAAGGGCGCAGACGAGTCAAAGCGCAGCACCGACACGCACTTCATGTAGTTCTCGCAGGGCTCGCGCAGGCACACGTTGTCGTCGAAGGGCAGCACGTCCAGAAGGGAGCGGGCGGCGAGGGCGGCGCGGCGCACGTACAGCTGCTCTTGCAGCTCCTCGGAGCTGAACCAGGGACCTGCAGCGCCAGCCACGGCCCCGCGTGGCGCCAGCGCTGAGAAGCTCACATTGAGCACAGTGCCCCCCACGTCCGTGTCGTTCTGGATGTTGAAGATAAAGACGTCCTCGGCAGGTGTGGCAAGTACCGCGGCCACGCCTTCCAAAAAGTGGCCCAACAGTGGCGACAGGAAGCGCTCCTGCCACATGTTCTCCAGGCGAACGGTCAGGCTGTTGGCCAGCAACTCTTCAGTGATGATGACCACACGCAGCACACACTGCGCTGTCACACTGTGCAGCCCATCTGCGGCCAGGGGTAGGGGCAGTGGTCAGCCTGGGGTCAGCGGCTGCCCACCCTAGGACACAAGAGGTCTGGGGCCAGTGACTGCCCGGTCCCCCAGCACCTGAGTCAGCAGGCTGACCGTGCCAGGAGACAGGGGGCTCTGGGGCTTGTGACCACCAGCTCTGGCAGTGTCAAGGTATTAACAAGTTACTGCTTCCTCTCCCCTCCCTCCAACACAAGGAGGGGCCTGAATCAAGGATCAAACAGCAACCCTACCCCCAGTGCCCATGGGTGGCGAAGCGTTTCCTCCAACAGAACACCCTCCCCCCAGTTATACTCAGCAGGCCACCCCCACTCAGGATACAAAGAGGAGCCAGGGCCACTGAACAACCATCCGCCCACATTCCCAAGCATTGCAGAACGAGCAAACACATCTCAAAAAAACAAAGAGTGTTCTAGATCAGTGATCACCCATCCCCTAGCTTTCTCTGGTCAGCTAACTACTTTCCCACGGCATTAGAAGGGCACTGGCCCTATGACCCACTCAACCCCATCCCTCCAGGTCAACAAGCTCCCTCTCAACTGGCAGCTCTTGCACCCTGACTTCCTCTACCCTCAGCATTCTTAGGCCAGCAAGCTGCCCATCACCCCAGACCTGGGTCCTGCAACCTTAGTGGCCACTCCCAAAAGTGTAGATGAGGCGCTCATGTGCCTTGTCCCCAGACCATACACACATGGGGTGGTCAACGAGGGCTGGTTGTTCAGTGAACGGAGTGATAAATGGAGGCGGTGCCTTCTGGGGCAGTGCCAGGAGTCATGCTCCAGACTGGGGAGCGAACACCAGGAAAGTCTGTCTCCCAACGTCCACAGCCTCCAGTAGGCAGGACTGCAAGAGCCTCTCCCACCTGCACCCTCCTATCAGGGAGGGCTTTGTGAAGACATGTGGTTTTGGAGGCAGGAAAGAGGCAGGTGGACCTCCAGATATTTTCCCGAAGCAGAGACTTGGTCAGTCCCTTGGATAGCAGCAGACCAATATGGGCCCACTTTCTGCCTGAAGCTGCCATTCCTGACCACTGAAACTATTGGGTTCCCTCTCCTACACACATGGGGTGAGGGTCAGAGTGCACCCAAAGTAACCCATCATGTGAACAGAGGTGTGGTGTGGGCTGGCTTTTCCTGCAAGCTCTAGAGCATTATCCCAGGACCTCCAGGCTTTGGGAGAGAGAAGTGCTATTCCTAGGGTAGTAGACAGTCTTTATGGAAGCTACTAGATGCCCTAGAATCTTTGTGATTCTGCAGACTTCCCAAGAACCTAAGCAGGGACTATAGAAACCATCTGCGAGGCCTATGGCAGATCCTGTGGGGTGCAGGAACCACAGGATTCTAGGGGTTCTAGAAGGCATGGAAACCCCTCTTTGGTTTGAGGTGCCCTGTGGAGTCCCTGAGCCTGAACAGGTTGCAGTCACTGGGTCATGTACTTGCCCCGGCCCCTTACCTGTGACAGTCACCAACATGGAGGCCACTAGTGGGCGGTTGTTGTCTAGCTTGCGGCTGAGTCGAAGCTCTCCACTGGTCTGGTTGACCACCAGCAGCTGTAGCTCATTGCCCCGCTCAAAAGAGTAGAAGAGGTGGTCAGAGACATCAGGGTCATAAGCTGGGATTCGGCCAATGATGCCTGAGGGGAAGGTGTCTGAGCGGTTGGACACATAGTTGTTGAAGAGGATCTGGAAGTTGTTGAGTACCGGGCTATTGTCATTCTGGTCAACCAGGCGAATGTGCACAGTGGCTCGACTGACCAGAGGGGCAGATGTGGCCTGCACCACAATCACATATTCCTGGCGAGCCTCATAGTCCAGGTCGATGAGTGCTGTCAACTCTCCAGAGAAGATATCCATTTGGAACAGCTCAGGGATGTTCCCCTCCACGATCTGGTACATTATATGGGCGTTGGGACCTTCGTCAGGGTCCAATGCAGTGATCTGGGCCACCACCGAACCCACAATGCTGTTCTCCTTCACCCGAACCTCAAAGTCCTCAGCTGGGAAGACAGGTGCATTGTCATTCACATCCTGCACTGTCACCTGGATGCTGACTGGAGTCCGAAGCGGGGGCACACCTCGGTCCACAGCATAGGCAGTGAGTTCATACACTGGAATGGCCTCCCGATCCAGCCGCCTCACTGTGCGGACGATGCCAGAGGTGGGCTCAATTGTAAAATCTCCATCTCCGTCTTCTCCATTCTGGAAAGTGTACTGGACCCGGCCATTGGCATGAGCATCCCGGTCAGTGGCTGAGATCTGTAGGACACTGGTAAAAGGTGGGGCATCCTCTGAGACCAAGCCTGTGTAGTGGGAGGCCACAAATTGCGGAGCATTATCATTCACATCATTGACCATCACCTCGACATAAGTGGTGTCTGCCTTCTGTGGAATACCATTGTCTCGGGCTGTAATAGCCAGTGTGTAGGTCACCTGGTCCTCATAGTCCAGTGGGGCCTGTAGTGTAATGGCCCCTGAGTCTGCATCAATGCGGAACTGGGGCAGGTTGTCCTCCAGCAGGTAGGTGATACGGGCATTCTCACCCACATCATCGTCAGAGGCACTGATGACCACCACAGTGCTACCCACTGGCCGATCCTCATTCACATTCACTGAGTAGTGGGCACTTTGGAAGACAGGCCGGTGAGTGTTGGCATCTGTGATGTTGATGTGCACATAGCAGTGATCGTGAAGGGCACGGTCAGATGCAGTCAGCACCAGCTTGAAGTAGCGTTCCTGCTTGTAATCCAGTGGCAGAGCCAGGGTCACCAGACCTACGCCACCCTGGGTGCTGATGGCAAAACGATTCCGAGTGTTGCCACCTGTGATCTGGTAGCTGATGGCACTGTTGGCATCGCGGTCTACAGCCGTCACACTTACCACACTGGTGCCCACAGCTGCATCCTCATTCAGCCGTAGGTGGTACTCCTTCATCGTGAACTCAGGCCGATTGTCGTTAACATCCAGCACAGTAACTGTGACGCTGGCTGAGGCAGAGAGGGGGGGTGAACCATGGTCTCGGGCCTCCACACCAAAGAAGTAATGCTCCACAGACTCACGGTCCAGGGGGCCACTCACAGAGACCCACCCAGTTGCACTGTTTATCACGAAGGGAGTATCAGGTGCCACACCAGTAAGGGAGTACTCCAATCTCGCATTCTCCCCATGGTCTGCATCCACTGCCTGAATGTGGATGACCGAATGGCCCAGGGGTGCGTTTTCCAAGACAGATACCTGGAAGGGCGTGCTGACAAAAATAGGAGTATGGTCATTTATGTCCACCACCTGGATGCTGGCTAGGCCCGTGTTGTTGGACAACGGAGGCCGGCCTGCATCCTGCGCCCGGATGCGCAAAGCATACTCTCGTTCTGCCTCAAAATCCAGAGGTGCCACCACCTGGATCTCACCCGTGAGGCTGTCGATGGCAAAATGGCCGCGGCTATTGCCGCTGATGATGTTATAGTGCACTAGTCCATTGGCGTCCTTGTCCTGGTCTGTAGCTGTGACGCGTAGCACCACTGTATGCGGGCGCACATCCTCCCGCACCTGAGCCACATAACGCTTCTCACTGAACTGGGGTGCGTTGTCGTTTTCGTCCAGCACTGTAATGTGCACACGCACAGTGGCAGAGCGCGGCCCAGGCTCTTGGCCCTGGTCGCTGGCCTCTACCACCAGCTCATAGCTTTCCATGTGCTCACGGTCCACGCGACCGCTGGTGCTGATGAGGCCTGAGCGCGGATCAATCTCGAAGGCAGCGGCAGCTGCAGTGCGCGTAGCTGGTGGCCCCACGAAGCGGTAACGCAGGTTGGCGTTGGGGGGCGCATCACCGTCAGTGGCACGCAACTGTAGGATAGGGTAGCCTTCCTCCACATTCTCACGAAGCGTTTCCCGATATTGAGCCTGCTCAAACACCGGCGCATGGTCGTTGCGGTCGGCCACTGTAACGGCCACCATGGTGGTGGCCGAGAGGCGCGGCAAGCCATGGTCCTGTGCTGTCACACGCAGATAATGGCGCTCCATGCTCTCGCGATCCAGAGCAGCCTCCGTGCTGATTAGGCCGCTCTGCGGGTCGATGCTGAACAGCTCCAGCGAGCGGCTATTCATAAGCGCAGCCAGGGAGTATACTAGGCGCCCAGCCTCGCCCGAGTCTGGGTCCTGCGCCACTACGCGTAGCACTGCGGTGCCCGCTGCCTCGTTCTCGGGCACTAGCGCCTGGTAGTTGTACTGTGGAAACTGTGGGTGTCGGTTCGCGGCGCGACGGGGTCGAACCCGGCTTGCTAGGGGTATTCTCCAGGGCTCTTGCCCGGCGGGGACCCCTGGGGGTCGCGGCCCGGGGCGCTGCGGAAGGAGGCGGTGGCGGAAGAGACCGCGGGGGCGCATGCGCTTGGGCGTGGACTCGGGAGCTGTCCGATAACCGCGCGGTGCTGAACCAGAAATAGGAGCTGTCCTTGCTGTGCGCGGTGCTGAATCCAGCCCAGGGCCAGATCCCGTAGCTCCGGGAGTACAGTCAGCCCGGGTGACTGTCCTCTGGGCTCGGGATATCAGGGTTCTCTCGCTTTGACCCCTGTGTCCTGGCACCCACAATTTTCCACAGCATCGCATGGCTCCCACTTTTTGGGGGGCGCCTCTCCTAGCATTCCTCTGGTAGGACACCAGCTTAGAACCACGGGGCCGAACCAGAAGGTCTGAAGGGAAGGGAAAACTGTTCTCTGGGCCCGGGACCCCTGGGGACAGAGCCTGTGGCAACAAGCTATCTCTTCGTGAGAGTCCTGTCTGCCTGCAAGAAGAGACTTCCGGGCGCCAGCATAACAGAGACCCCAGTCCCTGTCCTGTCTCTTGCCCAGGGCTGCCTATTGCCTGAACACCGTATTCTGCCCTAAGCCCCGCATCCGACTGCTCAGGAGACCCTCGACCACTCTGGGCGCTTTGCCTTCTTCCTCGGAGCCCCACGAAAATAGACTCCCTGATTCCCGGGCTAAGCTCTCCATCCTCTCGGGCTCCGGGTAGCTCGGGACAAAGAGCTAAGGCCCTGCCGCCGATCTGAGCCCCTGACCCCGTAGCTGCAGCTACCCCCGGGTCCCAGCCTTGGCCCCCACCGCCCCCCAGATCTTCCCGGCTGAGAGGGAACAAAGAGAGGAGGAGCAGGAGTAGTGGGGTCGTCGGCCCCCTGAGGCCCCACCAAGGTGGCTGCCTCGCCATCACCCTCTGCCTCCCCACACGGCCTCCACCGTCCCCCACTCCAGTCCAGGCCTTGGGCCCACCGCGCCGCTCGGGCCCCCTCCCGGGCCCCTGCCGCCGCCCCGGTCCCCCCCCTCTCGGCCTGTCGCTCCGCGCCACCGCCTCCACCCTCTGGCCACCATCTACTCCACTGCCAGAGCCCCTCTGGAGTGTGGCTCCGGCTTTTGCCGCCCCCACCACAGCATCCCCGACGCTGCTGCTGCCTCCCGCCGCTCCAACATGGCTCCCGGCTGCCACGATGGTTCGTTCCACCTCCGCCCCGAAGCCCCAAATCCAGTGGTACAGACCGTCGCGCATGGCAGCTCCGATTACTGAAGTTTGTGCCGCCATCTTTATTAATGGCAAAGCATAAGCGCTGCCCAGGGTGCTGAGCAGGGTGTGGTGGGGACAGCTTTTGGATCCACCCTTTTTGCTCACGGCCACCGCGCACCCGCCTCTTCCCTTTTAGGGCGCTGTCCCTGCTCCGTCTCCCAGCCTTTCTTCTGCTTACGGGCCTCTCGTTGCCCTTCCTGAGCATTAGTTCCGAACGCTGTCCCGGATTTTGATCTGAAAATTTGCTGCACAGTGAGAGTTCTTATGACTCTTGCGGGGGCGGATATCGTGTGGAATCCTGGGGTAGAGGGGGCGATGTTTGCAGGGGGCGCGGTACCTGGGGCGCCCGTAGCCCGAACAATGGCTTTAATTGTTCGATCAGTGAGTTTTAACTCATGAAATGCCGCGACCACCTCCTCGTTTGGAGCTCCCCTGAGGAGCAGGAACGAGAGGTTACCCGCCCTAGGTGGAAGCAGAGGCCAAACTCTCCCCTGCCTAGACGGCCCCCAGTATTCTCCTGTGGCTGGGGGGATTCTCCACCAGATGTTACGTGCCCTTCTCCAGGTCACAGGTCTTGAGTGCTCTGGGATGCCACCTGGAGGCCGACGTTGCCACACAGCTGCGGGCCCGGCTCTTCGGATCCGGGCCACTAGCTCACTATGACCATGTCCCTTAATCCCTTGAAGGGACTACTGGAAACTCAATTCTCCCCTCAGGTTAATCCTGTTCTTCCCGCGCTGTGCAACTCCTGGCGTAGGTCGCCATCGGCTGACCAATGGGGAGAGGCAGCAGAATAAATGTCAGAGGCTATGAGTGAGGCGGAGAGCTAACCGAGTGTTCCAATCAGAAAGTCACCGTCTCTATTGGCACAATGGGAGGCTCCGCCCCTGACGGCGGACTCATTGTCTGGGGAGAGGGGTCTGCGGGTTCCAGGATAGCCGGAAAGATTATCCAGCTCTACCAACCAGCGTGCAGAAGCAGCAGAGACAATGGGCTGCACCGCCATGTGCAGAGGGTGTGGGTTTACCAGGACAGAGGAGGGGTCAGGTTTGGGGCCCAAAACGCTCCAAGGGGCGCGGCTCCAACTGGCAGAGGACCCCCTACCTAAGGTCTCTGTCCCGTCCGAAAGGTAACTATGACATCACCACCAACCAATCAGTGCATTCTTTGGCCCTGACATCTTTGCTTCCGGGAGGCGGGGTTCCTGAGCGTTCCACTGCCTAAGCTGTGGTGGAGAGTCGGGCGGATGAGCTCAAGTGGTGGTCTCCTGTCTCTGATTCTGAGGAGCCCCTGAGGTCGGAGCTTTGTGCAGGATGTGTGGTCTGGGCTCCTAAGGGCGTGATGGAGGAGTATCTATCTGTATCCCTATCAAACAAAGGCCCCTTGGACAGTCCCGTGAAAAGCTTCTCTGGTGCTCCTGCCCATAGGGCCACACTGTAAATGCCAGCAGCGGAACAGATGATACATCACAGCCCTCCCCCTCCCACGAGGTCAGTGTGTACACGGGGAAGACAGCAAAGCACAAAGGATCTCAAATGTTCCTGCCTCAGCTTCCCAAGGACCTGTGCTTTCCACTGAATTACAGTATTTCAGGAGAATCATGGTTCTCAGCCTTCAGCACCCCAGTGAGCCAGGAGTCTCCATTCGGGAAGAGAAAGGGAGGCATAATGCCTCCAGGATGGAGAGAAACCACCGTGTTGTGCAACACGGAGCTTTCACTGGGGCCAAACATTTCAGCCCCTGTTCAGGTCCAGGGGAGCCTCTGTGCTTAACCTTCTGACAATGGACAGTTAAGGATGTTGCCCCATCAGTCCCCGTGCTTTGCTCCTGTGGGTTACCTGTCAAATATAATTGCCTCAGCTTCCTAAGAACCTGTTTCCAAAGTCCTAAGCCTAACCCTGGCCTCGCTGTGCTGCTCAGTGCATTAGCTTTGTTGGGAGAGTCCGCTGCCTTCACTGCTCTGCTGAGAAAGGCTAAGTCTAGAACCCAAATCACAGTATCAGGGATTCTGGATGTGTGGAATCACTTGATAAAAATCTTGGTGAGCCCTGGCTGATGTAACTCAGTGGATTGAGCGCAGGCAGAGAACCAGCCAGGAGCCATGTTCGCCAGTTTGATTCCCTGGGCACATGCCTGTTGTGGGCCAGGTCCCCAGTGGGGGCCACATGTGAGGCAACCACACTGATGTTTCTCTCCCTCCCTTCTCCTCTAAAAATAAAAAAATATTTTTTAAAAGATAACCTTGGTGAGGAATGAAGGGAACTGATAAAAACCATTCTGACCCTGGTTGGCGAGGCTCAGTGGATTCACTGCAGGCCTGCACATTGAAAAGTCATTGGTTCAATTCCTGGTCAGGGCACTCCCCAGGTGGAGGCCTGAGAGACACAAGTGCTTGATCTCATATATTGACGTTTCTCTCCCTTTCCCTCTCAAAAAAAAAAAAAAAAAATCTGCCGACTGGCATGGCTTGGTTCGTGCCACAGACCAAGGTTGCCAGTTCGATTCCTGGTCGGGGGAAATGAAATGCCTCAGTTGCAGGGCATGGCCCCTGGTTGGTGTGCCCATGAGAGACAACCAGTGTTTCTCTCTTGCACACTGATGTTTCTCTCCCTTTCTGTCTCCCTCTCTCTAAAAATATGTAACATCTTTAAAAAAAAAAACAAAAAACACCTCACTCTGACTGGTTGCCCTCTGGCAGAGACTTTCTGACTCTCCTGCCCCCACTTCCAGCAAGAGCTTTTGACTTGGGAGCCCAGAAGGAAAATAACATTTTTGCCCTAATTCCCCTCAAACGGTGCAGATCTCACCCATATCTGTTTTTTTCTTTTTGCATCCTCCCCCACCCCTAATAATGACCAAATCTCTGCTGAAGCTGAATAATGAAAGATCTTGCTGGGCCCATGACAAAACAGAGCTGGACAAGGCCCAGGTATTCAGAGAGGCCAGGGCTGGGTCAGGTTTCAACAGGAGAGAGACAGAGATGGCATTCAAGTCAAAGAAACATTTAAGTGAAGCCCAGAGGGGCAGTCACCTGCACAAGGACCACAAGGCACTCGGTGGCTGTGGTTCAGAAGTGGGAACTCAGCAGGACTCAAGGGACCTCGAGGGACAGGCCTGTGAGGAACCACACCAGGCTAGAGCCGTCAGGGCAAGGTAATGACGGGGTTCTGAGGTCCCAGTGCCCCTGCCCGTGTTCTTCCCACCACCACCCAGGACTGTACTGGGAAGCCTGTTTGCAGAGGCCTGTGATTTATTTCCAAAGGTGAGCAGCGACACATAGGAAAATACACATGGCTTTCCAGTCTACATTTTTACAGAGAAAATAGAATCTGTCATTGGCTTTCTCAGTGCCATCACTCCGTTCTGTGAGGCTCGATGAGTGGCCCGTTTCCAAGATTCTGCTCTAAAAGCAGCAGCTTGGCCAAGGCCCCTGGGGGTGGGAATGAGGGGTAGCAACCCCCCCCCCCCAAGGGCAGGGGAAGCACATGAGCAGCATTTACTGCAAAGCTAAGGCAAAAAAAAAAACAGCTGGCAGGAAATCCCCTCACCCCAAGGACATGGCTGGCTGAAGGCCAGGACACAGACCTGACGGGTGGGGACAGGGCTCTGGCTCAGCCTGGAGCAGCAGCAGCAGGACTCTGAGTGTGCATGTGTATATGGGGAGTGGGGGTGGGGGGACATGCTGAACAGGCAGCCTGGGCAGATGGACTTCAGCTCACAAACTACCTTTGCCCCAGCACTGTTCCCAGAGCGTGGTCCTCAATTCTGCACTTGGCCCCTCGCATTAACCCTACTTCTGGTGGGGGGCCCTGCTCAGGTCCCTTCTACCACCACATCCCCTAACACTGTCGGTGCAAAACATTCTTAGGGCCAAGCCCCAAGTCCTCTGATCCCTGCCCAGGGCTGCAGGGAAGGGAAGAAAGGAAGGTGCTAGCTGGGGGCCTCGCCCAGCACTGGAAACTCCTTGCACATCTCTTGGACAATCATGCGGTCCATCTGGCACTGGGGTGAGGCGTCCTCTTCAGCCAGGATACGCCGCAGTGTGGCTTGCAGGTCAGTGAGCCGGTGGCGGTGCTGCAGATAGGGTGTGGAGCGGACCACGGCGTGCATCAGGGACAGGTACTCCATGCGCAGCTGTGGGAAGAGCAGGCAAGCTCACGGACCCCAAGGAGGCACTGTTGCCAGAGACAGACAGGCCCTGTGGCAGCTACATGGACCCTGTGGCTGTGGACCAGCTCACACCAGTGAAGATCAGGGTCACATGCCCAGCACCAGAGTGTATTTGGCACAGAAGTGGCCTTCGATAGTTGAATAAGTGAGTGAGTGAATGAATCAGCTGAGATGCAGACAGTTCCAGAGGTGGCTGGCCTAAGAAGGCATGGCTCAGCAAGGTGGCAAGAAGCAGTGCTGAGCTCCTGCCGCCGTCCTCCAATGCTGCACCCTCGTGGTAACGCTGTATGAATTCAGGGGCCCTCTGCTTCTCACTGTTCCCTCACTCTGGAAGATCGCATTCACACCCACAGCTCCAAACATGACCCACACCCGCACCTCTGGCCTAGACTTCTGTGAGCTCCAGAAGAGAACCATGCAATTGCCGCTGGTCATCTCTGCATATCTCAAAGGGACCTCAACCCCCTACGTCCGCCGTCAAACTCACCGCTGTCTGTTCAGATGCACAGGCCAAACCTGCAGGCATCCTCTCTAACCTGTCTCTCTGCACACACACCAAAGCCCACCCCACCCCATCGTCTTACAGCCTCCACATGCTCTGACTCCATCTCCAGTTCCCAACCCCAACTTCCCTCCCCGCACCTCGGGTTAAAGAGCTCCACCAGCCACTCCAATCTGACGCCCCAAGCTGCTCCTTCCCTTCCCTGAGGCCCCAATGCACTGACCTGACCCAGCATTTTCTCTCTGGGTCTGCCCTGCCCCATTTCTCTCTATGTCAGATTAGGCAGCATCACCCTGCTGACGCCCACCCTTGGTCAGACCCAGCGCCTGAGCAGCGGACAGCTGCAGAGCCAGGCGCAGGCCTTGACCTCCTTCCCTACCACAAACTTTGATAGACACACATTGTCTGGGACTGCCCCCACTTTTCTAGGCTGTGCTCACTTTTTCCTCAAAGTGCCACTGCCCACTGTCTCTGTTTTGCAAACCCAAACCGCTCAGTCAGCTGGCCTTGTGCTCCAGGGAGAAAACAGGCCACCTTTCAGGGAGCCCTGTCTTCTCTCAGCACCGGCACCTCTCTGCCCCCTCACCGGCAGGGAACTGTTGGGGCCCTCCCCCAACATGGGCCTGGATCCTCCCATGACCTTACCCACTCGTTTTCTGCAGCGCCCCCCACCCTGCCCTGCAATACATCAGCCAGCACTCCACGCTTACCGGATGGTTCCCTCTGCGCCCTCCCTGGCCCTCCAGCGACGCCTCCTTCCCTGCTCCCCTTCACAGACGCTCACGAGACTTGTCTCCACTTACTGCTTCCAACCCCTCCCTCACGTTCTCTTCCCTCCACTCCAAACACGGCCTGTCCACCACCACTGACCTCTGTGTGGCAAATCTAGTGGCCAATTCTCAGTGCTTCTCTTACTCAGGCTCCTAATTGTGGAGACGGCTCACTCCCTCCTCCAAACACGCGGCTTTGGGCTCCGTTCCCTCAGTTTCCTCCTGGGTGTCTTCTCCCTGCTTACCCCTCAGGGTCTTGTGCTGGGGCCTGAGCTTCCTTCTGAACTGTCCCTCTCATGACGCAGTCACACTGCCACAGGCTTCCTGCTCCATCTACGCACAGACAACGCCAAGGTGTCTCTGCAGTCCTGGCTGCCTCCCTGATGTCCTCTGTGCCTGCACGTCTAGAAGCGATCTTCTCAATCTTGACACATCAAAACATAACTCTAGCCGTCCTACGGCCCCCGTGTCGAAGCACCTCCCCACCTTGGCAATCAGCGCCTCATCCATCGCCTGCTCAACATGAGTGCGGCATCAACCCCTGCCTGACCCATTTTCAACACCCAACCCTGAGCTCTCCTCCCTCCACCAGGCTCTCCCCACCCGCCCATGCCACCGGACAGCGCCAGCTACTTCCTCGTGGGCCATTCCGTGGGTGTCCATTAGATCAGGGGCCCTCCCCAAACTCGGGCCTATGTACCCCGCTCCTGGGAGAAGCCCTCGCAGCCTCCACATCCCACTTCCTCTCGGCGCCTCCCACCACTCCCTCCACTCCAGCTTTCTCGGACAGACCACCCCCCACGTCGCCTCATGGCTGCCTCCTCTGGGGCCTGGCACATCGGTGGGGCTCCTGAGCACCTCCCATGCTTCCTGGCGCCAGGAGCAGCCCCATCCCTTGTCCCCATTCAGCATCACGTCCCCCCGCTTTGTGTCAGTCTCTACACAACTGCTGTCCCCGTGGCAGCCCTCTCTGGACACCTTGTCTCCGGGCGACAGGTCCGCGATGTGCCGCACGGTGATGTCGATGAGCGCCATCATGTCTGTGTGGTAGAAGATGGCAGCCGTGGCGGGGCTGGCAAACACGTCCTGCAGGAACTTGAGGACAGAGTGCGGCGGCTGCGGCTCGTGTTTGAAGATGCGCACGGGGTCATCTAGGAGGCGGCGAAAGAGACGTCAGGGCGGTCCTCGTGGGGCGCCCAGTCACCCCCGGGAGTCATAAGGTCACAGAGTCACGGGACTCCTGGGCCCTCACCCCCTCTGTTCAGGAGCAAGAGCAGCTTCTCAGAGAAGATCTTGACGTTGGTGTGCTTGCTCAGGGCGGCCATGATGACGTTCTGGTCGGGGGCTGAGGAAGGACATGGGTGTGGGTGAGCGTATGGGCAGAGCCTGCAGAGCCCCGAGCAGTGGCCAGCCACCTCCCGGCCGGGCCCCATCCCGACCTGGCAGGTGCAAGTTGAGCGCCAGAAGCAGGTTCATGCAGAGATCTGGCAGCTGCTCTGTGGTGTCCAACGGCAGCCCGTCCTCCACGATGCTCAGCAGAAACAGGGCGAAGGGGGTGCCCAGGTGCTCTGCGAGAGGGGCAAACAGAAGTCCGCAGCCCTGGCCTCTGCTCCGTATCCCCAGCCTCCCTGGAGACACCCGTCAGTGGGCCCCAGCCCCTCAGGCCACAGATCCGGGCTCCAGCTGGCTCTGGGCTCCCTACAGTGAGCTGGTCAGTGACCTGCCTTCTTACCATAGTGCGCACAGGGCACTGCCTCCCCCATGGAGAAGACCATGGCCAGGATGAGGGCGGAGTAACAGAGTTTCTGGTGGTCTGAGGGGGCAAGAAAGGCAGTCAGAGTCCCTACAGATTGCAGGAACCCCCCTCTCCAGATGGCAAGAAGCTCCCCTGCCTCACCCTGCGTGTCTGTCTGCATGTCCCGTGCCAGCTCCACCGGCAGCACGGATGACACGAGCGTGGAGATGATGGCTGCGTCCAAGCTGCACATGGCCCCAAAGCACTTGAGCAGCAGCAGCCGCAGCGACACCCGGTGCTCCTGGCAGGGGACCTGTGTGCTTAGTGCCTAGAGGCCCACCTCCCCCCGGGGTCCATCCAGGCCCCGCCCCTCTGTCTCACACACACCATTTGGTAGTAGGCCACCAAGGCCAGGACAGACTCGAACTCGTTTCTCTTGCACATTTTCTTGCAAACTTCAGGGTCTGCATCAGTCTGGGAGGAGGAGGAAGTGTGACAGAGTCACTCAGTGTGAGCCGTGTGGCCACACGTGAGCGAGCTGAGAACGTGGAGGGAGACTCCTGAGCAGTGGAGAACGGCTCGGGGTGGGGTGGCTGCTCTGCACACTGGGAACAGCTGTGGGCCCCCACCCCTCACCAGAATGTGCAGCAGCTCCTCCAGGTAGCAGCGGATGACACCCTCATCCTCGTATAGGGCCCAGCTGCGCTGCTGGGCATCGTCCTTCCGCCGAGCCAGGTCTGCAAAGATCACTTCCAGCCGCTGCTGGTCGTGGCAGACTTGCCCGGAGGGCAGGGCAGTGCTCAGGTCCTGGGGGGAAAGGGTGGGGCGGGGCTTAGCAGGCTCTCCCCCATCTCCAGGAAGCCCCCAACCTGGAGCCCAACCTAGGCCCTGAGGTCACGGGCATGAGGTCACTGTGCACCAGGTTCAGTGTCAGGCAAGGGATCCAGGCCTCACCTCCCAGAGCTGCCCCTGGTCAGTGTCCTAGGACCTGTGAGGGGACCAAACTGGGGTTATCTTCCCTCCTCACCACTGCTCCCCCTCAAGCTTCCATGAACACCTGTTCCCATGGGCCATCCCTCAACATCAGGGCTCCCAGAAATACCAGCCCAGTTCTTCATCCCCCTCCAGGTAATGCCACTGCCCCCCATCTAGATAACTTCCTGGGACAGGCTTCTGCTCAAAGCGTGTGTGTGTGTGTGGGTTTCCCAGCAGACGGCCTCTCATCTCAGATCTGGATAAACCTCCTCCACGAGGAAGCCGTGGCCTCTGTCACCGCTCAAATGAGACTGAGACCCCACCCTCCAGTTCTACTCAAAGGGCACCAGGACTGTCATCTACCCACCTCCCATGTTCCCCTCGAACCCTGCCAGCCAAGCAGTGCCAGCCATGGCAAGCCATCCCCCCACTGCTCTCCTGACCCCAAACCTGAGCTGCAGAAACCATGGAGCCCCGGGAGGCCCCACTGTGCAAGCTGGGCTCCTTGCCCTCCAATCCTGCTCCCTGACCAGGACCCCACTCTATGATGCCCACACACCTCACCCATGTCTGAGTCAGCACTTAGGTCTCCGTCAGAGTCCTCGAAGCACCCCCTCCTCTCCAATGCCAAGGTCAGCAAGGCATTGCCCTCACTCATGCCCTACGTCCATCCCTTCCCTGAAGCCAGAGAGAACACTTGGCCAACACATCTGGTCTCACCTGTCACCTGCCCCATGTCTCACCTCCTCCCACACCACCTGCACGCTCACTTCCTGTGTTCCAGCCATGCTGGCCTCATCCCACTGCTTCCTGTGATCCCAGCTCAGTCCTGCCCCAGGGCCTTTGTCCAGGCTGAGCCCCTGCCTAGAATGCTCTTCCTCCCAGTCTGCTTAAGGGATCAGCTTAAATGTCACAGCACCCAGCACACTGGTGGTGGCCCATAGCTAGAGCTCCATATGCACCTGTCAATTAAAGGGTGGGCATAAGTGTGGGGGTGGGGAAGGGGTGGGGTGGCAGGGTGGTGCGAGGATGGGGAGGCCCTTGGCCCTAGTGTCCACCCTCACCTTGCCCTCTACCAGCGAGAGGAGGACCTGCTCCATGACAGGTGAGATGGCTGGCACAGAGGCCTGGATGTGACCCACCACGACACCAATGGCCACACGGCATAGCTCGTGGCTCAGGCCAGTGTTTCTCCGCACGAGCTCCATCAGCTCTGCCCCGATGGTCCTGGGCACGACTGTTTCAGCCACTGCCTTCTCCTCTGTGGTCTCCAGGCTCAGCGCACCCAGGGCCTCCAGCTCATCAGGGACTGAGGGTGTATCAACTGCCACCTCCTCTGGAGAGGGTTCAGGGGCTGGCACCTTGGAGGGAGGGGGCTGAGCTTGGGACACAGTGGTAAGAGTACTGCGGCGGGGCACGGGCGGGGGTGTGGGTGAGCCGCTGGGGCCCAGCTCAGACGAGCTGGAGCCAGTATAGAGCGTGTCAAGGGAGGTGCTGCTGACTGAGGAGCTGCCGGACACAGAGCTGCCCCCGGAGGGCGTGGTGTTGCGGCCGCCTGTGGGCAGAGAGTGGATACTATGCTGGGGCAGCCCCCAGGGGCCCGACCCCTCCGAGCCCAGAGCCCCTGTCCCTGGTTCAGGGCCCAGTTCCTCTGCCAGACACTCCCCACTGAGCCCACGGCCCCCAGATGTCGCAATATGTGCTTTGTTTTTCCTCTGAGCCTGGAGCCCCCAACTCCCTGACATAGCAGAGCATGCATTCCAAGCTCACGGAGCCCCCACAGTTCCCCCAGCCCTGCCTCTCACCACTGCCCGAGGCCACCAGGGCCTCGCGATCTCGGCGCTTCACAGGTGGAGGGGGTGTGGCAGGTGCTGCTCGGCGAGGCTGCGGTGGGATCTGGGAGGATACGAGTGAGATCGGAGAGGGCGGGCTGCCATGTGGGCTGCCAGCCTGGCCAGGGCCCCGTGCTCCTGGCATGGGCAGGGCTGTGGCTCTGGGCAGCTATTGCTGCCCTGACCGGACCCTTCGGGCCTCTGGACAAAGGCCTGAAACCCACCCACCTCCCTTCCCCAGGCTGTCCTCACCATGTACCTGGTAGAGGCTTCTGTCTGCCCCAAGACACTCAGAGCTAGGCAGGCTGTGCTGCCGTTCGAACCCAGCACGACACACCCCATTGGGCTGCCTGCCAGCAGCAGAATCCAGATAATGGTCACTTGTGGATGGGGTCATGGCTGCAGGGCTGGAGGCAGAGGGGCCCCTGCGGGACAAAGTCTCTTTCCGGTGATGGATCAGCTTCCTAAGGGACAGGGAGATCACTGGAGCTGTCACCTCATAACTCCCAGAGACATCACATGCTCCCTGTGGGATGCATGGGTCCCCCACAGCCCAGGCCCGCCCCACCTCCCTTACGCTCCACCCCGCTCTGCACTAACCCCAGCCCTACCCCAGCGCCTCCCCAGTACCCACTGAAGAACCCTACCCACTGTGCTCACTGGGAGGTGCCCTCCGCCACCCCCACTCACTGGAGGACTCCACGCTGCTCCAGGCTGTACTTGCCACCATCCCGCATGGCTGCATTGTGTACAGCCTCGATGGCCCGGTCAATGGCTTGGAGGACATCCTGCTCTAGGCCCTGGGTGGGGGAGCGGGGGGGGGCGCAGTTAGAACTGGGGCAGACAGAAAACCACAACAGCTGAGGCCTAGAATGCTAGATGTGAAAGCAGAAAGCTGGACTAGAACACGACATGGAGTTCTCAAACTGCATCACTCAGGGAGCTGAGGCCTGGCACGTGGGGGCCCTGCTCAGGTTTTTAGCCCACAGAGTGGCTCTGGGCTAAGATGTCTCTGAAAACCAGGAGTCCAGAGCAAACACATAGGCCAGGGACCCCCAGTGTGAGGCCAGGAGTACACGCCTGGTCTATCCCCAGAGCTCAGGCTGAGATGCCACGCAGGGAGCCTGCAGAGTCTGGAGCCCTTAACAAATCACCCTGGACCTTACTGATGGCTCAGAAAACCAAGGTCACACTCCAGAACAGCCCTGATCTCACAGAGCCTTCTGCAGGTCCTAGTAACTGAGACAGGCCAACGGGATCTCCTCTCCCCACCCCTGAACCAGCCCTCATCCCCCCAAGCTGGTCCAGGAATCTTCCAGACCCACCCCAAAAGCATCGGTTCTGTGTTTGTGGCAAAGGATGAGACATAAGAACCTGTCCCAGATTCTGTTTTGTTATCCCCAGCAACTCAGGGGCCCAATCTACCCAGCCTGCCCAGCATGGGGCAGGGAGTAGGGGGTGGCAGCAGTGGGACCAGCTACCTCCACCCCTCCTCTGTCCCTGACACACACCATCCATCAGCCTACACAGGAGTCTCAGAACTGAGATGTCGTCACTACAGAGCAGGTTTGAAAGCTTCCGTTGTGGGGACAGATAGATGGACACAGAGGTCAGCAAAGCCCTGCAGGTAGCACAGGGCTTGCCGGAGTGCAGGGAGACAGGAGTCAGAAATGGGAACAGAAAGAGAAAGGCCTACACATACAGAGGAAAAAAGACACAGAGATTGGGTGGGGGGCCGGGGGAGAGACAGGCAAAGGGAGAAAACGCAGAGAGAAACTGAGAGCCTGAGACAGACGCAGAGTGTCGGGGAAAGAAAGACACACACACAGGGAGAGTCAGAATGATCGCGTCAGGGAGTCCGAGGCAGGGAGATCTGCAGAAAGAAACCAAGACACAGAGCGAATGGCAGCCTCTCTGCCTTCCCCAAACACCCAGCCCTACCGGCCCTGGCCAGGGGAGGCCCAGGTACAAGAAGCAGGACTTTCCTCAGGGGCCTGCAATAGCCCCCCAGCCCCAGAGAGCCTGGGCCTCACATGCTCACTCCAGACCCAGCATCCCTGACATCCACCACTGCCCACTGTCACTCCAGACACCCCTACGTGGGATAAGGCCCTGCCCAGGGCCCATTCCTCTGGTAAGACCAGAGGACACCTCCACATTTATCCTGTCATTTCTGTTTTTAACTAAGCTGGGACAGGATGGTTCCTTAAGTCTAGGGACTAGAACGGCCTTGGAGGTGTCGGGCACTGGCCAGGCCTGGAGGCTCCAGGCCTTCTTTCCCTGTGGTCAGAAGTGACCAGCTGGTGACCAGCATCAAAACCCGACAGCAGGACTATTCTTGGGGAAACAGGAACTAGGGCTGTAGTCTCCACTGGAAGGATATGGGGGCCCAGTCAGAACAGGGGAGGCCATGGGGAGGTCTCACTTCCTCACAATGGGAAGAGCCCCCACTTTAGGCTGGGCACAAAGAGGGATGGAACTCCCTCACTTTCAAAGAAAAGGAAGCCTGAAAAATCAGGACCTGAGACTTGGGGGAAGGAGATGAGTAGTTCCTGGAACACCAGGGAGTTCCAGTTGACAGCCTCAGTTCAGAGGGGGTGGGTGGTCTTAGAAGAGCTTAGGGAGTGGCTGAGTATAGGACAGTGGAAGACACTGAAGTCTCAGGGCTTTGGGAGACATCTAGGGGCCGGGGGTGTCTATGGCTCCAGGGTCCAAGTTGGGGAGCGGTGAGGACAGGGAAGATGGTTGTGGAAAGTGTCCAGGGTGGCCGGGTCTCCATGGTGGAAGCAGTGGCTCCAATTGGGGATCTGAGGGTGGGAGGCAAGAGTGTGGGGTCCTTGGGATCCAGGAAAGGGACCGATTAGGGATCTGGGGAACTGGTCAGAATTCGGTGGGGCTTGAATTCTATTCAGATGAGCGTTCAGATATGGGATCCCAATGGGTCTGGGATCCCGAGGAGTCTCAGTTCCAGAGTCAGGTTTTTGGTAGGTCTTAAGTCCCTAGAGTTGGCTGTCAAGGGCCAGGTGCAATGTGGGGGTGCGAGCTCTTGAGGTCCTAGTCCTGGTGGGTTTGGAAAGAAATGGGGCCATCGTCAGACCAGGGGAAGCCATGGGTCAGGTTCTCAAACTCCTTCTCAGACCCAGCATTCTGGGGTTGGTAGTGCGAGCCAGTAACAGGACCCAACCTAAGGGCCGCGGAGGGCCGGTGGGGACGGGGCACACTCACCTGCAGGCGGCGCAGGTAGGCGGGCGGCACGTAGCCCGTTTCCCCACTGCGCGCCCGCGCCGCCAGCCACCAGTGCGCGCTGCTGCGCTCCAGCACCAGGAAGGTCTCGCCCGCGGCGAACGCCAGCGCGTTAGGCTCCGCCGAGCGGAAGGCGTACAGCGCGCGGTACATGGGGCCGAGCCGGGCTGCGCTAGGGCAGGGTAGGCGGCGCGGGCTGTGGAACCGGGACCCAGGCCGCGAGATCCGCACCCGCCCCGCCCCGTGACACAAAACGCGTGCGCGCGCGTGCCCGCCGCAGCCCCGCCCCTAAGTGTCAGCCCACGCACGCAAGCGCAGAGCCCCCTAGCGGCCCCAAACGCTCGAGAGTTCGCACTCGATGTCCCTGCCCCGGCCCCGACCCCGGCCCCGACCCCGACCCCGGCCCCGACCCCGGCCCCGACACCGGCCCCGGCCCCGACCCCGGCCCCGACCCTGACCCCTCCCAGAACCCCAGCCATTTCTGCCCAGCCCTCCATTCCTTTACCCTGCTCAAGCCCGAGTGCTTAGGCACCTTAGTACCTCCCGAAGGAGCGCTCCACCCGCAGCCCAACGGCAGAGCCTGTGTCCTTGGCGTCCCTGCCACCCTGGGGTGGGTAGTGAGTCCTGACGTAACAATAAGGACGGCGACCCCGAGCTGATAGTCCCTTTGCTGTTTAATGCTGATCCGACACTTCGAGATTCTCGCGGGGCCCGGGTCTCCTCGGTGTATTTCAAGTCTTAGGACCCTTGATAAAGTGGCAGCTCCGGCAGCAGACTGCGCCAGTGATGGGCAATGGGGAATCAAAGTGAGGAAGGGGGTCTTAGAAACCAGGTCGGGACTTCGCCGTTCAAAGCCCTCCCATCTTCCCTCTCCACCCCACCTCCTTTCAACAACTAGCAGCTCTCTTCCTCTCTGCCATGGTGTCTTTGTGTGTCCTGTTTCCTCTGCCTGGGACGCAGTTCCCGCTCACAGCAGCCGGATGCACCGGAAGCTATGTCTCACGTTATTAGTCTTCTATTGTGTTGACAGGAATCAACTCCAATCCTGATGTTCCCTTCTGAACAGTCAGGAGGGTTGGTGGAGGATGAAGAGTGGGATGATGTGTGGCCTTAAGAGCTTGTTTGACCCACTCACTTTACCAGTCAGTCCTGACCCAGAGAGCACTTTGAAGTCCTGAGGGGGGAACCTAGAGAGATCTCAGGATCTCTGACTTCTCTACAGGGGCTGGTTCCGCCACATTACCCACTGGAAGCCTGGGCCCAGGGAGCAGTCTGTAGGCACAACCACACGGGTGAATGTGTATGCACTTGGCCTGTTTTTGGTCATAGTGGGCAGAGGCATAGTGGGCCTTGGAGAGGTGATGCTGGGAGGTTCAGGAGAGGGGATAGGGGCTGCTAAAACTGGACATCCAGGCCTTGCCTTTTTGGCACCAGGTCTGTGCCCTTCTCCCCGGTGTCCAGTTCAGCAGTTCAAAACCTCCTGCCACTCTTCGTCCTCCCAAAAACCCTCCTAGCAAAGAACACAAGTCACTCTCCTTGGGACTGCCCTGGCTAAAACTTCACGAAGGCCAAGACTGGCACAGTTGCAATGGGGCTCAGGGCTGCATAGGAGTGGTGACAGGTGGCAGAGTGGAACCAACCAACCTGCACAGACCCTTTTGTGCACCCACCTCCTAGGACCCTTCACTAGAGACCATGGCTGCCAACAGACCAGAGGCTGGTAGCTCCTTGAAGCCCCAATACTGCTCCCATGACCTCTGACATCACAATGTCCAGTCAACTAGCTGCTACAGGTTTGGCTTAAGCTGCATGAGGGCAGAGAAAGACCAGTATCAAGTGTTCTGTCCATAGCCAGTGATGGGACACAAGGCCACCACAGACACCACAGGAATCTGGCTAAAATATGTGTGAGGGTCCTTTTTGGGTGACCACAAGGGTGCTAGTTTAGGGGTCTGAGGACCACGCCATGGAGTGGAGACAGTGGCAAGGAGGCTTGAGGGTTGGGAAGGGAGCAGGCTGCTTGCCTCATGCAAGAACGACAGCAGCACTGTGTACAATTAACAAAAGGATTTGTATTAGAACATTTACACTCAGGGGAAGAAAGAGGTATCTGCATCATCAAATGTGGAATGTTGAAGAAAACAGTTAAAATAAATAAAGACTCCAAGCGTGGCTGGGGCTGGCCCAGGCTGGGACTCAGAGGCCTCTGAACATCAGCTCCAGGCTGCAGAGGCCACGCTGCCTGGCCATACTGGCCACCTCCCCGACACAGCACAGCTGTACCTGGGACACAGAGAGTCAAATGCTGTTGTAGCCAGCAAGCTCACTCCCCACTTTCCTCATTTATCTCTGTGACAATGTCTATCAGGCTCTGGAGCCCGAAGATATAGCCAGCATCCTGGCCCTCGTGTACTACACTGTCCTCGCCATACAGCCTGCAGGTGGTGTGTGCAAAGTCGATCATGCGCACGTCCACTGAGCTGGCACCGATGGGCTTGAAGGCATAGGCACCAGCAGACTCGTCAGCTGACTCCTCTGACAGGTCCTCCAAGTCCTCAGCATCTGAGTCCAGGGCCACCTCAGGCCGCTCCTTGCCATCATAGATGATTAGCAGGGAGCTTGAGTAGAAGCGGTAAGACTCCTGTCGCTCCAAGACAGCCTTGAGCTCAGCCAGCTTCTTAAGCACAGGGCCCAGAAGCTCACGGCGCAGGTACCGCCCATTGTGGAAGAACTGGTAGAGTGCCTCCTTAAAGCCCTGCACAGACAGCTTCCGTCCGTGGTACTTGTTCATGAACATGAGCTGCCCACTGCCTGCCTGGTATACCTGTGGGAGAAAGACCAGCAAGTCAGATGCTGACCGCCACCTCAAAGCCCAGACCCTGGGGGGTGGTTTGCAATAATGGCAGCCCTGGATCAGATCCTTTGACTTGCTGAGTCAGGAGACACTACCCTCTCTGATCAATACTCAGGATCCCACCCTCTGATTTGGGTTTCCCCAGCCACTGTTGAGCATATAGTTGGTGGAGAGGACCTAACTGTCTTGCCTTTCTCTCTCTCCTGTGTCTGGACCCTGGACACTGGCCTGGACTCAGCCAGGCCAGCCCCAAAGGGGAATCACCGAGGCCTGTGTAGTATCTTTTCAAACCAGAGGGCTCGATTTAGTAAACTCTGGTATCTTTTTGAGAAAAGAGGACTGTACCAGGGAGGGGGGAGTTGCAGCTACTAGATGACCTATATGGCCCACACCACACCAGCTGTCCTCTCACCTGCATGCCACACACACGCACACCGATGACTGCAGATGTGCTCTGCTGGCATTTTCGGATCTGATTGGCTGCCTTCTCCTCTGAAGCATCGTCACCATGCTGGCGTGTACCCATCTTGAGGTCCAGGACACAAGGCATCTCATACCGGGAGGTCAGGTTCTCCAATAAGATAAATTCTGAGTGGTTAAGGAAAACCCCCCTCTAAAAGAGGAAGTGCTGCTGCATGGGTCCTTGGCACTCCCAGGGTATAATGCCTGTACACAGTACCCAGTGAAACCCAAGACCAAAGAGGGTCCCATCAGTCCTGCCATCTTCCACAAGGAGCCCAAGGCTGACTACAGGCTAAAAGGCATCTTCAATTCTTGTCAGGGAACTTGCCTGAGAACAGCCTGGGTCTGGACTCAACACAGGCCTTAAATATGAACTAGAGCCCTGGCTGAGCCCTGGTTAGAGCTTGTCCCAATACATAAAGCTGCAGGTTTGATCCCCTATCAGAGCACATAAAAGAATCAACAAATGGCTCTGGCTGGTGTAGCTCAGTGAATTGAGAGCGGGCCTGCGAACCAGACAATCATGGTTCGATTCCCAGTCAGGGCACATGCCTGGGTTGCAGGCTGGTTCCCTGCAGGCCAATTCCCAGCAGGGGACACACGAAAGGCAACCATACATTGATGTTTCTCTCCCTCTCTCCTTCCCTTCCCCTCTAAAGATAAAAAAATAAAATTATTTAAAAATTAAAAAACATTAAAAAATCTTAAAAAAAAAAGAATCAACAAATGAACTCTGAGTTAAGTCAAACAACAAAGCAAGTCTTTAAAAATAAATTAAAAAAAATTTTTAAATGAACTGGAGACATCAGTTATGAACTCATCAGGAGTCTCTCTTTAAAATAAGTGTTACTTCCCAGCCACACGTACTGTAAAGGTCTCGAAACGGTGACCAGATGTTGGAGCACCCCTAGCTCTGGACCCGTACAGAGCAGGGATTGTTGAACTGTGGCCCCTGCTAATTGTATATATAACCTGTAAGCTAAGAATGGCTCTTACAATTTTAAGAGTTCGGAAAATATATATAAAATACGTTGTGGCACGTGAAAATGAAATTCAAATCTCAGTGACCATAAATAGTTTTATTGGAGTACAGTCATACTCGTTTATCTATGACTGCTTTCACGCTACAATGCCAAAGTGTGGCTTGCAAAGCCTAAAATGTCTATCTGGCCCTTTACGGAAAAGGTTTATAGCCCCTGCCTTAAGAGGAATAACTAACTAAATTCACACCTGGAACAGGAAACCTACACGACCCTGGACATCTTTCCGTACCAGAAAGTAAAAGACAGACATCTATCACAGACTGTTGCGATCACACAGGAGCTTATTTAAAAAGTCTCCCACCGTGTGCCCCTAGTCAGGGTGGCACACGAGAGCTGTTTCTCTCTCACAGTAATCTCTCTCTTCTGCTGCTTCTCTAAAAATCTATGTAACATACCCATGGGTGAGAATAAAAGCACAAACCCTGGCCAGGTGGTTCAACTGATTGGAACACTGTCCCATACACCAAAGGGCTGCGGGTTCAATCTCCAGTCTGGGCACATACCTAGGTTGGGGTTCAAGATCTGTAGAGGAGGCAACCAATTGATGTTTTTCTCTCATTAACATTTCTCTCTTTTTCCTTTCCTCTCTAAAATGAATAAAAACATACCCTTGAGTAGAGTTTTTTTTTAAGCCTTGCTTTGGGTGGTGTGGCTCAGTGAACTGAGCATGGGCCTGCAAACTGAGAGGAAGCTGGGTTGATCCCCAGTCAGGGCCATGCCTGCGTTGCAGACCAGGTGCCCAGATGGGAGGGAACAAAAGGTAACCTATCTGCGTATCTCTCGTACACTGAAGTTTCTCTTCTTCCCTCCCTCCCTTTCTCTCTCTCTAAAATAAGTATAAAATTTTATAAATAAATAAATAAACAAACAAATAAATAA